CGTGCTGTGATTTCTCCAGATTCTCTGAACCTTTTGATGATATTATGGACTGTAGATGTTGAAATCCCTAAATTCCTTGCTATTGTACTTTGAGAAACATTGTTCTTAAACTGTTCGAATATTTGCTCACGCAGTTGTTCACAAAGTGGTGAACCTCGCCCCATCCTTGCTTGTCAATGACTGAGAATTTTTGGGGAAGCTGTTTTTATACCCAGTCATGGCACCCACCTGTTCCCAATAAACCTGCTCACCTGTGGGATGTTCCAAATAGATGTTTGATCAGAATTCCTCAAATTTCTCAGTATTTTTTGCCACCTTTCCCAACTACTTTGTCACGTGTTGCTGCTATCAAATTCTGAGTTAATTATTATTTGCAAAAAATAAAGTTTATGAGTTTGAACATTAAATATCTTGTCTTTGTCGTGTATTCAATTGAATATAGGTTGAAAAGGATTTGCAAATCATTGTATTCTGTTTTTATTTACGTTTATCACAATTTCCCAACTTCAATGGAATTGGGTTTTGTAGATTAGATACACCTTCCTAGAACTGGAAATATTCCTTTTTTGTCTATATTGAGATGATAGCATCATACAGGTGCTGCAGATATATCAGCAGACAGGTACATTGTGATCATAAATGGATGGACATAGTCAGCAACAATACTCAGGTAGGCTGTGGCGTTTACTGAGTTGGTATTGAGGGGGCAAGAGAATGTCCCTGTCACCATAACAACACCAGCACCAGCCTGAATCACTGATGCAGGGCAGGATGGATCCATGCTTTCATGTTGTTCATGCCAAATTGTGACCCTACATCTGAATGTTGCAACTGAAATCCAGACTCATCAGACCAGGCAACGATTTTCCAGTCTTCTGTTGTCCAGTTTCTGTGAGCATGTGTGAACTGTAGCCTAATCTTCCTGTTCTTAACTGACAGGAGTTGTACCTGGTGTGGTCTTCTGCTGCTGTAGCCCCATCTGCGTCAAGGTTCAACATGTTATGCACACCTTGGTTGTAACAAGTGGTCATTAGAGCCAAGGGGCAAAGAGGCATTATTGTTATTCTGGATTTTTTTTAATTCCTCCTCAAGACAAATTATGAGTCGCTTCTAGTCCTACAGCTTATGGAGTTGTAAGACTAATTATATATCAAAATGTGTGGTTTGATCGGGGTCGGTGTGCTAGTACTTTTCTCTCTTTTATATGAAACACTTTGCATTGAAGTTGATGGGATAAGCCAAAAAATAAAAATAAAAAAGAGTAATCATTGGAGTTTTCCAAACATCTACAACTACGGCACACTTTCACCTAAAGACTCCATTTGAACTATAAGGTGTAGACACAAGTCTTGTCTATCAGTGTATTAATCCACACTTTATAGGAATTGTAGTTTTTGATCACTCACTGTTCAATGACCATGATCATTAGACCATAGAAAAGTTTTAGGATTATAATGGGTGTGTATTGCGTGAAATCTTCATTCCACAGTGGATGACATCATGGGTTAGTGTGAGAGCAGTTGACTTGAATTGTGTGAAACTTTCATCTTTCCACGCCCCTTCTGTCCACAAATTACACACTACGTGTATAGGTTTTTCTACAGTTGTAGACACACTTGTTCTATCTCTAACAATATGTTCATCTAAGCAGAAGGACTTACAGATTTTGAACACTGAGGGCTCTGTTTTCATGTCCGCCGGAGACGCAGCGGAGGGTGGCGGACCCCGTGCAGTGGTATTTTCGTCTGGCAGAGCCCGGCGTACAGCCAGTTTGGTATTTTCGTGGACTGAGGCGCACCGAGGTCCGCCAAGCTGGGCGTGGGGAGGTGTCGACAGAATCCGCTAAAACTGCATTAAATTAAATATCTAGTAAATCAACACACATGATGAAGCTAACAAGATATGTAATTTGTCTCCCTCCTTTTCTTTCTTCCTCTTCCTCTTATTTCTCACGCAGCTCGACTTGGACATGTCTCCGTGTCCTCTCCCCGCAGCAGCTGAACAGATGATTTGTTTCAGTGATCAGATGAGTTATTTACTTTAAGCCCACACACCCACGAGTATTATAATATTCAGTTTTGTGAGTCAAATTTATTTTATATGCCAACATCTATGAAAGAGAGCCAGGCCACGGAGCGTGATGCATCATTACGCACAGGTGGTTCCGATTTTAATGCCATTTTTGGAGTTTATGTTGTGATCTGTGCACACAACCCACCTTTGTCACGTGAGGTTTGAATATGTGCAACTTTATGTGAGTGTCTTTATTTGTGGAAAAGGGTGTTTGTCTTACCAGTGGGTCCAACATTACACACACCAAATCCATCTGTGCTTATATGAGACAGTGTGCAGGACGCCCTCTGCAGCGCTTACAGTGACACTTGTTGAGGAGCTGCCTTCTGTCGCTATCGTGTGGCATTACTGTCTTCAGACATCTCTCAATCTCTTTGACTACTTCACGAAAATTTGAATACGCCTCGCCAGTGGCGGATTTAAAGGCGAGGAGAGGAGCTTATGTGATTGTTGAAAACAGGTCTCGGCTGTGTTAAACCCACTCCATGCCCTCTCTCCTCGGTCCCTACAACTTACGCCGCCGGGAGGAGCTGAGTTAGGGAAGGGGGATACTTACGCCAGGCTGCGCCGCTCACCAAAATACCAAATTGTGCTTGGGAATGCCTTGTCGGCGCGGCGGACCTGACTTACGCTGCGCATGCACCGCATCGCCGGCGAGGCACGAAAATAGAGCCCTGAGCCTTTAAGTGCGGCATTGTCTCTATCTACTCCTCATTGACACTAATACAAAGATTTTTTGAGAGAAGCAGAAGGGACTCTTGTTTATAAATTCCAACTATGTCCAAATTATATACTGTAGAAACACCAAAATCATATTAAAGCATTCAGGAATTCCTTACAATGACCACAGTCTGCTTTATTTTAAATTTTTTTTTAGGAGTTACTGTTTTGTCAGAAAAAGCCCAAATATAAGACCAACATCTATGTGAAAAAACAACAACTTTTTTTTCAACGTTTTCACTGCCTTAGCCTGCAGTGCGTCTATCATTACAGGCAACCAGCTAGAGTCTCCGTGGCAACCTGTGAGCCTCAGGCCAGGCCCACAGCCGAGACCAATTCACTAATGAGGGACTGCTCTGATATCTCTGAAGAATCTCATAAAATGTACACATTCTGGCAGTAGCCCCTGTGTCCCTTTCAAAATTTCCCAGAGCAAATTTTCTAGTCATCTTCACTATCCATATTACTACTGGAGTGTAACTACACTGAACAAAAATATAAACACAACACTTTTGTTTTTGCTCCCATTTTTCATGAGCTGAACTCAAAGATCCAATACTTTTTCTATGTACACAAAAGACCTATTTCTCTCAAATATTGAGGACAAATTTGTCTAAATCTGAGTTAGTGAACACTTCTCCTTTGCTGAGATAACCCATCCACTTCACAGGTGTGGGATATCAAGATGCTGATTAGACAGCATGATTATTACACAGGTGTGCCTTAGTTTTGAGGGAGCGTGCAATTGGCGTGCTGACTGCAGGAATGTCCACCAGAGCTGTTGTCCGTGAATTGAATGTTCATTTCTCCACCATAAGCCATCTCCAAAGGCATGTCAGAGAATTTGGCAGTACATCCAATCGGCTTCACAACCACAGACCATGTGTAACCCCACCAGCCCAGGAACTGCACCTCCAGCATCTTCACCTCCAAGATCGTCTGAGACCAGCCACACGGACAGCTGCTGCTGTTTGCATAACCAAACAATTTCTGCACAAACTGTCAGAAACCGTCTCAGGGAAGCTCATCTGCATGCTCATCGTTCTCATTGGGGTCTTGACCTGACTGCAGTTCATCGTAATAAACGACTTGAGTGGGCAAATGCTCACATTCAATGGCGTCTGACACTTAGGAGAGGTGTTCTCTTCACGGATGAATCTCAGTTTTCACTGTACAGGGCAGATGACAGACAATGTGTTTGGTGTCGTGTGGCTGAGCAGTTTGCTGATGTCAGTGTTGTGAAGAGAGTAGCCCATGGTGTCGGTGGGGGTAAGGGCAGGCGTATGTTATGGACAAAGAACACAGTTGCATTTTATTGATGGCATTTTGTATGCACAGAGATACCTTGACGAGATCCTGGGGTCCATTGTTGTGCCATTCATCCGTGACCATCACCTAATGTTGCAGCATGATAATGCATGGCCCCATGTTGCAAGGATCTGTGCACAAATCCTTGAAGCTGAAAACATCCAAGTTCTTGCATGGCCAGCATACTCAGTGGACATGTCACCCATTGAGGATGTTTGGGATGCTCTGGATCGGTGTAAACGACCAGTTCCTGCCAATATCCAGCAACTTCACACAGCCATTGAAGAGGAATGGACCAACACTCCACAGACCATGATCAACAACCTGATCAACTCTATGTGAAGATGTGTTGCACTGCATGATGCAAATGGTGGTCATACCAGATACTGGCTGGTTTTCTCACCCCCTGGACGCCCCCAATACAGTAAAACTGCACCTTTTAAAGTGGCCTTTTATCATGGCCAGTCTGAGGCACACCTGTGCAATAATCATGCTGTCTAATCAGCATCTTGAAATGCCACACCTGTGAAGTGGATGGAAGTGAAGTGCATGGAGTGGATATCTCAGCAAAGTAGAAGTGTTCACTAACACAGATTTAGACAAATTTGTCAACAACATTTGAGAGAAATAGGTGTTTTGTGTACATAGAAAAAGTCTTAGATCTTTAAGTTCAGCTCATGAAAAATGGGAGCAAAAACAAAAGTGTTGCATTTACATTTTTGTTCAATGTATGTCTGTGACTGAAAACCAAGAGATAATTTCAGTAAACAAGTGTTTTTTTTTCTCATTCTAATTTTGTGTTTTCCTCTTCAAATATAAGTATACTCATTTTAATTGGTACAAAATAGTTTACAAAGCAGTGGATGCTTTTATAGAGGATTTTTTTGTCTTCTGCTATTTTGCTTTAAAGTCAACATTATTGTTAAGTTATGTGGAGTTGGGAGAGAGAAGTGTGACTGGCTGGTTGAGGTGACCCGTGGCAAGAGAGCAAATAGAGGAAGAATAAAAGATATGGAGGGGATATGAGCACTCGAAGGACAGATTATGAAGATGTATGCAAGGGAGGAGTGAACACAAGGGGGAAAGACAGAGCAGTGAGAGAATGAAGGTTAGACTAATGAATGGATATACTGGAAAAGGCAGAAAGAAGGAGATAAGAAAGAGGGAATAGAGAGGAGATGGTGATTAGGTGAAGACTGTGCCAATGCCAAGGGATATTCAAATTAAAAAAAATGTTTGGTCTTAGGAAAAATGAAGAAGGTCTCTATGTGTGACCTCGGGCTACTATCCTGTAGCTGCAGTAAGTAGCTACATGAAATTCAAGATGTTTGACAGGAGTGCAGATACACACACAAAAACACACACAAACACATGATTAGTGTCAGGAAAGATGATCTGATGTAGGTGCACGGTCAGCAAGACTCATTACACATGAGCTGGATTGATCAGTTGGTCTGCGCAATGATTAGATAAGATGCAGGAGGTGTGTGTGTGTGTGTGTGTGTGTGTGTGTGTGTGTGTGTGTGTGTGTGTGTGTGTGTGTGTGTGTGTGTGTGTGTGTGTGTGTGTGTGTGTGATCTCTGCTGCAGTCTCAAAGACAGTAGCCTCATAGCCCCCAGCTGTGGCCTGACCTTTTCACTAATTGACTCTAATCAATTGAGCTCATTCCTTTCTATCAAGCTCTTCTAAGGGGGAATGATGCTCCTCTCTCCTCACTGCATGCTCCTATTAAGCCTTTAAAGAGGTGAACCACCTCTCTCATGTTTCATATGTATTCCTACTTCATAAAACTTAAGCGCTTCAACTTCGTAAACTAGAATTTAAATGTGAATGTAGCATGCAATTAAGAATATCTTCACATTGTGCCTGCCTTCTGCCTCTTTTTAATTTATATTCTAACTCTTCTTCTTGGATAAATGAGTTTGCAGTCCATCTATTCAAAAGGGAGTGACTATAATTACAGTTAAGATAAAGGGTTGCTTCTTATCTCATTCAAGTCAAGAAGTCTGCCCTGTTGCTGTTATTTTTGAGAAATGCTCTTGCTAAATCCTTTCAATGTGTAACTCAGTTATCAGGACAAGCTCAATCCAAATTTTGCAGCTAAGTATGACCATACTTTTATTAATCGTAAAAACTTAAAAGTGTCACTTTGTTCTCATCCCAAGCACATAAAAATCTGAGTTCATACCGATACAGGCAGAACTCTTGTTTTGTTTTCTGTCCCTGTATTTCAGATAAACTTTTCATCAAAATGTTATCTTAACGAGGTTAACATAGAATTGGCTGCAGTCTCATGAGGTTTAGAAAAATATGATGGCTGGAGTTAAAATAACTTAACACATTCTTTTGATTCCAAACAAGACATGATTCTGTGACTGGACTTACCAAAACTGGGACTCAGGCCCTGTTTATACGTACCCGGTTATTTAAAATAAAAACAGAGACTTTAACCATCGTTTGCACCCTTTGTTTGGACACAAACAGAGAATTCGCCCCTGAAAATGATGCTTTTTAAAAACTACAGCCAAAGTGGAGATTTTGGAAAAATTTGTTTGCACGTTTGCATGTAAACAGAGAAAAACTGAGATTTGGGTAGCCGATGGCAGATTGTGCCCTGGAAACTGGGTTAAACGTGACTTTGTTTACAGTTTAAAGTCTATGATTACAATTTATGGTGATCATGGATGCAAGCAGAATAGCAGTCACGTTTATGCTGGTGCAATGCCTTTGTATTTGTTTGCATTTGCAGATGCAAGTGCTGTACTATGAGGAAGAGCAGCAGGATTCTGCTAACGTGGGCTTGAGCTTCTCACTACACTGTCACCTACAGGTTTGGCATACTCTTGACGGCAAATATACACAGGTTAGTGTAAACGAAAACTTTTCTGAAAAAAAAAAAAAAGAAAATCCATCCCATGTTGCACACAATAAGGGTCAAAAACTAATTCAATATGTGCACCTGGATCAGATCAGCTTGAGTCTTGGCATTGTGCACCCAGCAAGACCAGGCAGTGTGGCCCTCCCTATAATACATGGGTAGACTATAAATGAATACATACAGATTTTAGCCTCATCACTACCTTGTGATGTTCATTTCATTCATTTTCTACTTCATACCTTGTTTGAAATATTTTACATTTTATCACACAACAAACAATTTCTAAGCTTTTTTTGTTACATTTGTAAAATGCACAATTTCTTTTTACATATTTCTGAATTTTGTACAAATATATGTATTATTTGTACCTTTTACTTTACAGCTGTTTATTTATCTTTCTCCTTTAAAAATATAATACATATCTTTTATAAGAGCACTTACAATGCCAGAATTTCTGGGCTAGTTCTGTTATTCTGAATGCTCAGCCTGATATTTGGCACAAAGAAAAAAAAATCAAGCTGATCTGCACCAAAATGCTTTGCAACTGTTATCTAAACTTCTGTAAATAATCACAAGCACAAAAAGGGGTGCATTTCTATAGTTTACTTCACATATCAGGATTAGGAATCATTGGAGCCAATAACTGAATATCCTTGTAGTGTGGCATTTGAGTCTGTTATATGCACTCCTTTAAAGAAACCATCAGTTGTATTGTTTAGAACGGATTTATACAATAGTGTGGATTTAAATGTAGGATGTTATCAGCCTGTGAAGTTCAGGTTGTGTTACTCAGACTACTACTTCTATTTTGCAGAGACAGTACAAGACAGCAGGGTTTCCCGGACACTGTTTTCTTCATTTATGCATCAGCTACATCTTCAGACACTAATCTGTTCAGCACATCAGCAGTACTGGTACTACTGATTGATTGATGGGGTGTGTACTTTCCACAAGACAAATGCTTCAGTTTCACTAGATCTAACTAGAAATGAGTTTGGCCAAACTTAAGCAAATGTTCTCATACAGAAGGAGGTGGGGTCTGAAAGACCCTTCGTACTCCCTTTCTTTCCCCTTTAAAACAAACACACACACGCACACACACAAACTGTGCACGCACACACACACAAACTGTGTACGCAGTGACATTCACAGCACTGGTTCTCACACTGGGAGCCACTCAATCCCAGATCAATACACAGCTTTCTCTTCAATAATACACACACACACACACACACACACACACACACACACACACAGACACACACACACACACACACACACACACACACACACACACACACACACACACACACACACACACACTTTGCTCTATCCAGTCCTAATGGTCTGGAAGTCTCCCGTCCTCCATTTCCTTCGTGTTTCTCTCCTTTTTCCTGTCTCTCATCTGTTCCTTTTGCTTCTAGTCTTTTACTGTACAATGTTTATCTTTTCATTTTGAAATGGGAGTGTGTTTTGGTTTTTTTTTTTGTGTGTGTGCTTGTTTTTACTTCTATGCTAAATGCAGATTTTAGCATTTACATTTAATCCTAAAGCGACAAAACTACTGAGTGCACCCCTGTTGCAGTCAAGGTACACTCCTCAGCCACAGGGGACACAAATAATGAACAGGAGGCTGCTGGTCTTTGTGTTTCTCTGTGTGGGTCTGTGGGTTTTAAATCTGAAGTATATGCAGTATATATCTTAAAAAGTATAGAACAAGTGTGCATGTCTTGTTGTACTTGTTGAAGTGTGAGCATGAGTTCAAAGTGATGATCATAAGTAAAAGATGAAACTGAGCTAGTTTAGGATGGAAAATGTTAAGTCCAATATCCTCTGTGCAAATGTGTGTATGTGTGTGTGGGTTCATGTCTGTGTTTGTGAATAGAGGATAAGTATTAGGTGGCTGTGATTAATTTCCCTCCAAAGCTGTAGCTCTAATTCCCGGCTGAGGTGGGAATGGTCCCTGAAATGGTCCCAGTGGAAATCACAGCAGGCAGGCAGGCAGACAGCAGCTTTGAGGAACACTGATGAATTATCCATAGAGGGAGAGAGGGTGGGGGTGAGATAGGAGGAGAGGTTAGAGAGAGAGCGCAGTGAAGGCAGGCAGGCAGGAAGGAAGTTCTGCAAAGATGAAGCTCAGAGACTGTGTGAAAAGCTGGAGAGAAAGGGAAGGATTGTAAATACAGGAGGAAAGGTAAGGGAGAGCGCAAGAAATATCATTAAAAATTTCACAGAGAAGACAAGAAATGTTTGCAGAGGGCCAGAGACAAGAGTGTATGAATACTCACAAACAAGCAAAAAGTCATTTACACTTACTAGCCTTTTAGAATTTTGTGTAATTTTTTTTAACTTTAACAATTAACACAACAGCTTGGAAACAGAAAAGATTTTTGGAGTAATTCTTTAAGACCCAAAACAAAGATGTTTGCTCTAAATCAGAATTAAGATTAACTCTCAAATTCAGCAAACTCTTGTCAGCTGCCAGACCCTCAAAAGACAATTTATTTGCACAAAAAAAACAAAAAACATTTTGACTGTGAAGAAGTGTAAGGGGTTGGTTTGCAATCTGACCCTTGATTTGTAATATGAAAAGAAATGTTTTACAATTAAACCTTAGTTAGAATTTTGCAAGAATCATGGGGAGAGCATGTCAAAAGTGATGCAGCATTTACTTCAACACAACGCAGATTTTAGGGGAATGCACTGTATTGGATGCTATTTGGAAGCAGCAGCAATGTCTCATCATATTCAGGTACAAAACACAGATTATTTGTATTAAGGTAAATCAAGTATGTCCACAAATACTTGAAAGACATTTTTGTTAGGGTTAGGGTTAGGGTGGGGATTTTGCAGTCTGTGGCACTTTTTGTGCCCCCTGTGGGCAAAGCAGTCCTTGCTTATCCTGTTCTCTACACACAGACAAAAAAAAATCATCCTGCTGACTGTTGGCAGTCTTACACTGCTTTCAGGCAATTCAAATTACAAAAGAAAATGTGTCAGTTTTGTAGCTAATGGTCTTGTTGCATTAAAATTGTCATGAAAAATCAATAATATAAATTTTGGTCTATTCCATAAATGTCAAAATCTCCTCGCAGGAGCTTGAAGTTAGGACAGTGAACCTCCACCATAGATTGTACACAGAATGGACGCTGTCTGCCTCCTGGCTGGATGAAGCCACTGCGAGAACAGCACCCTCTGTTGATGGGCTGCAGTATAGGTCATAAATCCTGCCTCCTCCAGCAATCACTATGGAGCTGTGGACAAACTTTAGAAATTAATTACACAGAATATAAATTTTTCTCCCCCCTGGTTTTGATGTTGACATGTAGTTACTGTAAGACTGGTTTGTGCTCAAGTCCTCTTTTTTCTGTGCAGCTCTGTTTTTAAAAGTTATTAGGGGGTTTATGTTTTCTGTGATTGACACTTGATACAGCCTATGGGTGTACGAAGATTGCGTAGCTTACCCAGGGAAAACGCTGTTTGAGCCGAGCATCATCACACTGACTGTTAGCGATTCTTCCGCCGAATGCGTACAACACTTCTGCGCAGGTGGTGGTTTTAGGAAGTGAAGAAAATCCTGGAGATACAGAGAGCAATTCAGCTTCAAATTTGTGTAATGACGGAAGGCGGAGCCAAGTTGTTCATGGTATGTTCAGTCTATGACCTCCACCCTAACGCTGTAGTGCAGAAACAGTTTACTCAAACAATAAAGGGCAAGATCAATGAGAAAAAAGTCAAGGACTGTCATCACACACTGACAAGAATTAAAAGTAGGAGTTACACCCCTTTGTGACCAAGGGTCACCGAGGGAGATATGCAAAATACTTTCTGATTTTGACAACATAACCATAGGCTGATATTGTGTTTTATCCAAATGTGTGTTTGTCATATTTTATGTAGAATTTATCTTGTTAGGTTTGTTGTTTTTTCTTGTTGATCTACTCTTATAAGACAGAGTTTCGTTTGTTGTTTTAAAGAAAGAGAGAAAGAAAAATCCTCGACACTCTTGCAAGCCCAAATGTCTCAACAATAAAGACAGGCCAAAGGCATTTTCACACATTGACTGTTTTTTCATCTGAAGCAACCCCTTGGCTTGGATCGTATTTAAACATATGAACACAGCAATTGTTCTCTGAAGTGGAGCAGAACAAGCAAGCTGAGATTGCCTAGAAAAAGTAGTCCTGGTATGCTCCCAATTGAAACCTGGAGCGGTGAGAGTGCAATCCACAATCAAGTAGACTAGTGGTTTTCGATTACTACTGTTGGTTGGCATAATAATACTGAGAGGCTATGTAACCTACATATCCATCCATTCGGCATCAGCAGAAGAGCTGTTGCCAGGCGTAACAGGACTCTACAACAGCAACTGGTGCAAAGACCTGTTGAGCTCAGAGAGTCTTGTCCAACCCCATCAGAGGAATTCAGCCTTCATTACCAGCACTACTACTTTCATCAAGCTGGTCTAATACCTACACATGCTACTGTCTAAGTTTCTGAGCCGTGTGGCAACACTACTCAGCAGAGCAGTGAGCACCCATCTTGTTCATGAACTTGCCCACAAGTTTGTAACTTCTGTAAATTGGCCTAGCTGATGAGGCATTTGACATCCTTGCTGCTCCAAGTCAACCCATGAGTCATTTTCTTGTAGGTTAACTGGCTAATGTTAGTTAGCATCTTACAGCCAGGGTTTTGGTGTAAATGGTGACCCTGTCAACTGGCAACTTCCCGTCAAATGGGTCTCTTGCAAATGTTTTTGGTTGTTCAGCAAAGACAGATGTGTATACTTTCACATTATCATACAGTACAAAGATAACCACGACAATCACTGTCACGTTTGGTGAAAGGTGCCAGATTACAAGGTAACTGTTTCAACCGAGACACTAGCTTTCTAACTGCTTGGCAAGATTTCTAACCAATTAACACGTTTTACGACTCGAGGACCGCCATGTGATGGTCTATGCTTGTGCACACTCTCCAGTGCTGCAGTGTGAACACAAAACAACCCCCTGTTAAAAATTATAACAATGTGTATTTTTTTTCAACTGAAACAAAACATAGTTAACAAGCAATGGGTGTGAAAGCTGCCTAATGTTTAATTCTTTAACATTCTTGTTTTTGTTTTTCAAACCCTGACAAAAAAAAGATGCAGGAATGCAGGAACTAATGAAAAACTGAATTGAAAGCAGAAAGGAAAATGACAAGATTGAAATGGGACCCAACACTTGGGGCCCTTTAGAATTTTGGGGGGGCTGCACCTCTGGACGCCTTTGTGGATATAGCATAATAGATGGTAAAGTAAAAGCTGCAAAGTGTTTGAGAAATCAGTTGTTAAGCTGCTAATTCACTCCCTCTCTGTGTCTCCTCTCAATCAGGCTCAATGTGTAAATTTGATTGGACCTGTTTGGCAGCAAAAATCCACAAAAATAAGTTATTTATTAGCCAAGTCATAACCTTGGGGTCAATTTTTTTTAAGGCTTCGCCTTTTACCTTTACTGTTCTGAATAAAACTGCTATTATAATCCCTGTGCTACTATAGGAGGAGGTGTTTCAAGCCATGTTGTTTTTGTTTGTGTGTGTTTTGAGGGTGATCAACTAAGAAGAAGGGTGTGAATGAACCAGGTGCAAAGGCTGCTGGGGAGGAGGTGGTGTTTAAATTAGAGTTTGCATGTTTCTGCTGTAGAGAGTTTGGACAGAAAGTAGCTCGAGTGGCAGCAGGTGCAAAACGAAACTCTGCTCGATGAAAAGTACCAGTGAAAGAGGAACAGAACATTTGTGTGCCTATCTAAATAGTATTTTTAGGAACACGATAGGGGAGACAAGTGAGAAAGCACACACTTTTGGTAAAACAAGAACAACAAACTAAATCAAGAAAATAAACGGGGGAAATGGTTCATAATTCCTAAGCATTTAAATAGGCCATCTCCATTAAAATCAACAGAGATCCTGCAGGACCACAATTTGATGCACAGAGTAGATATAAAGTCTGAAGCTCTTGAAGATGGATTGTCATCTGTTGTGCATGAAACTGTACCAGCTATTTCCTCCATGACACTCATACTGGACAGCTAGTCAGTGCTGCACCTGGCCCTGTTAATGTCCATAAATGCCCAGCAGGAGGAAAAACAATGTACCTGCAGATGTGGACTTTATATTCAAGCAGGCCGACAACTAGGAAGAAGAAAAGATGTAAAAGAGACTAAACCAAATGTAAAATGTAATATTGGGAACAAAGTAAAGAAGTAGGACTTCAATATCAAGTCAATATCAAGATTTTTTAGGCTGCACTGGCTGTGAATTGGCTCTAAAGATACGACGCAATGCAGTGTATATGTTTAATAACAATAACGTTCTTCTCCGTTAAAGATCATTTAATGGCAATATTAAAATGATCTCAACATTATTTAAATTAGACTGTTGTGTGTCTTTAATTTCCTCAGCCATCTGTGCCTAACTCTGGCCACCTGAATTTGCACCCTCTTTTCCAAAGGTGTGAAATTTTCACACAGTAAAAACAACAGCAACTATTTTCAGCCTCAGTGAATCACTTACTTCCATTAGCCCTGCATTCCCCCTTCTATTCATTCACACTCAGCTGCAAATGCTCAGAAAGCACTCATTGTTGCTGCTCAGGAATGTACCTACAGATTAATGCAGGTGAATCTAGGCAACAATGGAAGATATGATATTATTCCCAGAATAGTCATTAGGCTATTAGGAAAACATTATGTATCATTAATCATGTCAAACACATAATTCCCTCTGGTAAAAGTAATTATAAAACGCCCCAGAGGGGTGAGTATCTGTTCAGACTGGAATGGTTAGCTCTGGCAGATTAGTCCGTCTACTGTTGGGCCCAGCTCAGCAAGTACAATAATGTGCAAGGCTGCAAGGAATCTGAATCTGCAAAGCCAGTCATCATCATCATCATCATCATCATCTCTCAGACGAATATGGATGGTGCGTTCAGGACCATTGGAATTTTCTATACTACTTAAAATAACTGGGGTTACAATGTGAACATGTACATGTGAAGGATTTGTGTGTGGTGGAGACAAAACGACCCCTGACAAAAAGTGTGGGAGGGACATCCCTCCCCCCAAACTGACGCCAATGGTTCCAGCCTATTATGCCTACTGAAATAAATATTATGACACAACATGGGTAATGCTGTCTTGTATGTCTTGGAAACATTTGACTAACATAATAATATCTGAGTATGGCCCTCTGAGTAATTTGGTATGACCCAAAGTTCAGCCTTTACATTTAGTGCATTGTTGTACTTCATTTGTGTTACATCTGAAGGTTAAATACACCTGTCATTGTATTATACATTCCGCACCTCTAATGACTGTTTTTTTCAGGGTGTTACCCACACAGTTCCTTCAGAGGGGACTTACTGCCACAAGGTTTTAGACATTATGCAAATGACAGAGGATTATAATATCCTGATCATTATGCCTGTAATGAACTCTTGAGCTGGTTTTAATGTCTAATGACCAGCATTTAGAAGTGAAGGGCATAGGCACTTACAAAATAAAGGACATGATGTATTTTTTTATAGCTCTACAGACATGACTTAAAAGGACTTCATTGCTAGCGGCTGTGGGCTGCAGTAATATTTTAAAATTAGCCCGCAAGTGAAAGAAGGAGTTATAGGTACAGGCCTTTTCATTGCCTTGTTACCATGACATCTCCTTATAGGTGCAGTGTGGAGTACTTAACAGCATTTAGCAGAACAGACTTGGTAGAAATGCAATAATAAGTATGTTTCAGTTAGTGTACAGTCACCTGAATATAATGACTTTGTTTTTGAGAACTTTGAATGAGCCATTTATATCTTCTTGGGAGTGGGTCCCTCTTCACTGAGGCAGCTGTCTCTCACTCCCATTTTCTCTTTCATAGTATAGAATGGACAAACATACCCGTTTAAGCATTTAGTGAGTGACTGTTAAAAAAGCACAGACTGGAAGACAAAGGAGAACAAAGTGGCTGTTTCAACAAATGGATTGATATCGATAGATGTTTTTGAGAGTCCAAAATTTCACAAATGGAGTGTCATACATATAATGTATCAAAGGGGCTTTTTGTACTCAAAGACCATTTTTGCTTAGAGAACTTCAACAGTGAGAAGGGTGAGCAGAGGGAGTGTTTCAACCTAAAATCTGATCATTAGATGTTGCTGAATATTTCTATTTCTGCACACTGTACTTAAAAGTAATGACCTCTTAGATGTCAGACCTGAAATTCTCCTCTACCTTAGCCATGTAAATGGGGAAATTCTCACCAAATCAACAACCCCCGACACTGCATTGTTTTCTTTGCACACGTATGTTTCATCTAATATGTCTTGCCAAAAGCACTGACAGAAACAGGATGCCAGATCAAAAGTTAAATTGGTTCTAAATAGATCCTCTGGGAATGTACAGACTCTAATTATCACTTTTTTCAGTGAATGTAATAGTCATTTTATGTGCTCACTTAAAAAATACATACCCTATTCATCATTTCAATCCTCTAGTTTAAGTTTTCTCCAAGCCAGGCATAATGATTTGTCTCATAAATTGAGTCCATGAATTTCAAGTTTAACAACTTTTATGACTACTTATAACATGTTAATGCATTGCAGTTTCCGAACCCAAAACAACCACCTCTTCTAAAGCAAGTGGATTCTTTTGGTTTTCTGTAGTAAAGCACGTTTTCAGGACTATGGGGTTCAATCAAATTGCTTAGGTTCAAGTTGTCCTGCGTAACCATGGAAAACCAAGTTCAGCATCATATTTCTTGAAAGCTGTTGTATTTGTTGTCTGTCTATTCATGTTTTTGTCTGATTCCAATGCTTTAAAGATATATTCCGGCATAATTTTAATCTAATTTTAAAGCAATGGTCAACCACACCGTAACACTGAGTTAGACCCCCCCTCGAGAGTTGAATGTTGCTGACTGCTTGCTTCTCTAGTTATACCAACTTTAGTAACGACCGCAAGATAGCAATACACAGCGGTCTACGTCTCCATGCACAAACCTCAACCAAAACATCACTATATAACATCTTTTTAGCTTCTTGTGCAAAGAGACCAAACACAACTCACCCAATATACCAACATGAAGCCCTTCTTCAATCTGCCGTCAGCATTTCTGAGATCTGCAATCTCACAAGTAAACTGCTGTCTGTATTCAGATCCTGGGCCCTGTCTCCCTCACCTGAACACTGTTACCAGAGCTGGACTTGCCTTGTGAGATTGACCCTGTGTAAGTTCAGATTGTGCTGAATCTGAAGTTCCTCCTAAGTTTGATTTCCACTTAGTAATGAGATGACACATCCATACTGCCAGCTCTCCACTTAGGTGTCATCAATCCCAATCAAACTCCAGCACGATCAAATCCCTCCATTCAGCCAGACAGAGCTTTGTGATTCTGTACAGCTGCTAGCTTGGCAAGGTTTTTCCTGTGAAATAGATTTTTTTTTGCTTTTTTACTTGATTACTGATTAAAAAAGGTAAATATAATATAATCCCAAATACTGCGTCACAAAGAGCCTCCAAACCAATAAGAGTCATTCTCTAATTTTACATTCACCTATCCATGTACTATGTTTTCTTGTAAAGACTGTCTCTTTGGCTTTTTGGTTTCTTTTAACAGCTATGTTGGAAATTATTTATATATCAGTAGAACTTATTAAAAAATGTGTCATTAAAAAGTTATTTTAAAAATATGCATCCAAGTTCAACAACAGAGAATCTTCTTTCAAACATTAGCTGTTCTTTACTGGTAAATAATAGATGGACGGCAAACAATTCCTGGGGTCTTTTTCATGTTGATAACAACAGGACTTGAAAACGTTCTTTGACCAGGCTATTGATTTCTTTAAAACACTGAATGAACACGCACACAACATGGAGGTCTCTGAAGACAAAGAAAAACAAAAGAGTTCATATTGATTGATGCTTTTGATGTTAAAAACTTGACAAACGGAGGATCAAACCTATCATGCATCAAAGCAGCTTCCTGTCCAAGAAGCCCACTATTGCTTGTGGAGCTTTTTGGCGTAAGTATGAAAGCTTTTCAGTCCAAACTGACTACTAGATAACACCAAGTTTCCCCAGCCAATTATACCAAGTGTGTACAAGAACATTACTGACTTATTTACCCTTTGACCAAAAAGCTTCAGTCTATCAGAGACCAGACTTTAACTCACCTTGAATAATGGCACAGGTATGACCAGATATAAAGCATTTGGAGAAGTAGATCATCGCAATTGTTGTAGCTCTGTGTCCTCTTCAGGGAGTTCCGCTGTCATCTGACCTTCCCTCACCAGTCTCCTAATAAGCAACAGGTAATATGAGGTGCCTGGGTCTATTCTGAGTCCATCCTCCTGTCTAACATGCTGTTTAGTTTGGTTGCTGTACAAAGGACAACTCTTTTGAACCCATAGTTGTTTTTTTTAATTAATTTGCTTTGTTTCCTTTTATTGTTGGCCTGTGGTTCCCTGTCTCATGTCAAATACTAGTTTAAAGCCTTGGTGTGGTGAGTAGGGAGGCTTGTTTAGTGGCATGCTCATCTTTTTAAACGAAGGATACTAATTCTGGGCCTGCAGTTAGTCTGCTGCTATTTTGCTGTTTTCAATGACGATGATTGGCCTGAATTATTGAAACTTTCAGGTTAGCCTTTTTGTCATTAGGTTTCCCCTTAACATTTTTTTCTGATTGCAAGATTTGCTATTCTCCTTTCTGAATAGATTTGTTTCATTTTAGTTACTGTGTTGCACCTTTTACCTTGACTAGTCTGAACAGCCTTACCCCAAATTTCCACCACACACAGAACAGCGGCAAAAAGGCTGTCGACACCAATCACTGCCGACCGCGCTTATCATTTCCATTCAAGTTCATGCATCAATTTCCATCGGCTTCTTTCCAGCCCCCTGCAATTCAGCAGGCTTCATAGACGGGTTTCTATTTTGCAGCATGCCGCATAAATTCAGCACAGATTAGCCTATGTTTGAAAGGAAGTCAGGCAGAGACACAAAGTAAAACAGCCAGGTTCTTTTCAAGATAATGTGTTTCAGATACGTATGTCACACCATGTTCTTGTGAGTCTTTGTAATTCCTGCTGTCTGAAATTCGCCATAAAATTTGCCTCAAAAACATCTCTGCTAGGAATTGGCAGATGGTAAAAATCGCCGCTGTTCCAAAGTAAATCTGTTCCGATGCAGTGAAAATTGGGGGTTACTGGCTAGACCCACAGGGTCCTAAACAGCTCCGCTCCGGACCGGCAGGCAGATCAGATCCGCAAGTCTACAGCGCCCACCGGATCCGATCCGCCGCCATAGGAGGAGAAGCGCTCGCAAGATTACCAATATTTCTTGCGAGATGGGACGAGATCTCATGAGCTCACGCATGTTTCTCCGGGAGTCATAGAATGAGATCCGTCGATCAGCGTATATAAATGGCGGTGTATATAAACACCCACATCCCACAACTCTGGCCTCTACTATTATCAAGTTAACAACAGTTCAATGTATTGACTTTATTTTGTTTTGAAAACTAACCAGGTATTTTACTATGTAACCCAATACAACTTCCGCTGCTGCTTGCGCTGCGCTGAATTGATGCGCCATGCTCCAGGATCCGGCAAAAATGGAAGCCTTGTGTATCTGACCCGGTCGCCGGAGCTGATCCGTAGTGGAGCCAGATGCCGGATGGATTCTGTGGAATGGCTCAAATTGATTATAATGCTTGCGGATTTGATCTGCTGGCCATGCCGGAGTGGTGCCCTGTGGGTTTTGCCCATTAGCGTCACTTAGTTGGGGGCTCGGCCACCAGAGTGAGGGCCCTCCACCTTTTGCATGTGAGTTAAGCACACTGGGGCACATATCAACTGCACCCCCATTATTGTGTGCAGTGTGAGGTTGCATTACTTCACTAAAGTGAGTCAGTGGTATCATCCCGACACTTTATTTAGTGTAGTCTGCCTCTCACTAGTGGCCTCAGCTTGGTCCAGTCTAGTTTATTTCAGTTTACTTTAAGCTCCGGCAGTATCATGAGTAGGGATTGCAAGACACACAGGGGACACCTCAGGATAATCAATTGATAAATGTTGTGGTGACCAAGTTAATAAAGCAGAAAGGTGGCATTACAGCATAGCCTTACTTCCAGTTTCAGAAATGAGGTGGATGGTTAGAATGTTTATAAGTGTCATGAAATCATAATTAAATTAACATTTGTGTTGACTTGTTTATCTTCGCCAAATAACGAAGCAGAATAGTTTATAGTAAACTGGGTTGTTATGCAGATGCTGATCCTGACAGAGTGAAACAAACAGGCTCTTTGCTGATGTGGAGCTTGTAGATGCTGAAAGTTGTTCATTTAAGCAGTGGTAGGGTTAATGTACCTGAGTAAATGTGACACTCCCTGGGCAGAGTCTGTGGTTTCTCAAACCTGTCTGCTCTCTTTATCTGTGTCTACTGATGAATCCTTCTGCACCAGCCTTTCCATTCCTGTCTCTTTAACTGAAAGCTGATGAATTAACATCCACCTACCCCCTACTGCCGGAGGAGCTCTAAGCACCTTTTCCCCAGTGTGGTTTCCCATTCACTTATTCTAAAGTGCTTTATCAGGCCTGAAGTTTAACTGAAATAACCTGTTTCTCTTTCTTAAGGCAATCTAAAGTAGTACTTTCTTAACTCTGCTTGTCTCCTCACTTTCTCATGTCGACTTTGGACAAAAATTAGTTTGAATTTTTTCAACAGTCATAATTGTTTCTGTCAGCTCTGTTAGTCTAAAAACACCCGTGCAGTCAACTCACAATTCTGCCACGGAGGTGAAGATGACAAATCAGACAGTGAGTTTAGCATAAGTCAGTATTCGTTCACAATGTCATTACCACTTTGTTCACCTGGTGTGTCATTCAAACTGCTCCTTTAGGCCCACTCTTCAGTAAGAGAAATGAGGAGCTCAAAAGATGTGAAAGGCTGTTTCCTTGTATTTTCATTGTCAGAGGAGGGCACAGATAATCCAGAATTGAACTCAGTTAACCAATCAGTTACAGACATCAACTTCAGTAACAACTAATTAGTTAATGCCATAGACTGTATATAGAATGGACGCTGTCTGCCTCCTCACTGGGTGAAGCCTCCATGAGAACAGCACCCTCTGGTGATGGGCTGCAGTATTGGTCATAAATCTCACCTTCTCCAGCAATCCCTATGGAGCTGTGGACAAACTTTAGGAATTAATTACACAGAATATACATTTTTCTCCCCCCTGGTTGTGATGTTGACATGTAGTTACAGTAAGACTGGTTTGTGCTCAAGTCCTCTTTTCCTGCACAGCTCTATTTCTAAAAGTTATTAGGGGGTTCATGTGTAACTCACCCCTTTCTCTCTTCCTCTTCTTCCTCGCGCAGCTCGACCCGGACTTGTCTCTGTGTCCTCTCTCCCTGTCCTGCTGCAGCTGCTGCTGCGGCGGCTGAACAGATGATTAGTTTCAGTGATCAGATGAGTTATTTACTTTAAGCCTACATACAAATATTATAATATTCAGTTTTGTGGGCCAAATTTATTTTATATGCCAGCATCTGTGAAAGAAAGAGCCAGGCCACGGAGCGCGATGCGTCCTTTACGCACAGATGGTTCCGATTTTAATGTCATTTTTGGAATTTATGATGTGATCTCTGCGCACAACCCACCTTTGTCACGTGAGGTTTGAATATGTGCAACTTTATGTGAGTGTCTTTATTCGTGGAAAAGGGTGTTTGTCTTACCAGTGGGTCCAACATTACACACACCAAATCCATCTGTGCTTATATGAGAGAGAGTGAAGGACGCCCTCTGCAGCGTTTACAGCGACACTTGTTGAGGGGCTGCCTTCTGTCGCCATCGTGTGGCATTACTGTCTTCAGACATCTCTTGATCTCTTTGACTACTTACGCCGCGCCTGCGCCACATCTCCGTGCGAAGCACGAAAATGGAGCCCATTATGTAAAGTAGAATATAAAGTAGCTATACTAGAGATGCATGATCGATTTTTTCTGATCCAATCCGATACCGATACCTGGGCTGGGCATATTGGCCGATATCCAATACCGATCCAATACTACTGTTGAATGAATGAACTGTATACCTTGCCCTGTAAGTGAAGGCATCAGGCTTAACATTAGACTTGTTAAAAAAAAAAGTAACAAATTAACACAGATATTAATTTACTTAATATTATTTATGAACAAATAACAAATTGCACATTTGCACACAGCAAAAAGACGTAAGACTTCCATGTAAACATTTAGTGCAAAAGGATAGACAGACGTAGAATACAAAGCAAACAGAATTGCTGTGATGCTGTGTATGATAATAATTAAAAGACTGGATTGGAACACTGGATCAGCGTCATTCATCAGATATCCAATCCAGTTAACTTGTCAATATTGGAGCCGATATCTGATCCAAATACCGGGTCAGTGCATCCCTAACCTATACCTTAAATAGGTTACTAAATGGATACAAATAATATCTGAATGCACTAGGCCTTCACTTTGGCAGAGCTTGAGAGGAAAAACTTGAGAAAAAGTTGTTGGAGTCTCTGTCAACAAAGACAGTAGTGATACCTCCACAGGTCATTTGAGCACAGAGAGCCTCACAGTTTAAGTTACTGAGTAGAACTTTGTGCTCTACAAAAAATAGTTTGGGACAAGCATCATAGAAGTAGTATCCCCTTTCATTGTTTTGCCGATGATGTACAGGTGTATTTGCCGGTGAAGGCACCTACTAAAGACTCGCTCCAGGCTGTGTTTAACTACATGAAAGACATTAAAACATAGATGGACCTCAACTTGCTAAAACTAAACAAAAACAAAACAGAGGTTGTCCTGTTCGGCCGTCCCGATCTGGTTCAGGTCCTTGCCAGCTCCCTTGACCCATTAGCACCATACATAAAATCCCATGCCAGGAATCTTGGGTTCATTATTGATGGTGCCTTCAAACTGGACAAGCAGGTCAGTGCTGTGGTCAAGTCCAGCTTCTTTCAACTGAGGCTTTTGGCTAAGATTAAACCATATCTCAACCAGAGAGACCTCGAAACAGTAATCAGTTCTTTTATTACTTCTCGCTTGGATTACTGCCATTCCCTTAACTTTGGCATTGACCAGGCTGAGCTTAACCGCCTGCAGCTCGTGCAGAACGCGGCAGCTCGTCTCCTTTCTGGCACCAAGAAGCGTGAGCACATAACTCCAGTGCTCTCTTCTCTACACTGGCTTCCAGTTAGGTACAGGATCGTTTTTAAGATTCTTTTATTTGTTTTTAAATCTCAGAATGGGCTGGCCCCAGAGTACCTGGCTGACCTTGTTAAGCTACACCAACCCTCCAGAGCCCTTAGGTCTGCTAACCGAGTCGTCTTAAACGTGCCTCGTTCTTTTTTAAAATCCAGAGGGGAGCGAGCGTTTGTGGTTGCAGCTCCCACTTTGTGGAATGCACTACCCCTCAGTGTGCGTTCTGCAAATAGTCCCTCTACTTTTAAAACCCAACTGAATACGCACTTGTTCACTTTAGCTTTTGGCGAAGTATGATACTTGTATTGGTTATATATTCGTTTTTGTTTACATTTATATGTTACATGTCTTTTGTTGTTGCTGTTTGCTGTGTATGACTTGCTTTTATTGCTACTGCTTTGTTTTTGTAAAGCACTTTGGTAGGCCACTGGCTGTTTAAATGTACTATACAAATAAACTTGACATTGACATTGACAACAAATGCACATGGAGCTAATAAAAAAAATTAGAGGAAAAAAGAACACATGAGAATGTACGTCTTGTAGTCCAGTGTACGTGATTAATTCATACTTTCATGAATTACTCACATGAGTGTGATTCCCTTGTCTGTGCACTCTGGCACAAATCCTATGCCACACACACACACACACACACACACACACACACACACACACACACACACACACACCTAGGTGTGCGCACACACACTAAAAAGGGAAAACTGTTATGTTGCTGTACATATTTTCACCTTAGGCACAGAATGTGTTTCACAATTCAGTCAGAGCAAACATGAGCTTCAGATCATCCTACATTCTATGACCTTCAACAAAGAATGGACCTCAGAGGCTCAACCTCTTTTTGTAGTTTTCCTGTTACCAAGGGGAGGAGAGAGTGTCTCCCTTCACTTTAAACAGTACTGACTCAAATGTGTCCACAAAGGGTCTGTTTAGGTCCACAAACAGAAGTGAGGAGAGGCTTTCTGTGCTCAACATGTTGCTGCGCTTGACCTGCCTGTCTGTAAATCTTTTTCTGAAGCCTTCCTGTATCAGGACCAGAGACTTTGCAGCCTATCCATTTAGCGGCCATGGACAGTGAGTTCATGGGAAACTGAGCTGCACTTGGTGATCGACTTGTCAGGGCTCCCCCACGATCAAGCGTCTGCTGGAGGAGAGTGGGTGAGTGCAGCGGAGTTTCACAGCTCAAGTAAGGATATTTATGATTATTCCTTCATGGAAATGCAATCGGGGGCAGCACAGTGGTGTAGTGGTTAGCACTGTCACCTCACAGCAAGAAGGTCCCGGGTTTGAATCTGGGTCAAGGTGTTTCTGTGTGGAGTTTGCATGTTCTCCCTGTGTCTGCGTGGGTTTACTCCGGGTACTCCTGTTTCCTCCCACATCCCAAAAATATGCAGAAGTGGGATTAGGTTAACTGGCCACTTCCAAATTGCCCATAGGTGTGAATGTGAGCGTGAATGGTTGTTCGATGGATGGATGGAAATGCAATCAGACCAAGATGCTAAGGCAGAAGAACTGCTGCATCTGCAGTGCAAAATAATTATTATGATGATTATTACTTCAAGGAAATGATCTGCTGCACTCGGTGATTGACTCGTCAGGGCTCCCCCACATACAAGCGGCTGCTGGAGGAGAGGGGGTGAGTAGTGTTTGGTCTCCTTGCTTATGAAACCAGGCAAAGCTAAAAAGATGTTTGATGGCTAGTACTATGACTGGGACCCTATATGTACTGTTGATGAAGTTAGGTGCTGTTCTGAGCATTATTTGTGGCTATAAAGTGGCTTTTTGGTTGAGGTTTGCACATGGAGACATAGACCACTGTGTATTGCTATCATGCGGTCATGACTAAAGTTGGTATAACTAGAGAAGCAAGCAGCCGGCAACCTTCATCTCTCGAGGGGGTGTCTAACTCGGTGTTACGGTTTGTTTGACCATAACTTAATTTTACACCAAAATATCCCTTTAACTGTATTTAGGCAGATACTCGTTACTGAGGTACCCATTGGATTCTCGTTAACTAATTCTTATGAACAGGTTGGTTCTTCACAGTCAGAGGGGGTCTTTTCTTTTATGCCTGTGGGAAATGTTTTATACAGCTCTCTTCACAATATTTCTGTACCCTCTTGGTATTTAGGCTCATAAAGCAGTGTAGTTATGTCTTTGACCAAAGAGAAACATTACCCAAAAGAAGTCCTTGCAGAAAGTGCATTTTAATGACATCTGATTTATTAACTGTAAAATGTGCTTATTGTACAATGAAAAAGACGAAGTGGGTGTGATCTATTTGACTGTTTTAAGACAAAAAGGGATTTTTTTTACAGAGCTACGCATGTTCATTACTAAAACAGCAAGGAGATCAGATAACTTCTTTTCATTAAACATATGTCATAAAGAGCGATGCTTCCCATTTTTCTAATTATTCAGAGATCAAGTGGTTAATGCAGGAATAAAACAATGACCAAATATAAGTATATCTACATTAAAATTTATCTAGAGGCTCATGAAAGGGAAAACTTAGAACTTGATCTGCATAGACACAATATCTAGTCTCCTGGCAACCCCAGCTTCCCTGGCTGTTCAGTAATAACCCTTGAGTTTGGCTCAACTATAGGTTGACTTCTGCACCTCTGGCCACTGACAACTCCTTTAACCTGCCTGACCCAATATCTCTGGCAAATAGTGCACCCCAAGGGCTTCAATTCATCTGAGCATCCCATGTCCCTGAAATACCCTGCTCTCCACCTGCAACCAGCACCACTGATTCCACAGGGATCAAGCACAAGCAAAGAAAAGTAAGCAACAGAGTGAAAAGTTTGAAATTCAGGGAATATATTTCCCTAACCATCCTGTGCATGAGGTGAAAAACTAAAATTTTGAAAACTTTGCACAGTGCTGGGACTTCCTCAGAGGAAGAACATGACAAAAACAGCCATCTCTTGTTTTCGCTTTTACTTTTATACCACCTACATGTTGCAATTCTGTCCAGAGCCATAATGAAGTTCAGCCATTGTCACACCTTCATGCATTGTACTCAGCAACGGGGTAACACTTACAGCAAAGTTCCAGTGTGTGATTTTACACTGCATTACAGCTTTGTGGGGGCACAGGGGCCAAAATGCGTAAACAGAGTCTTTTCCACACTGCAATACTGCAACAGCCCCAGAACTAGATTTCACCATCCCCACATCTCCCTGTGAAAAAATGAATACTGCCAGAGTGTCATGATGGTGCCCCTGTGTGTGATTTCACATTGTGTTGTAGTGTTGTGCAAGAAGCTCCGATTGTAAACACACAGTGGGAGTGTCACATACACACAGTCTGACAGGCACTTAAATGTATCACCGTTCTGTCAGATAACTTCAACACTGCACATTACTACCATCTTCATCTTATTGGGTCTCTGTTGAAATTTGCTTCTACTTAGTTTGTATTGCACTTTCCTGTATCACCTGCCCAGTACAAAGTTTAGATGAGATGGAACAGTGGTGTTAAATGGTGGTATGTAAGAGCCCACATACACACATGCAAGCACAGCCCAGATATCACACATATGTTGTCGGCCTTAGAACGGCACGCCAGCCTCCAGTCTATAATGTTTGACAAGCATCGGCCCAATAGCGGATTAAGTGCTCTAATGTCCCAGCTAATTAAATGTCTGCGCACGGTCGTTTTTTCAGCTGATCAGCTGACCGACCTTGCCTTCCAGTTTGGACAGTCACCTGATGGCAGTCACCATTACATACCATTAAATGCAGAGGAACGCAGAGGAAAATGCACCAACTCTTCGCCATTGTTTTTCAGGTAAGCTGCTGACGTAAATTGGCAAAAAATAACTTTTAAGGCAATTCTGTGACAGTTTCTAACAACTGAGTATGCCCAGTCTCCTCCCAGATGCAAACTGACCGGTACCTACAGGTAAGCACTCAAGCACTGGACTGCTTGTCCTGGTGCTGCTGTTAGCTCTGTTAGCTTTTAGTGTAGTCCGTTGTTCAGCACAAGATTTGGCGATAGCTTCCTAGCTTCAGCGAACTGTGCAAAAAATTTAACCTTCCAAATTCTCACCTATTCCATTACTTCCAGGTCCATAACTTTGCTAAATCAAACAGCACCTGTTTTCCTAATATTCCACCTAATTCAGTCATTGACTCCATTTTGAACATTCCCACTAATCAAAAAGGCCTCATTTCCAAAATTTACACTCTAATTTCTCATCTGAGAGAGACATCTCTGGATAAAATGAGGACAGAGTGGGAACAGGAGCTTGGCAGGACTATTAATGACAGCGACTGGGACTCAGCCCTGACCCGGATCAATAACAGTTCGTCTTGCTCCAGGCTTAATCTGATACAATTTAAGGTTGTTCATTGTATCTATTTTACTAATTCCAAATTGTCTAAGATCTACTCCAGTATCACAGATAGCTGCAACAAATGTCACCTGTGGCCAGCAAACATGACCCACATGTTTTGGTCCTGTCCCTGTCTGCAAGCCTTTTGGACAGCTGTTTTTAAACATCTTACAGAAGCACTTATCATAAAACTGATGCCCTGCGCAGAATTGACTATCTTTGGAGTACTACTCCAAGATGTCAAAAAATCGAGAAAAAGATTAAGGATAGCATCGCCTTTGCTTCTCTTCTAGCACGCAGAAGAATCTTATTAGAGTGGAAGTCACCATCTGCCCCCAAAGCCTCTGTCTGGACCTGATGCTGCACTTAGACCTGGAAAAAATTAAATACAATTTGAGGGGGACCCCTGAAAGATTTGACCTGGCTTGGGGCTACATGATTAGTTACATCGCTAAATTAAAGACACTGCAGGATAAATTTCACCTATCTGGGGATAGGTGTTGGGGGGGGATAAATCTACCCCACCCCAACAATCTGGGAATTCAACTTCTATTGGTATGACTCCTTTTCCCCTTTTATTTTATTTTATTTTATTTTTTTCTTTCTCTCTGAGTATATGTTTATTTGTTTATAGTACACGTGAAGGATGAGTGGTAGTACTGCAACAAATATGTAGGATTGGATTGGGGTTGGGTGGGCAAAAGGGATTTATTTTTATTTCCTGCTGTTTGTCATTGTTTGTTTGTTTTGTTGTGTTGTTGTTTATGGAAAAAAGGGGGAAAATCATTATCTTACCTAATTGTATGTATCCTTGGCTGTCGAATGAATAATAAAAACATTCAAATAAAATATTTGGCGATAGCTGATCTCTTCCACTCAGTCAATTAGGTCTGATCGTTAAAGCAAATGAAACAGTTAAAACTATTGAAGGTACACATTTATTTTTACTAAATTCATGTGATTATCCCGGTTATGTGCGCCATATTTACTGTACAGCTTTGACCTATAAATAAAGATTGTGCGCTACAACTTTGATTAATCGTCCAAATTTCGTGTGTCGATCATTTAAGATCAAAGGCCAACGTCTTTGCGACATTGTGGCAATAAGCAAACGCTCTCCTTGCGACATCTTGGCGATGTATTGGGCTGACGTCGGCTTGATGTACATTTGCTATCTGGGAGGTATGCACACAACACAAGTGCACTCACCGGCAAACAATTTTATTTCACCAAATTTGAATTCCCATCTTAATGAAACCTACTTAAGGAACGTCAGCACTGGGTAGCTTCAAAATCCCCCATGGGGAGAGGACACTAGAGGTAGCTGCTGATGACTGCTACTGTGACTGATGATGAGGCTGATGAAACTGACAAATCCATTTACACCGTGTGGTTATGGGGAGATGAAGGGGGAAAGATATCAGCATAAACCAACCAAAGGTAGGGAGAGAATCATATTCAAAATAATAACAATAATAATAATAATAGCAGCAGCAAGTGAATAGGCCAGATCAAGCACAACTCACAGCTAAAAACAATGAAAACCATGAGTGAGCAAGCACAAGAGGTGTGATTTGCAAGAAAATGTGATATACAACTGCAGGCCAATGGATAAGAAAGTATTCCTCAACAAGCCCCATATTAGGTTTTTATTTACTGAACATTTAGACTTTATAAGAAACAGCCCTTTCAAGGATGTACAAGCAGCTTTGAAGAGAGACTTTGTTCCTTTTGAAGAGGAGGAACAACAACTGTGGATTAAAGAGATGGCAGGGGGGCATTTCTGCTATTTTCTACTGCCAGGGCTCTTCACCAGAGGTGGAGGGATGTAGCTGTAAAGGCCAGCAGCAAGAGGCCTCTCCTTACATGTTGAACTGTAGGGATGTTCGCTTCTTCTAGTGGAGTGGTGACCTCCAGGTGGCCTTAAATTCAATCTGTGGATTAAATAAGGAACCATTTTTGCTGTAACAAAGGTATACACATATGTAGCAGGGCTCACTTCAATCATGTCGTGGTAGATTCTCTACTATGCAGCAACACTTCTAAAGCCATCTTCTGTGCCTGTAAGTGATGCGCATGATGGTAAACAGAGGTAACAGAGGACATTACAATGTATAGCTTCAAAATGCAACAATACCAGACTAAATGTTCAACAATAGAAATCAATGTTGTAGGGTATTGGAGAGATTGACATTTTTATGTTCCTCAGTGTGAAGTAAGGAGATAAACTCAAATTTGAGTTACTACAGTGCAAAAAAAGGAGTCCCTCCTAGACTTCAGTTAAAAACTATTCAGGGTCAAGGTCAGATGACCCACGATGAAGTACTAAGATGTATTATTAATGAGTTAGTATTCATGATCCGTTAACAAACTTTATATTATCCCTAGGTCTTAGATATCTTTTTGGAGGTCTGGCTTCTCATCCAGTGAGGAAAGAGAGAGGCAGCAAGGTTCGCCCCATCTGACCAAAAACTTCTTTATCCCTGACCTGAAGTCAGACTTCACACACACACTACTGCCAGTACAATAGTGTACTTTCCTTTCAATCAAAATTCTGGGAATCTGTATTTCATGATGATTCACCTCCATTGCTCCAAAATTACTGGGAGAGATCCAACTCCCTCTGAAGCCCAGGGCGATCTTGTGCCAATCAGTAGCTTTTGGTACAGGCAGAGATCCATCCACTGCAGTGTCCCTAATGTCCCTGGTAACATCTGGCACATTGTCTGCCACACTGGAGGTGCCCAGCCTGTAATGAGATGCATTGGTGTTATTAAAGTCACAGAGGGTCCTTGGAATATGACCATTGTGCAATCTGTAGTATCAAAATTACAAATCATCCTACTGGCTACGTAAAAATGATGAAGGGTTTCCTATTTTCAGGAGTCAAAATAATTGAGTAAAAAAGTATATAACTAGGTCAATAGCCATTTGTTGGCAGTTCATTGCAAGAAAGCCTTGACAAAAAAAAGTCTGCAGCTTCCTATTGTTAGCAAGCTAAGTACGCTTACTTAAAATAGATACTTGTGACGATCAGCAGGGGAAGAGAGTTTCCTGAGGTGATGTTAAATGTTGATCTACAGACTGGTTATACACACTTTGATTTCACACATACTCAAGGCAACTGTGAAAAAATCATCTACTGAGGTCTTTCTGCAATTAGTCTTTGATTCTTTAGATTGTAGATCTGAATGCAACTTGAACGCATTCAAAATGAATAGAGTAAAAATAGAGTAAAAACAGACTATGTAGAACAAAGCTCCTTCCAAAAGCTGTCTCATCAAAAATGCTCTTTGGACCTGAAGATCTCAGACATCCACAGTCTCTTTTCCCCATTTCACATGCACAGCAGGGCTAATGATAGCATAAGTGCTGTTTTTTTTGTGTTATTAAAGCAGAGTAATGTGTCTCACCAGCTTCCACAACCTAATTTGACTTGATTTGTTCTGAGCAATTTCCACAGATTTTGTCTTCACTGAGCCAAGAAGCACGTTGTTTCTGAAAATATCTGTTGTTAGCCCTTTGGTTGCTTCTTCTTGCTGTTATTACAAAAAAGAAAACTTTTGTCAGTTTTACTTCAACATTAAAAGCCTATATGAGCATCTTGAACAACCTCTCTTAGATTATCTGAAACCTACTTTTTCCAGCGCCTTCACCACTATTGGCAACAGGAGGCGGTATCTGCAACCCACAGAAGTTGCTCAAGTAGTGCAGCTCCTCCAGGCATATGCATATGCACTGTGGTCAGAAGGTTTGCTCTGTCTCCCAGCATGTGTGAAAATCATTGAAAGACACTGGGAGATAAGCCAGTACACCATGAGATGTGCAAGGGGTCATGAGGATCCAGCATCGACAAGTGGGGCCTGTGCCCACAGCCTGGCATCATAAAGCCAACATCCTGCTACCTGCAACATCCTCCAGTTTGACCAGTTTGGTAGTGGGTCAGTGATGCTCTGGGGAAGCATATCCTTAGAGGGCCGCACAGACCTCCATGTGCAACCAGAAGTACCCTGACTCCTGATAGGTACTAAGATGAAATCCTTTGATCTCTTTTAATACTATATGTTGGTGCAGTGGACCCTGATTTCCTCCTGGTGAGTGTACAAGCACTTCCATTTTAATTTATTTAGGATAGCTCCTTGAAATGCAGCATCTCGTCTTGGAGGGGGTCCCAACACAGTTACAAAAAACAAACAGTACAATAGTACACAACAAAAACAAAACACACTGCTTTTCCGCTTCCACAGCCCCCACACCCCCCACACCCCACCCACCCCATCACTAGCTTACAAAAATAATGCTCACACACATACACATAACCCTGTGCCCATACCATACAACATCAGGAGCAACAGAATGCAACAGCAATTTTGAATTACGTAATCAAACGAATAAAACACAAAACAAAATTAAAAATATGAACAGCTTGTTCATAAGTGGGAAAATAAATTTGATCTCAAGATAGAAAGAGGAAGGAAGATTCCTCCAATCAGATGGGGCTTTGAACTTGAATGACCTGCGACCTATTTCATTATGGATTTGTGTACTATGGAGCTGTATACTGGACCAGAAGCTGTTTTTAAGTATGATGGGACGTATAAGTGGATACATTTGAAAAGGAGTAAGACCTGTTGAAACTGACGCCTGGAGTTAGGATAAAGCCACTGAAGACCTTGTACATGTGGCGGTGGCGATTTCTGAATGGACATCTCAAGACATTTCTGCATAAAGAGTTATTTAAAATATGGAGAGGTTTGAGGATAGAGTCAGTCAGCATAATCGAGTATGGGAAGTAATAGTTGTGGAATTCCACTTTTCCTGACTTGAAATGAAAAACAATTGATTGAACGGTGGAGAAAACCCAGACATCCCATCCAAAGTCCAAGGTATTTAGATATATTAACTCTCTCTCTAGTAGAGTTCCATCACTATAATTAATTAGCAACTTAGGTGAGTGTGATAAACCATGGTTTGCAGCAAATACCACAGGACTTTTTTTTCATATCAAGAACAACCCTGTTGTTATTGATTGAACCAGTGTTCGACAGTATAAAAACTTGTTTCAGGTTATACTGAATTTGTGATATTCCCGGATTGGAAAAGTTAATAACAGTGTCATCAGCATAAAAATAAACATGACAGGTTGCTCACAATTAAGGTAGGTCATTATTAAAAATGGAAAAAAAGAAGTGGACCTAATATAGAGCCTTGTGGAATACCTGTATCAATTAACATTCTACTAGATGGACAGCCATTGACATAAACATCTTGATGCCTTTTGTGAAGATAACGGGCTCTGTTTTTGTACCTCGCCGGTGGCATGGTGCGGACATGGCGTAACTCAGGTTCGCCGCACCAATATCCTGTTTTCACCAAGCACATCAGCTCCTCTCCTCACCTTTAGATCCACCACCGGCAAGGCGTATTACAATTTTCGTAAAGTAGTCGAAGAGACAACCTCAACAAGTGTCGCAGAAAGCGCTGCGGAGGGTGTCCTCCATACTCTCTCAAATAAGCACAGATGGATTTGGTGTGTATAACGTTGAACCCACTGGTAAGACAAACACCCTTTTCCACAAATAAAGACACTCACATAAAGTTGTATATATTTAAACTCCACATGACAAAGGTGACAGATCACAACATAAACAAATTCCAATAATGGCATTAAAATTGGAACCACCTGTGTGTAAAGGACGCATTGCACTCCGTGGCCTGACTGTTTCTTTCATAGATGTTGGCATATAAAGTGAACTTTGTTCAAGTAACTGAATATAATAATATTCATATGTAGGCCTAACTCGGGATTGAATATTCACAGAATTTTAAGGATGTGAGAACATCAGATAAAATAGATGAAAAAAGAGCCCAATAGTTGAATCAGATGACAGTGATCTGATTTATTCCAATGTGATGGAGTTTGTCAAGGAGAAGATAATGTTCAACTATGTGGAAGGCATTTGAAAGCTTAATGAATATTGCACCTGTAAATTGGCCAATGCCAAACACTAAAAGCAAGTCATTTGGGAATTTAGGAAGAGCTGTTGTAGAGAAATTGGGTTGAAGGCCAGCTTGATATGGAGATAAAATGTTAGCTTGAGTTAAGTAATGAAATGATTGATGAAAGATAAGTTTTTCAAAGATTACAGATATTATAGAAATTGGTCTATAATTATTTAATTCCTGAATGATGACGGCATGGATTCTATTGTCTTTCCCTCCAGTTCCCCTGACCTGAATCCAATCCAGTACTCCTGGGACATCACGTAGCATTGTATCCTCCGCCACCAGTTGGCATCACAGATGGTCTAGAAGCTGACTGATGCCCTGATCCTGGTCTGAGAGGAGATTTCGTAAGAGTCCATCCATTATCTCATCAGAAGCATGCCTAGATGATGTGGGGAGTGCATATAGGCACATTTAGGTTTGATTCTGAGTCCACCACTTATTGGGTTATTGATTTTGCTTTCTGATCATTCTCATATTATTGTGTTCGCATTGAACTACATAATCAATCAATATTTCTTAACTAAAATATCACATTTATTGAGTTGTGGGATGTGTGAATTAAGCATTCCTTTTAACCTTTTTTAAGCAGTGTACCATAGAACAACTACCACCCCTGGGCTTCACTGCTCTGCTGGTGAAGCTCAGGGACCATCAGGAAACCATCTCTTCTTAAGAAAATGAGTGAAATCAATGCAACGTCCAGGTTTAATACAGTCTTTGGATGCTTCCTTGTGTGGTCCTTTGACTTGGATCTCAAGGACTATAAAATATGATTTGAGAAACTCTTAGGACTGCAGTAAAGTATACAGCAGGAAATCATGTTCCATAGCTATAAAAGTTAACATCACAGGTGTTTCAGACATAATAGTTCAACAGGGACTGAAAGAAACCTTAATGTCTGAAAGACACCTGCTCTGCAGATCCTGACAAGAATAGAGAAATCACTGTAATCTTCTCATAATATTCCCCAGGAAAATAATAGCTTGCCTGAGGTGGTCGATAATATCCTAACAATGAGCATGTTGTATTTTGTGATATTTTTATCTCCTGCGGTGTTAGTTTAGTAGTCATAGAATATCCCCACGGGGAATTAAGCGCCTGCAGTAATCAATAGTAAGTGTGCTATGACCTGACTGTACAGACTGCAGGCAGAGTCAGTCTCAGTCTTTTTTTTTCTCTTACTACCCTGGCTCTCAAGGGGAAGCCCCTGCAAGGGCTGGTGAGGGGGGGAGGGGGGAGCAATATTCTACAACAAGGATGATACCTGACGCAGGATGTCATTTTTTTTTTTAGAGTTTCTTCTCTCGTCCCACTGCACCAGACTGGCATTGAACACACACGCATAGAAGTTTTCAACTCACAATAAACCCTCAGTCCCTCCCCTCTACAGCAACTTCAAAAATACTCAGAAACAAGTCACAATCACGACACACACACACACACACACACACACACACACACACACACACACACACACACACACACACACACACACACACACACACACACACACAAACCAGAGAGGATAATCATAGGGATATTAATGGAGCTGGAGAAACAGATGGAGTCAATTGAGCTTTTAATAGACCAGAGAAGCTCCTCGTCTTCTGTATGGATAAATAACACAATAGTCAGCAAATCCAAGATCAAATAGATGATATTGACCTTTCAGGGTAGGACAGGCAGGAGAGAGAGTGAGCAAAGGGACAGCACCAGTAGAAACAGACTGAGATGCAGAAAGTCAAGAGCTGAGAGAGGTGTGACACGGAGGAAAACACCAAAAAGTCAATAGAAGGGAAGTGCTCAGACAAAGCATCTTAATCAGAGTGCGACAAAACAGCGATCAATCATAAGTATGAGGATGGAGCAGCCAGTTGCAGAGCTGGAGAGGCCCTGACCTTAGCTGCACTGCAGATAGAGCAGAGAGGCTAGCCGAGCAGCAGTGGCCCTCTGAGACTCTTGTTCTTTGCGTCTCTCTATCCTCCTCTTTCTGACTGCATTGTGTCTTTCTATCCTCCTTTATCTCTCTGTATCCCCCTCTTTCCATTTTGATTACTCTCTGCTGTTTCATCTCTCTGCCCCCCCCCCCTTCTCCCTATATTTCTGTCTGGTACCCACCATCTGTCATCCGTTGTCTTCTTCTGTCGACCCCACCCCCTCTTCCACTCATTTCCACTCCCTCAATCCAATTCGAGAAGCTTTATTGGCATCATAAGATGAATTTTACTGTCTCTCTGACTCCCTTTCTGGAACATTTGTCCCCCTCTAACTAATCCTTGACTATAAATGATACCCCTAAAAAAACTCTGTTGTGTTCTGCACAGGCTGTACCAAGTCATGGTCAGTGTACAGACTGTTCAGTGCACTCTATCACATAAATACTGAAGTTAAGGCTATGTATTCTTTATTACCTTGTTCATTAGCAGAGTGAAGGTGAATCCTACTCGTCCAAGGTACTTTTACAAGCACTATGAAGGCATGTAGGGCTGGTACTGTACCGTACTGTCAGCCTAATAAAATGACGATAGATCAGCCTCTCAGGATGAGCTGGCCTTGAAAGGGACTTTTATGTGTATACTGACACCGTGTGGAGATGCCTTGTAACAGATGAAAACATCTTTTTTGCAAGTAATTGCTGCCAATGCTGCAAGAACCAGAGGTGACGAGGTGACAAGGTGCAGATACTCCATGTTACAGATATGTAATATCTGAATCTTTACATGCAAATATCTATTGGAATTGAAGGAGACAGGCGGGGGAAAATGTTTATTTATTTATTAACATAGGTTAATACAGTAGAGCGGGCAGTAGAGATGAGGCAAAGGCAATCCTCTTCATATTTATACAACTATGTAACAGCAGTAATGCTAAAGTGATTTTGAATGTGCACCTGTCCAAAGTGAAATTGTGATAGGTTTTGGCATTTGTCCAGATCTTTTGTCAGGATTTCACTTTGAAGATGGTTTCTGCCTACTCAAGTTATTGCTGGCTGTGCAGATAGAAGTTTTTCAAAAGGACTCAATTGACTGTTAGAAATACTTACTAGTTTTAAGGAACTTTTACAGCAAATTTTGGTCTAAAATGTATTAAAACCATATCTGGTTGTCATGTCAGTGTAATTATAATGAGATATTTTGACTGGACTGCAGATATATTCACTTAAAAGAAGACCCTTTGGGTTAATAAAGGTAACACGAGTTATCCTAATTAATGATCTCCAGGGACGACTTTGCAGAAGCTTTTGAGCTACTTGGAAAATTGCCCTTCAGGTTTTCTAGTATTTTTCCGAGAGAAAAGTCAGCACTTTGTTGGAATGACAATTTTCGGTATCCAGGAAGTGACGGTAAGGCTTTAACGGGGTCGAAACAAGCCGAGGGAGATCATCCCATCTCTACAAAAGAAGTTGGTTGGAAATGGAGCCCCATAAAGCGTACACAGTTAATGTAGGGGCATACAGGAAGTTTGTGTATTTTTATTTTTCGCGTGCTTGGCCCTACCAACAACCATGACAATAAATACAACAATTTTATTTACTTTACAAAACAGAGTTACAATGTGCTTAACAACATCAAAAGAGAATACAAACAAAAATAGAACAAACAGCAGCAGATATCAATACAAGTCCCAAAACAGTCAGTCAATAGGGATGATTTAGAATTCAATAAAAGGTTAAACCCCAATCACGGTAAAAGTGTCTGTAAAGTAAGCTATAAAAAATTAATATAATACTAAAATTAAATAAATTTATTCAAAAGGTCTACGTCATGATCAAAGTTGATCTTGTCGCAAGGACCCTGTCACAATCATTTTATTTTGAAAATCCAAACCGGAACATATGTGTTGCATTGAATATGTCTTCACTTGACTGTTCTTAAGGGAAGGTGGTCTAGATTGAAAAACACCGTTTAGAAAAAGTATCAGACGGGGCAAACTTTGAATTTTGTTCTCTGCCTTCATCTCCTTTACAAACCGCGAATCTTCAGAAGTGATTCCAAATTTGGCTGACAGGAAAGTGATGGATTTGACTGGTTTGGCAACGGGAATAAAGTTGGGAAAGTACGAGGTGAAAATGGAGAACCCAGCTGAGTGAGAGTGGGGTGAGAAGGCTGGATTTGGCAAAGTTGGGAGTCCTGCCCTGCTGTTAGCAGGCTTGTTAGCATGCTAAAACACAACGCTTTTTCGGATAAGAAATGAGGTGAGATTTAAGGTCACTTGATACACATGTAATGCCGGTTTTATGTACAAAAGTTTAGGCAAGACTATTTTAGCCTTACCGGAAAAATAGTTGTCAAAGAAAATAAACACTGACATAAGTAATGTTTAGGCCTGACAGTTTTTTTTTTTTAAATCTTTAACTGAAAAGAAGAAATACTAAATGTTTGTATAAAAAGTACAGGCTTTTCATAGTTTATTTTCCACAGTATTTTCCTGTTATTTTGAGGGATGTTTGTGGTCAATTGTACATCCTTAGGTGTAAAAACAGAGCAGTCTGGTTGATAAACGTTTTGTACAGGGAACTTTTGACTATATTTTGGGCCAACATTCAACGTCTGATATTAGACCATCTGGGATTAGGCTTCTATTTCCTACAAAGGCAGAGCTATGTTGGCCATTGTTTCTTGGTCAAAACAAGTCTGGATAGCTGTGATCATATTTTGGCTGGAAGTTTCTCACAATATGGCCTCATCATGCAATAGCCATACTAAAATAGTTCTGACCATACTGCTTTAGGTTGGATGCTTTTCTGCTTTACCATGATGCACCAAACAAAAGCTTTCTCAGTAAAATCACTGCTGAGAGAATGTTTTGTTATTAGCCTATAACCATAACCACTCAAGACTCAGATTTGTTTTGGTGTTGTGCATTTCAGAGCTCCCCTCTGCTGCTCTCCAGCCTGTGGGTCTCCAGGTCGCTGTATCATCTGTGGCAAAACCTCTGCTGACATTTCAGCTGCTCCCAGTGGATTGAAGCAGAGCTGAATATCTTTCTCTCTGTGGAAGTACTTACTTACTTTCTGCCCAACTCTGACTGCATTTGTCCTTGAAAACGAATGAACCTCCTGACATTCCTGTCCTGACGTTCCTTTTTTTTCCTCTGCACTCATGCACTTTTACTCAGCTATTGAACATAGTCTACAGTTTGAGATGGGACCCTTGTAGTTTTTTTTTTTTTTTTCAAGAGAGGCTTGAGGTACCCCCTGCCTGCACACTGTGCAGCCTGACTGCTTTTTTGAACTCACAGGCACAGACCTATTGAGGAATATTGTGACCAGAAGACAGACATCAATACTGCACTTGCTGATCAAGCTGAGACATCCTGAGTTCGTCCCCAAAATACATTCATGAGCTCTTGAACCTCTAAGCTGGACTAAGTGGATGTATTGCTTGAACTTGAGAACTGTGACTGCCGAAGTCAGCTCATTGGAACTAAAGTGGATGGTATTAGCTTTATTCATGAACCCACCGTCTGAGTCTGGGAACGGCCTGGATGTTGGATGCTCTGAGTGTGTCGAATCAACTATTGTGGTGATGAGGCAGGGCTCCTGGTGGCCTGTGTGGCTCGCTGGGCAGTGGCCCAAAGTGATGTGATGGGGTGCAGGAACAGTAAGGTCCTCCCTGAGCCTCCAGGGGATGTCCAGTTGGACCTGGTCAAAAAGGTGAGTCGGAAAATGTTTTAATAACATGGTTAAAATACTGATAGTTGTCCAACTAAATAAGTAATCAAAGTAACGCCACTACTCTTAAGGAGATTACAACTAGTATTAGCTTGAGTCTGAGAAGTGAAGCCAGCTTCTTAGTGCCCGATTGTTCTGAATTAAATAAGAAAAACACTGTCCTGTTGGTAATTGACCTCAGTAAACTTTTTCCAATAAGTTTATATGCTCCACTACCAGCTTTTAAATACTCCTCAGACAGTTAGGAATTCACTTTGACAATTATGATCCCACTTTAATACAGGAAATAAAAGTTGTGGCTACCTGTGACTGAGAAGTTATGACTCCAGAAATGAAATGTGCTGCTACCTAGTGTGTACCAGCAAGACCCTGAGTTGTCTGCTGGTCATTATTTAGTGTGAACATTGATGCATAATCAAAGCTTAGCTGGTCCTTCAAATATGGTTATCTCTGACCCCAAAATACAAAGATGGTAAAAGCCAAAAAGCCAAAATGCCACGCCCAAGGTTTTGAATCGGTTGTTTTCAAGTCAGCACTTCGCTTTTATTTAAAGTCTATGCAATTAGTAGGAGGTGCAGAATCTAAAGTGTTTTAAATAACTGACCTTATAATGGTCTTAACAATTAGCTGACATGGATTTGCCTTTTTGAATTAGTAAGTCATCTTCTTAGGTAAATTTTGTGTGTTTGCTGAGGCTTGTGCCTGTACAAGGAAACGCAAGGATGCATCCTGTTGACAACGTACATAGGCTAGGTTTTTATTCGGACACGTTTTCAGACAAATTGAGATTTAAGTGTCTTTAGGGAGATAGCAAAAACAACCTTAACATCAACAGCACAGCTTACCAGGTAATTAGTTTTAATGCAGACATACTGTATCTTTAGGTTTACTGTCAAATGTAGTAAGTACCAAGGTGTATGTTAACTTATCATATTTCAATCCTCCAACTAACCAAAGTATATGTGTTTGCTAAGATGTAATATATAACCACAGATTTACAAATTTACAACTCAAATTACAAAAAAGTTTGGATGCTGTATAAAATGTTGACAGAACAGAATTTGATTGTTTGCACATTCAAAGCCTGTTTTAATTAAAAATAGTTTAAAGACAATATGCCAATGTTTGAAACTGTTCTATAAAGAATACAGGGTTTCTGAACAGTTAGGACAGGTGCATGTTTGCTGTTGTGTTGCATCACTTCTTCTTTAAACAACGGTCTGTAAAAGTTTAGGAACTGGGGAAACCAGTTTCTGGTGAAATGCTGTCCCAGTCTTGCCTGATGTAGGTTTTCGGCTGCTCAACAGTTTTGGGGTCTCCTTTATTATGTATTTTTTGGACCATGATGTGCCAAATGTTTTCAAGTCCAGACTGCAGGCAGGTCAGTGAAGCACCTGTACGCTTGTGCTGCAGAGTTATGCTGGTGCAGTCTCCCCTGTAAAAGGCATCATCTGGGTGGAAGCTCCAGTAGGACTGGGTGCTTTGGCAAAAAATATAATCACAATATATTTTGTCATATTGTCTGATCTTGATTATCCTCACGATTTTTCATTATTTTTTCTTTAAACTGTCAGTTTTGAAGCATTTGTACTAAAATTTAAAGAAACAAGAGATTCAACGATGGCATCTTTGGAGGGATAATGATAACCCCTATAGCATCGCCAGTCCTGGCTTTTGCGCTCTATGCTGTTAACAAGCGCGGTGGCTCCCCTCCCCCCTCATCTTTAGAGTGAAGGAGATGATGTTGCATGATCTGCAAAAAGAATGTTAAATGTTGTAGCCCCAGGTCACAGGACAATTTTCCTTTTTGCCTCAGTCCACCTTGAATGGCTTGAGTCAAGAGAAGTTGCCAGTCTTTCTGAATCATGTTTATAAATGCTTTCCTCTTTGCATGATTAAGGCTTAACCTATATTTGAGAACACAGCAATGAACTACGTTCACAGTCTGTGCTTTCTGGAAGTCATTTTGAGCCCATGCATGCATGGATATCCACTACAGAGTTATATCTGTTGTCAATACAGTGCCACCTGAGGGCCGGAAAGTCTTAGCCATTCAATACTGTTTTTGAATCAGAGATTTCTCTGAAGTCATTGAATGTTTTTTTTCTGATGTTGCATGCTATAGACGATGAAAGCCCCAAATATTCAGCAGGTTTATGCTGACAAACATTGTTAAGCTGTTAGCTCATTGTGTCCCATAGAGTGGTGAACCTCCTCTCATGTTTACTTCTGAGAGAAGGAGCTCCTCTGGAATGTCCTTTTAATATCCAGTCATGTTATTTAGGTGATCTGCCTCCAGGGCCTTATACCAGTTTTCATAGTTTTGTTGTCACTGACCCAACTTTTTTGAAATCTGTTGCTGGCATTTCATTTTAAATGAGTGGACACATTATTCTCATAAAAAAATAAAAATAAAAAATCTGTTTCAATATTTAACATGTTGTATTTTCAATCCTTTACTCATATTTAGGTTTTAAATGATTCACAAACCAAATCATTCACCACATCATTTCACCATAATTTTACACAGCATCCAAATTTTTCAAAATTGGAGTCGTACTATTCATAAAAGTAAATAAAAATAAACTCTTATTGAACAAGTTGAATTTTCACTGTAGAATGTCTTGGTCACTTAAAGGCCTTCACTTCATGTAACAATTAAAATTCAAAATGCATCCAATCTAAGAGTTTCATAGTGAATTTAAAAGCCATTGCAAAAAATTTCTTAAGTTCCTCACTCTCTGAAATATCAATGTAAGTATCAGCTTCCAGTAGGTCAGGATATAAACCAAGTATTTAAATTGTAAAAGCTGAGCCTGTCCTGCCTTTTTCAACACAGAAAATAAATCATCCATTTTTGTTTTTTTTATTGTTCTCCGGTTTAAGATTAGGATTTATGATGAACTGTGTTCCTGTAATTTCAGGTTGATCCTCCTCCTCCTCCTCAGACAGACATCTACAAGCACTTCATACGAGGGGATGGCACAAGGAGCAAGACTGGTGGGTCTGGCGCAGCAGGAGGTGACAAGGCTGGCTCCACCTCTCCATACCGGGCCCAGGCCCAGGCTGCCACTCCCACAGCCTCAGCCCAGCCCCCAAAAGACCCACCTGAACTGTCAGACCCTCAGCGTAAAAAGGTGGCCAAGTATCGAGCCAAATTTGACCCCCGGGTCACTGCTAAGTATGACATCAAAGCTCTAATAGGGCGAGGGAGCTTTAGCCGGGTCGTACGAGTGGAGCACAAGAGCACGCGGCAGCCATACGCCATCAAGATGATTGAAACCCGTTACCGGGAGGGGAGGGAGGTGTGTGAGTCAGAGCTGTGTGTTCTGCGCCGTGTCCGTCATACCAATATTATCCAGCTGATGGAGGTCTTTGAGACAGTGGAGCGTGTGTATATGGTGATGGAGCTGGCCACAGGAGGAGAGCTCTTTGATCGAATCATAGCTCGGGGCTCCTTTACAGAGCGCGACGCCACGCGGGTGCTGCAAATGGTACTGGATGGGGTCAAGTATTTGCACACTCTTGGGATCACTCATCGTGACCTGAAGCCTGAGAACCTGCTTTACTACCACCCTGGAGCCGATTCAAAGATCATCATCACTGACTTTGGTTTGGCAAGTAGCAGAAAGAAGGGAGATGAGTGTCTGATGAAGACCACCTGTGGCACACCAGAGTACATTGCCCCTGAGATCTTAGTGAGGAAGCCCTACACAAATGCTGTAGATATGTGGGCGCTTGGAGTGATATCGTACATCCTGCTGAGTGGGACCATGCCCTTTGAAGATGACAACCGCATGAGGCTCTACCAGCAGATCCTTAAAGGGAAGTACAGCTTCTCAGGAGAGGTGAGAAGTTCAATCTGTTTCCTTCTCTTTTTTTTTTTTTTCCTCAGATCCAGGCGGGTCTACACAATCCTGTAATGTCCCATCTTTATTGGAAATGTTAAGTTGGCATCATATGGGTGTTCAGCAGGTATGGGTAAGGCCTTTGATGACCTAACAAGTGAGATGGATGTAAAACGGTGGAGCTGGGAGGATGAGGCAGTGCTCTGTGTGTTATCACGTCTAAATGTGTGCGTGCGTGTATATGAAGCTCCAGCTTTTTGTTTACACATCATGCCTCTCATACTTTTGCGATGCCATAATGCAATGTTCAAACACACACTAGAACACAAATATCAAAGTGATGCAGATTCAGTGTAAAAGCACAAATACAAAACGATAGCCTCATTGCATCTTTGTACTGATCACAATATAAGCAGGGCTGAAGATACACAAAGACCAGCACTCATATTTAGGATTTTCAAAATAGAGGTGTCCAGGTACAACTTCTTTACTTCCGATATGATACCAATATTGTAGCCTTCAGTATTGGCTGATACCGATATTGATTCGATATTGGCACACACCTGTGCATGACAAGTTTTACACTCAGCTGCAACATCTTTTTCTGACCTAAACAAAAAATACTACCACATGGCGGACATCACTCCTTCTCCTTGCTACTTTGTTTGTACCTTAGTACACACGGTTGTTGTGATCATGTGGGCTCTGCATGCTGGATCCAGGCGCTTCTAGACGGAGGTGCTGGAGTGGAGTCTGGAATGGACTGCTTGTATCAGCGTGCTGATATCCTAGATCAGGGGTCTTCAAATAAATTTTCAGTGGGTCCACCTGAATGAAATGCCTGCAGGCCTGGGTCCAGGGATTTTTATTTATTTATTTTTTTACAGTGCATTACTCTTTTGAAATATTCACTTCATTTGTATTGCCAATAACTGCCTACTTTCAATTGGCTGTGTGCTTCCTGCGGGTAAAATGAATGCAAATGACTCGGTACACTCGCCATAAAACACCCTGTTCTCATTCTCTACCTTTTGTGGTTTTTAAGCCGACATGTTTAGCTGCTGCTACAACTTTCTCCTCAGTCTGCCGCCTGACAGTTTTCAACATCGTGATTGCTCGGTAATCTTCGTGTGTCGAGTAGGCTAAGAGGTCTGATTTGATTGACAAGTCAAGGAGTAAGCAAGTGATGTAATGCCTTGCTGAAATTGCACGTGCAATTTACTGAACCAGGCACAAAGCAAGAGAGTAAGGCTGCACGATATTGGAAAAAACTAACATTGCGATTTTTTTCAACCCTGCGATATATATTGCGATATTAAAAATATAGGAATTTTCACCAGATGACCTGAATAGCATTTAATGTTATACTGCACTGCTGAAATCTTGAGGACAGTTAACCTGCACTGATCTTACCTCTTTTTGTGAATGTTAGAATGGCTTCTGTCTGTCTCAGAGACATTTTTAGCTTTTATTGTGCTGGGACGTTATTGTGGCGACAGATGAACACAGAACACGTGTTTTGGTCAACATCATCCTTCTTTTAACCGAAAAAATCCCAGATAACTGACTTTCCTTTTCTTTTTGGCAACAATTCTTCATTTTCGGTGGTTTCCTCTTGTTCGTTGCTCATTTTGCAATCGTTGTTGTTTATGTTGTTCTTAGCGGTGTTGTGCCGAGAAACGCATGTCCTCCGAGAATTGCATGCACCTCGCAAAACGTGCACTGCTTATAGTAGAGTGGTCCACGGAAATATACATTTTAAAACCCATACAGTTCTTATTTGTTGGGCTTAACAGTCAGTAAAGTTCCGAAAGTAATTCTCAGCGGACACGCGTCTCACTCCATGTGCAGAACATGTGCAGGGATGGGTTTCCTCCTCTCTGATTTTGATTGACAGCTGGCAGGGTAGTCAGATTGGCAACTGAGTAAAGAACGAAGGTGATTGGTGGATCGCTACACAGCACATGCAGAGTCACATGCAGTGTATCTCAGTCAGTTACCCTTGAAATTAACTGAGTTCATTCAGCTCCGACATCGCAGGCTCTGCGATGTGACTATCGCACACATGTACATCGTGCAGGCCTACAAGAGAGAAAAAAAACACACATTTTTCTGCGGTAGGCTAGGGTCCGTATTGGACTCTTTCCCGGTCCGGAAGTGGACCGCGGTCCGCCATATGGAGACCACTGTCCTAGATCTTAGATGCAGGTTGATATAATCTAATATTTGTTTTGTTTTTTTTTTGCTGATATTGGACCATATCCCATATCAATATCGGATCGGGACATCCCTGTTTCAAAATGTTCTGTTTTCTTGGGAGGTTACACAGTTTTAAAGAGATAAATGCACATTTTGACCCACTTTCTCTCCCGTACTTCTTCCATCTCATTCTTATCTTCGTTTATTCATGTCTATATTTTGTCCCCTATTCTTATGCTCTCATTTATTCCTTCTCCCCAAGTTAGTACCTTTCTTTAGCGTTGATGTGGGCACATCAATTTATGATCTATCTGTGAGTCTAGCCAAAATAATGCAGAGTAATGTGTTCCTTTTACTTACTACGTGGGATGTTTATGATGCTATTGGGTTTTTACGAAGAGGTCCCTTGGTTAATGTTTGCCCCTCATACAGTGAGCACAAATAGTAGCTGAGCATTTTTATAACACTTAATCCTTTTTGTTTCGCTGGGGTTTCAGGTTTCAACTTCTCAAGTGTCTGAAAGGTAGGACGAGGTCAGATTGGACACATTTAATAATTGAAACCACTGCCAGTGAGCTTGTATTTTAGCTGAGGTTTGCAAAGTGTCTGGCAGAGCTGCAACAAGACTATGTTTGTCCAGCAGGTCTTGCTCTGAATTAGTGAGTGAGCTCTTCAGTGCAGTAAACAGCTCTGAACCTGGGGATGGTGGATAGAAGGTAATATAAAGCTTACTGAGTAGATATTGTGGATTTAACTGTTCAGTTAAATACTACGTTATAAACCCCACTGGAGTTCCAAAGGATGACAAAGCTAGCGATGTCTTTATATCAGTCTCAAGTACTAGACTGACTTTTTTTACTGATTAGGGATCATCACAGCTCAGTAATAATCAGCACGTCCAATAATATCATCCAATATTCAACATTTTTACAATAATTGGCATCAGCCGTGTTTTTCATGGATAGACGATAAAATACGTTTATTTTAAAATGCGTTTGTTCGGCGCTGCCTGACGCCATCACTCTTGGCTGTGTAACAATGTCACACCCACAGTCACCACCGGATTGGGACTAATAACTGAGACTACCAGCTACAACTGCCCAACCATACAGTCCATGATTACGTTTCTTATTTATTAAAATTCAGGGAGAAATTTTACTATGCTTTTTTTTATTTTCGTAAGAGTTAGAGTTCATCATAAATGCTACTACATGATCCCTGCAGTTTTCGTTGTTTTTGTTGTTAAGACAATCAAACAATTGTTTGGACCTTTTCAACAAAGATTTGCATCTTATTATGCAAGTATTTAAGGCTTTTTTTATTACAGATTTTCACAGTGTACAAAACAAACAAACAGTGTACTGTGTTCAGTCTAATCCCAGGTGTGTTATCTAAAATTTTGACACCAAAATATCAATTTTTACTGCAATTGAATACCAGTTCCAAATATCAGTTATTGATTTCCTTGATTACTAATAATCGGTATCAGCCCTAAAAAATCGGTCAAGTCTTAATGTCAAGTATCACAAATTAAACACAGTTTGTATACAAATCCTCCCCTTCAGGTTGGTGACCCTGCCCGAGATGTTTGTTCTGCCTCTCGAAAATTTCCACCTAGACACAATTTTTCTCCCTCACAAACGCTGGTTCAAAATGGCGAAGGTACAAGCAAGGCATGGCAGTTGCTCTGTTGTTTGCTGCACGAAGCAGCACAGAAGACTGTTTCCATAGACTGCAAGAACATCGTCACGAGAGATAACTAGACTTACAATAGTGGGTATTCACCAAAAGAGTACCGAGAAGACAGCGGGGATGTAACTGTTAGCAGGAGCTAATGTTAGCTAGCTACATGTAAGTCACTGTGTAACAACACACAGACAAAGTAAAAAGAAAAATATGGAGACACATAATGTTTGTAGGTAACCATTCAAAAACGTCCTACTGCAGACACTGAGTTGGAATTTCTTCAGGAGCCTCTGCTTCAGACTCTGGATCAAACTGGTACGGCTGGACCACAGCGCTTCTACAACCATACCTAGCACTCTGTGAAAACATTAGCGCATGGTACCGTAGCACAGGCCACGCCCCTTCTTCCAGAGAGACAGGGATGGGCGTGGCTTGCGCTGAAGGAGGCGTGGACGGGCGCAGCACACAGAAACAGCGTGTTCTCGGTAGGGCTCACTAGAGAGAGTTTTCAGGCTGGCTGAAGTCCAGGGAAAAGCTGGGTTTTTAGACTACAAACTTCCAATTGACTGTTCTGGGACCTCTGAGACCTTTTGTGAACCTTCTAAAAAGGAGTATTATATGGGACCTTTAAAGAACTATCACAGGACGCAATGAGACAGTTAAAAGTTTGTATTGTTCCTCTTGTACTCTCCTCCTGCATCCCTTTTGCATGTGTGTCAGAGCTGCTGTTAGAGGGATGAACTTTGTGTGATATGAGTTAAATGGAGATTTGATTTGAAAGCAGGAAAATTGGCAAAAGGCCCAAAATATTACAAAGAGGTGATAATTTCGTCACTGTAGACAACAGGCTTACCTTCATGTTATATGTAAGTTTTAGAGCTATGCAAGCTAGGCCAAGTTCAATGAAAATAGGCAAAGGCATGTCTTATTTTGTTTGCCTAATTATGCTGCTAAAAATGAGACCGGAATCAGAGGCCTTAAAGGCTGATTGGGACATCTGTGGACACAGCAGTCTCTACTCTCTGCCAGTGTACATATACACAGTCACCTGTTATAGGGACATTATAGGTCTGTCTTTATGGTTCTTACACAAGCTCTGCAGTTTACACTTCGCTAAAACATAAAAGTCCCCATTGATCAGCAAGAAAAGGGAAAGCAGTAGAGAGACAGCTGGTTGTTGCTGACTGTAAAACATACTGCCTCTTTGTGACATCAATTCATCACAACTTCTCTATCATCTCCTCAGAAATGAATATTGTCCTATTTTCATGAGTGCAGAAAACTTTTCAATTCTTAAGTACTCCCAAAATGTTAATTTGGGTAAAAGAAGCGAATAAAAATGTGCCATCATAGCACTGACATGTGTCAACATCTAAGGTGGTATGTCTATGTCCACTTTTGACCAATGTGTCACTATATTTTGTTGTCTATGGAGGCGTATATTTACTTGTTTTTCCTAATTATTCTCTGTTGTCAGTCTCCAGTTTCTCCTGAGACCATGCTTGTACCTTTGGCTGCTAAATGATTACCAAAAATATGTGCATGTGAGATAATGTGCATTTATAGATTTCATAAAGGGTTTATTTATTGAATTGTAAGCTACAATAGGTTTTATTTTGCCTTAGTTTAAAAATATCCAGCCCTGACGGTGAATGATGGGCAGAGCAGAGCAGACTGAGTGTTGGTTCCTGGGCTACATGATTCTTTGCACTGTAATAAATAAGAGTCACATTTGCCAAAGCTGTCTAAAAGCTTAACAGAGCTGTGACAGTCATGTAGCTGAAGATAAAATGTGTGTCTGATGTCTCATATGTCTTAAGCAAACACTGGTGATTTACACTGAACTTTCATTAGCAATGTTAGTTCTCTGCAACCAGCTGTGTCTAAAAACGCAGCTGGTTGCCAAGCAGGACATCATGTACCAACTGTGCATGCACAGTTTACATATGTGTGTTTCAAGTCATGCAGCGCCCAGTGCCCTCTGCCTGTCAGAGTTTGGGTAGTTTGACTCACAAGTAAGTAAATCTCATAAGAGTCTAGCAGCTATCGAGAACATTAAATCTAAATGACTTATTTCATTCTTCACTTTTGGTACCAGGTACAGCGAGGCTTTGAAGACGTAATCAAACAGAACAAAACTGAACTTTCTTCCTCACACCTGTGACAGGATGTGACCATTTAAAGACTCACTGTCACATTGACATGAAAGACAGTAAAACCTGTCATGGTAAAGTGAGCAGGTTTCATGTCAGTTCAGAGCTCTCAGAACTTTTCTGACACTGTACTCAACAGTTCTCCATGGCTCTGCTGCCCTCTTGAGTCCAGTTGATGGAGCTCTCCTGATGCTAAACAAACTGTAATTCTGGCACTATGATCAAAACTTCTTTATCTAATAAAGGTGTGTGGGCTTAACAAAATATGGTGCTGTAATGACAGAGCTGACATCACAAGGGTATTTTTTTCACATTTATGTCGGTGTGTGAAGTAGCACACAAAAGAATGAAACTAGGAGCTAAAAGCTTGAGGAATTCTTGCAAAGTCTAAGAACACAATACAATGACGTTTTATCCTCCTCTTTTTACCCACATATAATAAAATTCTCCTAAAGTCTTATAGGAAAAATAAAAAAATCCCTTTATGATTGGGGTGGGAATCACCACGGGCCCCACGATATGATCTTATCACGATACTTGGGCCACCATATTGTTGCAGTTTTTTACATTTTGCAATACAGTCAGTATTGCGATACAATATATTGTGATCTTTACAATTTTTTTTAACTGTTTTGCTAATTTAGCATTTGTCTTTCCTGTATGTTTGTCTTACTTACACAAAATTTTACTTTCATGGAGCATCTTTATCAAGTTACTGCACAAACCTCATGTGTCAGGTCCATCTCATTTGTGCCCTGTTTGCATTCCAAATGTCTTTCTCCAGGTGCTGCTATATTTGTTGTACTAACTTTCTCCTGCTCTATGATGTCACCTTTGCCAGCCTCACTGGACAAACAGTTGATTTGATTTTTCCATTATCATAGATTTGACTTCATATTAGCAATTAATTTGAAAAAACTGATACCTGGTAAATGAGTTAATATGATATATCACCAGACAAAATATCGCAATACTATTCTGAACTGATTTTTTCTCCCACCCTGACTATAATTATGTCGGTGCTGTTCAGCAATCATTAATTTTATTAACTGTTCGTGCTCCACAAAGAACTTCTGGTTAAAAGATTTCAGCGAACACAGTTTATTAATTACTGTCTTGCTTTTCATGTGTCTCCTCCCTCCAGCCATGGCCCAGTGTGTCGAACTTGGCCAAAGACTTTGTGGAGCGGATTCTGACTGTGGACCCCAGTGAGCGGCTCACAGCTGGACAGGCCCTCAAGCACCCCTGGATCGTCAGCATGGCTGCCTCTTCCTCCATGAAAAACCTACAGCGCTGCATATCTCAAAACCTTCTGAAGCGGGCATCGTCCCGCTGCCACAGCACCAAGTCAGCCCAATCCACTCGCTCCAGCCGCTCCACCAAATCCAACAAAGCACGGCGGGTGAGAGAGAAGGAGCTGCGTGAGCTGAACCGTCGCTATCAACAGCAGTACAATGGCTGAAACATGGACTACAGCAGCTCAACACTGTAGCAGTTAATTTACCTTTGGGTAAAACAGCACAATGACTGAGCTCTTGCTTTAATCTTCATTAGTTGCAGTTGCTGCCAGTGTCAGAGGTGAAATGATTAAAAATCATTGCTGACAAGGAAGAGGACAGGGACTTGACTAAATAAGCAAGCAACAATGAGTGTGCAACGGAATTATCCTTATCAAGTTACTGCTGCAAAGTCAAACAGGATCGCAAAGACAGTGTAATCAACATTTTTTCCCCAGCAGTGTGTCTCCTGATGAGAGCAGACAAGAACTTAGCAGGTTCAGACTCTGAAGGATGCATCATCTCTACATCCATTCCTTCACTCTACTTTGAAAGGATGGCCTTTTAACTTCTTTGCCTTTGTTCTTTCAACTTCTGTGTCTCTACATATTTATTTATTATTGTTGACATGATTATTAGTCTCCACTCAAATGGTCACTGGATAATGACCTTCTTCTAGGATCTGTTGAACAGAGGTTTGGTTACTGAAGATGTTAAAAAAGGGGATACTTAAAGAGGAGGAGATGGGAGATTCCCTTCACTCTTCCCAGTTTGAAAATTGCTGTGAATTTACTGTTGTACAGAGGTCGAGTTATTTCCTAGTACTTAGATTATCTAATCTTGCCACCATTTTTCTGTTAAAGTGATCAATTCAAAGCTGTCAAAAGATTGTGAAGCTGTTTTGTGGCCTTGTTTTATTTTAAAGGTATAGTTGAATTATTTTTTGTGGGGTCATATGAAGTACTTGTCAATAACATGATACCAACAGGGGATCCAAGCCAGCTGGACAAAGAACTGACAGGCTATCAACTGCTGTAGACAGGGGATAAAAAAGTCTGACCTAAATATCATTGCTAGTTTAATTAAATCGGTGGGTCTTTTTTTGAAATACTTGTTGAGTTAAGCCCTTTTCGGGGTTGATTAACCAACTTCCTTGTTGACTCTTTGCCTGATCTCTCAGTAAAGTAGCTGAACAAACCTGGGTCCCATGCGGATTAGGGCTGCACGATTAATCGATTTTAAATCGTAATTGGATTATTTGATTATGACGATGATGTTTAAAAAATTTCAATCATCAAATCGATTTTCCTCTCTATCATGTCATGCACCCCCAGGCCACCTTAGGCTCTCTCTTTCTAGAGCGCTCCCCAGTTTTCACACACACCATTGTAAACAAACATGGCGTTTGCAAAAGAAAGCGATGATTTCATGGCTAATTGGGGAAAGAGGAAGTCAGTCATGTGGAATTGGTACGGCTTCACAGTTTCAGATTAAAAGCAAACCACTCCCCACTGCAAAGTCTGTCTGAAGGCGGTATCAACCCGTCCACACGGAAACGAATTCAGGATTAAATGCAAAGGTTCTTTGTCGCATTGGCGTCTAATCCATATGGAAACTGCGTTTCGGGTGACTGTATTTGGTACTTTTTGAAAATGAGTCAGAGAGTGCATAAATCCATAAATGACTACCATTTCATCTCCATGTAAATGCCTACCTGTATCTCTATAAACGATTATGTCACACACAGCGTAACTTTTCTATGGCGCCTGCACGTGTCCGGCCAAAACAACCTATATACACATTCTCTGTACTCTTCTTCTGTCTTTGGTGCATTTCTTCGGCAGTGTTACAGCGCCACTTACTGGCTTGGAATATGCACTACACTGTTTTCAATGGTTTCTTTTTTAGAGAGGATAGAAAAATGTATTATCAGAGTGAAGTTTGGAAAAGTTGTCACTAAATAAGAAATTGAAAATTGAGTTTTCAGAGAAAATAATTGGGATTTTATTTTTGGCCAAAATCATGCAGCCCTACTGCGTATCTACGTCTAATGTTGTCAAGTACCTCATACAACCCGCCAAATATATCAAACTATCCATTAATGTATTTTATCAGACCCTTGGTTACACAGCATTGCTCACAGTGACCTTCTGAATTCAATATATTCTGCTCATGAAATACCTACCGCAATCCTTGCCTGTTACAGTGAGAATGACACACGGCTACAAAAATGAATCAGTGTTTGTTTTAGGGAGCTGCCACTGGTTTTACTGGTTCTCTGTAACCTAGAATGTAGCCCATTTTATATTACAGATATAAGCATGTACTAATTACAAATCAATCAGATAATCCAGGTTGCATCACACAAAGTAGTTCTTACCTAAATAATAGGTTGTTAGAAATGCTTACTAAAGGCTGTTCTTGCAAACAGAACCCCCAGACAAAGCTAACATTAGCTACTACCAATAGATGGCTTGTTTGCACCAAAAACAAAAAAGGTATCTGACCAGACATCCAACCAAAATTCTGTTTCTACAGTGATGTTAAATGAAAATGATTCAAATGCACTTTGAATGACAAAATGTTGTGCAAAATTTCTAAATAATCAGAACTACATAATGAACATGTGTGGTTGGATTTCTTTTCTTGAAAAAAGTTTTATTTAGCATCATCAGATGAAGAATAATCTCCTAAAACATTAAATGAGGAGATGATCTTGTTAGTGAAACAGAGGCAAACTAGATGGACACCTTATAACCTTGTATGACAGAATCTATTTGATGAATAATCATCAAATAGATTCTGTCATACAAGGTTATGACACAGATATAAGGTTTAATATAAAATCTAACACACAGTCATGCCCCCAGCTTGTGAATGTGTTTTTTGAAGTTCTAAAATGTTTCCTTTTGTCTGTGAGTGAACTGAAATCTGAACGAATTTCAAAGGCTGTCTTCGGGTTTAGTCATATCGATCGAATCCACAGTAATGAATGGCATATGAGCTCCTGTGTACTTGGCCTTTTTAACTCTGTATATTTGAGTCTGAATCAGAACTTGTGAGTTGCAGACCAAAACCTACTAAGCATCATATCATAATGAGATGTCTGAAGAATTGATGATATGTATATTAGTGATAGTCTCACTAGCTAATATTAGCTGCCTCATGGGTCACTTTACCCCAGAGTGATTACAGATGATTTGGTCAAAACAGTGTAGTATTATATTACTTGATGAATACCAATAGTAGCACAACTGAAGAGTTCAGATAAGTTTGTTTTTTTATTTGCCGTTTGTGCCTTTTCTTTTATCCAGCAAAGCACATCATTCAAAAAGTAAAGTAATATGTTGTTTACAATTCAAATCTTCCTCTCTTTCTGAAGTATTTGCTGGAGTTTTATGTATTTGTTCCTTCAGAATGCAGTCAGAATAAACCATTCACTATAGTCATGAGCATTTCGCTGTGATCTACCCCAAACCAAAAAAGTGTTTTGCTGTTGTGAGTTTTTAAACACATACTGGAAACTTAACCGAGCCATGTGAGCTGACCTCAGTTATTTTCTTTCTTTTGTTCCTTTCCTGTTTAAGATTGCTGTCATCTCTTTGTTTCTCATCTTTCCTTGATGATAGTCAGATTTCAAAGCTTACATTTCTCTATTTCACTGCTGTTATTGTGCCCCAGCCCAAGGTGTAACCTAATTACATACATTAGATACAACAGATGTGAAGCTTACTTTGGAGCTAGTTTGGTACACTCAAATTTGGACCTGTCTGAGGCCACTTCACTGTAATAACGTTGGTAACATGATAAGCACACAGCAAAGCTTTGAAGTGATTCAGTCTTTGTCAAAGACACAGAGCCAGAGAAAACAGCTGTAGTTATCTTGAGAAAAAGATTTTGGATGAATGATTTTGTCATGGTTTTGTACTTTCTGCAACAGTAAAAAAAAAAGATAGCCTTAAATTTGGTTGTAGATTTGCTGATTTACTGCTTTTAGAGCATATCATATCAGGCAAATAAACATGTGTGCCTTCAAATGAACTAAAGCTCAAAGACTCCTCCTTAAACGGACCAATTTGACTCAAATTCCTGAATGGGCTTGAATGAATCAATGTGTACCACATACAGTAAAAAAAAAAAAAAAAACCATCAGCAGTTTTAGAGGATGTCATCACATTTGTAATAACCTTTCCTGTCATGTTTCTATATCTGTATGGTCTTATATAATTGCTGTTGTCTTAAATGAAGTAGCCAACTCAACACTGTTAACTGAAAACAGTTTGTATTTTGTTTTTGTGTTTTAGTGAATAATAACACTTTGATTCTTCCATTGTTAACTTTTTTATTTTTTTAAACAGTGAGTCGTAAGTGCCAATAAAAAATGCCAATAAAACACTCAAACTTGACCCTCTAAAGTGTATTTTTTTTCTGTTGGATTGATCAGTCTGCTCCAACAGATAACAAGACCTTGGGCTCTATTTTCGTGTCCGCCGGTGTGGCGGCGGAGGGTGGCGGACCCCGCGCAGTGGTATTTTCGTCTGGCGGAGCCCGGCGTACAGCCAGTTTGGACTGAGGCACACCGAGGTCCACCAAGCTGGGCGTGGTGGTGAGGCAGGGGGGGGGGGGTGTCGACAGTATCAGCTGGCGCAATGACATTTTCGTGCTTGCCGGTGGCATATAAAGTGCGCTGAAAGCTCGCCGATTCAAACCTGGTTAGCTTTCAGCGCAGGTGGAGCGCAGCTGGTCTAGAGGTATTTTGGTAGACCGGCAGCGTATCAGCATACATCACCGATGCCTCACCAGCAGGTTTCCACAGTGTCAGGCACATTTCAATGCAATAATAATCATCAACAACTAATAATCTGAGTCAGCACATACATTTAGATCTATATAGATATTCTGAGCTATATCTGATCTGATGAGCGCGTTTGGCATGCGTTTTGACCATAGACTGTATATAGAATGAACAGAGTCTGCCTCCTTGCTGGGTGAAGCCACTCCGAGAACAGCACCCTCTGTTGATGGGCTGCAGTATAGGTCATAAATCCCGCCTCCGCCAGCAAAGTTTATGGAGCTGTGGACAAACTTTAGAAATTTATTACACAGAACATAAATTTTTCTCCCCCCTGCTTGTGATGTTGACATGTAGTTACAGTAAGACTGGTTTGTGCTCAAGTCCTCTTTTTTCTGTAAAGCTCCGTTTTTAAAAGCTATTGGGGGGGTTCATGTTTTCTATGATTGACACCTGATACAGCCTATGGTCATTCGGGGATTGCGTAGCTCACCCGGGGGGATACGCTGTTTGAGCCGAGCGTCATCACAGTGACTCTCAGCGACTGCGCGGCCGAATGCGCGCATCGCTACTGCGCAGCTCTGGTTTCAGGAAATGAAGAAAAATCCCAGAAATACCGAGAGCTTTTTGGCTTCAAATCCGTATACAGGCAGTAGGCGGAACCAAGTTGTCCATAGTATATACAGTCTATGGTTTGGACACACAACCTGACCGGATCAACACAGCTGAAACCGCATTAAATTAAATTAAATATCTAGTAAACAGACACACATGATGAAGTGAACAAGATATGTTATGCGTCTCCCTTCTTTTCTTTCTTCCTCTTCCTCTTATTTCTCGCGTAGCTCGACCTGGACATGTCTCCTTGTCCTCTCCCCGTCCTGCTGCAGCTGCTGCGGCGGCGGCTGAACAGATGATTTTTTTCAGTGCTCAGATGAGTTATTTACTTAAAGCCTACATACGAATATTATAATATTCAGTTTTGTGAGCCAAATTTAATTTATATGCCAACATCTATGAAAGAAAGAGCCAGGCCACGGAGCGCGATGCGTCATTATGCACAGATGGTTCCAACTTTAATGCCATTTTTGGAGTTTATGTTGTGATCTGTGCGTACAACCCACCTTTGTCACATGAGGTTTGAATATATGCAACTTTATGTGAGTGTCTTTATTTGTGGAAAGGGTGTTTGTCTTACCAGTGGGTCCAACATTACACACACCAAATCCATCTGTGCTCATATGAGAGAGTGTGAAGGACGGCCTCTGCAGCGCTTACAGCGACACTTGTTGAGGGGCTGCCTTCTGTCGCCATTGTGTGGCATTACTGTCTTCAGACATCTCTTTTGATCTCTTTGACTACTTCACGAAAATAGTAATACGCCTCGCCAGTGGCGGATTTAAAGGCGAGGAGAGGAGCTGATTTTATTGGTTAATACAGGTCTCGGCTGTGTTAAACCCACTCCATGCCTCTCTCCTCCCTCACTACGACTTACGCTGCTGGGAGGAGCTGAGTTAGGGAGGGGGGATACTTACGCCGGGCTGCGCCGCTCACCAAATTACCAAATTGGGCTTGGGAACGCCTTGTCGGCGCGGCGGACCTGACTTACGCCGTGCATGCGGCACGTCTCCGGCGAGGCACGGAAATAGAGCCCCTCGTGTTTCATAAATAACTCACAGATTAAGTCAAGATGATGGGCTCTATTTTCATGCCTCGCCGGAGACGTGTCGCAGGCGCGGTGTAAAGATGGATTTGGTGTGTGTAAGGTTGGACCCACTGGTAAGACAAACACCCTTTTCCACAAATAAAGACACTCACATAAAGTTGCACATATTAAAACCTCACGTGACAAAGGTGGGTTGTGCGCAGAGATCACGCGTAAAGGACGCATCGCGCTCCGTGGCCTGGCTCTTTCTTTCACAGATGTTGGCATATAAAATAAATTTGGCTCAAAAAACTGAATATTATAATATTTGTATGTAGGCTTAAAGTAAATAACTCATCTGAGCACTGAAAGAAATCATCTGTTCAGCTGCCGCTGCAGCAGCTGGAGCAGGACGGAGAGAGGACATGGAGACATGTCCAGGCCGAGCTGCGCAAGACATAAGAGGAAGAGGAAGAAAGAAAGGGAGGGAGACAAATTAAATATCTTGTTAACTTCATCATGTGTGTTTATTTACTAGATATTTAATTTAATTTAATGCGGTTTCAGCTGTGTTGATTCCGTCAGGTCGTGTGTCCAAACATGTGCCTAACGCGCTCATCAGATCAGATATAGATCAGAATATATCTATAGATCTAAATATATGTGCTGACTCAGATTATTAGTTGTTGTTGATTATTTATTGCACTGAAATATGCCTGACATATCAGTGACGTCGGTGACGTATGCCGATACGCCGCAGGTCTACCAAAATACCACTAGACCAGCTGAGCTCCGCCTGCGCTGAAAGCTGACCAGGTTTGAATCGGCGAGTTTTCAGCGCACTTTGAACGCCACCGGAAGCACAAAAGTGTCACTGCGGCAGCTGATTCTGTCGACACCTCCCTCTGCCACGCGACCACGCCCAGCTTGGCGGACCTCGGTGCGCCTCAGTTCACGAAAATACCAAACTGGCTGTACGCCGGGCTCCGCCAGACGAAAATACCACTGCGCAGGGTCCACCACCCTCCGCCACCTCACCGGCGCACAGGAAAATAGAGCCCTATACCTTTGTTGTTTAGCTCATTCTGTGAACCTGCCACTGTTTGATGCTTTTGAGATGCTGTTTTTATTCTTTCATCTGGACTTCAAAAAGGTCACAGTATCATGTAATAAATATCTGCCATGATGAGGCTGCTTTAATGTTGTAAAAGTTGCATTTTTGTGGTTTTGCAGGGACTTTTAAATATTGAAATGAGTGCAGTAAGCATACCGAATATTAAGGTCAGAAGACCAGTCTCACATGTTAGAGTTCTGTCTCCTAACGATGAACAGCCCCCTCTGCTGGCAAAACCACCAAACGACAGGAATGCTCTATTACACTAACGCGAGGGCCTTTGGGTTGCCAGGTTTGATACAAAGATTGACGAACCACGTTCAAGTGTGCAGACCAGATATCAGACCTGGTGTAATTTCGACTGGTCGAGTCATGGATGTACACTCTTCTAAATCGGTAGAGAAATATTGTCAGCATTTTACGGTGACTTTATTTAGAGTGAGCTGAGGGGGCTTGTTAAATTGAGTGGAATTGGGGGATGATGCATTGAAACCTGGCATCCTGTCATAGCCAGACGTCAGTGGTCTGCGGCTGTAGCGTTGGGTGAGTTTGCCACTAGCTTTTGTTCGGCGGACATTAAACTAACGAGCGTTATCCACTAGTTATCCTTGTATAGATACACAGATAGTAAACAACATTAGCACACAATGGTGACGTGCGGCCCACGGTTTGACTCGGTAAGTAGATGTAACGTGCTAACTACCAGCAGGTACTGTAAAATACTACTGGACTAGCTTGCTAACGCTGTACATGTGATAGACTGTTAAGACTAGAAAAATCCCTGGCGTATATCTTTGTTTACAAAAAGAGTTACAAATGGGTATGTTCAGTGTCTTAGCCATGAAGACATGCTCCAATATATTTTAAGGGGGTTTCTTTGAAGTTGTCCTCTTCAGAAACCCCTACGTTAGCTTCATCCTCCTGCATGTGTCTGCAGATGCTTCATTGTTTATGCTAGTTAGGTTTTCTGTATAGCTACATTGATTTTTAAGTATACATCAGAGGTCTACCTTAGTTGTAGATTGACTTGAATAAATGACGTGTTTCACTTTGACTGTCTGGTCCCGTCGTCTCTATGTGTGTGCTTTGAGCATATGATAAAAATCCTGGTAAGCTAACAGTGAACCGTATATGTACCCTCCAATGTAAACCACAGCCATCTAACTGTATAATTTTAGTGTGTTTACTTTGCTCAGGGAGTTAACCATGGGCACGAACTAAAGCAAAAGCAGTCTGTTGTATAATTTGAAACAATGGCAATCGTTATGGTCTGATCCCCTCATTGGACACGCAAGGACATTTTTCATGTTTACCGTTACAGTGTGGACGAATTCATTTCTGTTTGCATCTCTAAAGCGGCTTCAACTCTTCTAGATACCTGTTTTCATCTCCACTTTTGTCTCGTTTTTGTATGTACAGATAGAGTATTTCTCTGAACCCGTGGGTTGAGAATCCAAAGGTAGTCAGACTCCTCATTGCTGCCTGTAGGACAGATATCTCTTGAAGAGATCTCTACTTTGTTCCTTGGTTGGTGTGGGGGTACTTTCACATGTTTGCCTGGGTGGGGATGTGTGCCATTTTTGTGGTGTGGTGTTGTGTTGACACAGGTAGTCCTGGCCTGTCTTTTACTGCCCTGCCATAACAAGTGGGGCTATTTTTACAACCCCTGGTGAAAACCTGGTGTGGTAGTCAGCCATATTGTTGTCTCACTCAAGCAGCGATTCTGCCTCAAGCTGCAGCTTGTGATTGAGCCCCCTCCCATCTGGCCAGACCAGGCTTGGGCTTTAAATTAACACTTAGTTAACATAAATGGCACATGTTAAACATATTAACTTGTGCAAGCTGGTGCCTGCAGATTTCAAATATCCATCTGGGGCAATGTCAGCCACAAGACCATATGCACATATGTGTATGAAGAGTTTGTGAAATTTCTGCTTAATATAAATGAAATACTTTGAAGTGAGTGAAAGGAGGCATCAACCAGAAAACTCACTCCAGTTGTTGGGACAGTTAAAATCAAGCATAATACGGCCATCACAAAGAAAATGATTGAACAGAAGGTAGATTAATTTATTTATTTAAATGCTATTTCTAGTTGTTATTGCTTACAACTTCAATAACAAAGTCATCCAACTCACATGCCTGCTGTCAGGTAACAAAGACATGCATTTCAGTAGTTGACAGGCTGGTTAACTCAGTTTCTCACCATGGAGGGAGTGTTTGATTTGTAATGACAACCTAACAATAGAGTCATACCTGCTTTAATATGTTGGGTTTAAGTTGTACACATACAAATACATTCATGTGACTTACTTGATACTCCCAGCTGCTCTTAACATATTACACACTGTTAACATTAATTTGCAGCAGTAAAGATACCAGTGAGAGTATAGCTGACCTACAGGGCACAAACATGATTCATAACATGATGCCTCATTCTAAAACACATGGGGCTCTATTTTCGTGCTTCGCCGGAGACGTGGCACAGGTGCGGCGTAAGTCAGGTCCGCCGTGCTGACAAGGCGTTCCCAAGCACAGTTTGGTATTTTGGTGAGCGGCGCAGCCTGGCGTAAGTTTCCCCCTTCCCTAACTCAGCTCCTTCCAGCGACATAAGTCGTAGCGATTGAGGAGAGAGGGCGTGGAGTGGGTTTAATACAGCCGAGACTAATAACATCAGCTCCTCTCCTCGCCTTTAAATCCGCCACCGGCGAGGCATATTCCAGTTTTCGTGAAGTAGTCAAAGAGATCAAGAGATGTCTGAAGACAGTAATGCCACACGATGGCGACAGAAGGCAGCTCCTCAACAAGTGTCACTGTAAGCGCTGCATTGGGCGTCCTCCACACTCTCTCACATGAGCACAGATGGATTTGGTGTGTTTAATGTTGGACCCACTGGTAAGACAAACACCCTTTTCCACAAATAAAGACACTCACATAAAGTTGCACATATTAAAACCTCACGTAACAAAGGTGGGTTGTGCGCAGAGATCACGCGTAAAGGACGCATCGCGCTCCGTGGCCTGGCTCTTTCTTTCATAGATGTTGGCATATGAAATAAATTTGGCTCACAAAACTGAATATTATAATATTCGTATGTAGGCTTAAAGTAAATAGCTCATCTGATCACTGAAACAAATCATCTGTTCAGCCGCCGCAGCTGCAGCAGGACGGGGAGAGGACACGGAGACATGTCCACGTCGAGCTGCGCGAGAAATAAGAGGAAGAGGAAGAAAGGGGGGGGGTTACATATCTTGTTATCTTCATCATGTGTGTCTATTTACTAGATATTTAATTTAATTTAATGCGGTTTCAGCTGATTCTGTCGACACCTCCCCACGCCCAGCTTGGCGGACCTCAGTGCGCCTCAGTCCACGAAAATACCAAACTGGCTGTACGCCGGGGTCCGCCACCCTCCGCCACGTCCCCAGTGGACACGAAAATAGAGCCTATGGTAGTACAATGGAGATGTACTGAAAGCCATTCTTGATGTCCCTTGTGTCTTAGTGAGAGAAGATTCCAGGTCCTCACAGGAGTTTGTGCTGGGAAGCCTAGGCTGGACAGAGCGTGTTCTCATGAGCTCTGGTTTTGAGCTGTTGAAAAAAGTCTGTGTTTGTGGGCACGCCATTGTGTTTTGTAGGTAGCGTATCTAATTACTGGGTTTTCATGCCTTTGGCAAGAAGGAAATGATATGGCACCTGCCCAGAATTCCAGAATTCTCATTTTGATGCTGCTCAAGAAGGTGCAAGGAAGTCATTTATCACACACGCCATGGTTAGTCAAGATAGCCTAGCTAATTTGATCTTTTTTTAGGTAATTCTTTCATGCTTAAGGTTTATTTCCAGGTAATTTAAAACATAAAATTAACCTGGATTTTCTTTATTTTTTTTTTATTTTTTGGCGTTACAAATCCTTAAATCCAAATCTGAAAAATGTCAGGAAAGAAAAAAAATGTTTGTTGTACAAAGTTTGTAAAACTAAATAAATAAAACAAAATATTTGAAGAGAAATTAATTTAGTAACTTAAAGATCTGTGAAGAGTCCTTGAAGTCTGCTGTTCAGTTAGTGTCTATGTTTACTTTGTAGCAGTGAGACACTCAAGTTTACTCACTCAAGAACTTGTCTCTCATTTGAAGAAAAACTCAAGACATTTGTATTTTTATAAATTTTTCATACATTCAATTATGTTGGTCACAGTCTCACACAGCTTTTACATCAATGTTTCAGTAAATGCCTCAGGCATTTCCAGCCCAAATGTTGGGAAATTGTCATGTAGTCACTGGGGACTATGACAGTAGTATATTTTTTTTAACCAGCAGCATAGTGTGAGTATTTTCCCATTTTACAGTCATGCTGACTAGACACTATACAGTCTTGTTCTGATTCCCACTCTGTACGCCCACTTTACTGACAACCAGCACTAAGGGCTATCTTTTTATTCTTTTATACTCTGGTGCTGTGACCAAGCACTCTTCTCTTTTGTGTGGTTTAAAGCTGGCAGCTATCAGACACTGTCTGCTGGTAGGACTGGGTTACAACAGGAACAAGGAAAATCGGAAGAAAATATCATTTTTTAGTGTGTTATTTTCATATTTAAAAATAATGACCTATCCCCAGTTAACATACCTTGTACATTTTTGTGCAATTCAGGATGTGTTTCATTAGTGCAGAGTAAGGCTGCACGATATTGAAAAAAACATTGAGATTTTTTTCAACCCTGCAATATATATCGCAATATTAAAAAATACAGGAATTTTCACCAGGTACCCTGAATAGCACTTAATGTTATGCTGCACCGCTGAAGTCTTGAGGACAGTTAACCTGCTCTGATCTTACCTCTTTTTGTGAATGTTATTGTGGAAACAGATGATCACAGAACACGTGTTTTGGTCGACATCATCCTTCTTGTAACCGAAATAATTCCAGATAACTGACTTTCCTTTTCTTTTTGGCAACAAGTTTTCATCTTCGGTGGTTTTCTCTGTTTGTTGCTCAGTTTGTGATCATTGTTGTTTTAGTTACCGGGGTTGTGCTGAAAAACGCTTGTCCTCCGAGAATTGCCTGCACCTCACAAAACACGCACTGCTTATAGTAGAGTGGTCCAGGGAAATGTACTATTTAAAACCCATACAATTCTTATTTGTGGGGCTAAACAGTGATGAGTAATGTTCCGAAAATAATTCTCAGCGGACACGCGTTTCTTAGCTCAACACTGGTAGCAACTCACTCCATGTGCAGAACATGTGCAGGGGCGTGGTTTCCTCCTCTCTGATTTTGATTGACAGCTGGCAGGGTAGTCTGATTGGCAACTGAGTAAAGAACGAAGGTGATTGGTGGATCGCTGCACAGCACATGCACAGTCACATGGAGGGTATCTCAGTCAGCTACCCTTGAAATTAACTGAGTTCATTTGCAGCCCTAGTGCAGAGGATTGTCTGTGGTGAGTGTCTTTATTGTCATAAGATGCGAAGTTGGTTGTTGTTGGCTATATTTGTGTAACTCACTATGTCATACCCCCTGCATGCCAGTGCCAGTTAAAGCTGTATCTGATTCTATCTAGTAACACATGGTTGTTTCCAGACAACAGCAGTGGCTTAATAAGAAAAGAGTGGTTGGCACCCAACTAGGGCTGCACGATTAATAGATTTGAAATTGTAATCGGATTATTTGATCATGACAATGTTGAAAAAATTTAAATCATCAATTCAATTTTCCTGTCTATCACGTCTTGCACCTCCAGGCCACTGTAGGCCCCACCTTCCTGCAAGAGTGCTCCCTAGTTCCCACACACACCAGTGTAAACAAACATGGCGTTTGCTAAAGAAGGCGATGATTTCATGGCTAATTAGGGCAAGAGCAAGTCAGTCGTGTGGAATTGGTATGGCTTTGTAATTTTGGACGAAGAGCAAACCAAGTCTGTCTGAAGACGATATTAATCTGTTCACATGTCCCCGGCCCGAATTCAGGAGTAAATGCAAAAGTTTTTTGCCGTATTGGCATTTAATCCATATGGAAACGGCATTTCGGGGCACTGTAAATGGTACTTTTTGAAAGTTTTTAGAGCAAAAAAAATCTGGGCCAAAATCATGCAGCCCTAGCTGTATCTGATTCTATCTAGTAACAGAGGGTTGTTTCCAGACAACAGCAATACTCTCCTGAGTGGCTTAATAAGGAAAGAGTGGTTGGCACCCAACAACACTTCAGCTCCTTGGCAAACCTTTCTGTGAGTGCTGCATGCTGTGATAGAAGTAAAAACAGAACCTTTGACAGGAGCAACATTAACTTTTGTTCCCCTTAAACCAGATCCTCAAGTATTGGCATCATTACAAAATAATTTTTTGAAGTATCTGTGGACAGGTAGATCGGAGGTCAAGTAGCTAAAGAGTTTTTTCTATTTATAAGTGTATTTTATACAGGGCTAAGTATGTCATATGTTCATTGCATATATAAGATGCTGGCAGACATTGAGGAAGAAATTGCACTGCTACATAGAAAGACTGTCTTAAGTCTGTGTTTCCTTTTGGGGAAAAAAAGATCCAGAAATCAGCTGGTCCTGATGATTTTCTTTATTGTTCTTGAATTTACTCTAAACCTTTGTTAATTTTTTAAAAATCCTTCTTTTAAAAGTGGTAGGACACCTGAGTTCTGAAAGGCAGCATGTGTGACTCCAGTTTTGAAAGGTGGAGTATCTTCTCCCAATAGTTCAAGAACCACACCTCATCTCTCATCTATTTTAGCCAAAATACTGGAGGTAATTATTAGTAATCAATGGACTTTTATACTTCTATATGGCATTCACAAGGAATTACACTCTGGGTTCACAACTAACATTACTCAAGATGTTCAATGGCTCCTTTCTGAGGAGATGGAGAGAAAGAAAACACATTTGATTGCAGACTGTTAGATTTGGATAGCTGTTCCTCGGATGAAAGGGGTGATTGTCTCCCATTTGGAAAATTGGGGTTCGGTCCCAAAGCTGTCCACATGCCTTTGGGCAAAACACTTGACCCACCAGCTGTGCCCAGTGGTTTGAATGTTATTGGTCAGAAACTGATGAGCTCTATACATTGCAGTCTCTGCCATGTGAATGTGACATGTGATGTGAATCACTTTGAGCGGTCAGAAGACTAGAGAAAGAACTACATAAAACATAAACTATTTACCAGACCCTGGCGAGATCACTAAATATGGGTCCTCACTCACTACATTAAAGGGCTGTCAGTATCAAGATCAAATATAACATAAAGTTTTATCTTTGCACTGATGATGCAGAAGAACGTGTTTTTCTTCCTTGTGCAGCTTTATTGTAGAAGTGAGTGAGTGTACGAAGGAAATTTCTTGAATCAAGACATGTTGTCTAACATGCAAACAAGACCTGACTGATGTGATTCTTCAGGTTAAAGGATGGCAGGTAAAGATAGCTTTGAGAGTTTTGTTTGACACTGAGATCTTTTGAATCTGTTTCATGTAGAGAGGGACCAACGAATTGGACAGGCTGATAATTGGCACTTGGGGAAAAAGTGTCAGCTAATACCTGCGCTCACAGGGCAAATATAAACGAAGAATGTTTGCAGATACTGCAGGCAGCCAGAGGCCTGTACTATGAAGCTGGATTTGGTCTTCGCGAGATAACTTCTGGATAACTTCTGGGTTTTCCGTACTACGAAGGTGGATCTCTTTTTATCCGGGTCCGTTGCCCAGGTAACTTATGCGGAACGCCAAACCTGCTCCGGACCAGGTTATGTTTGAGGATAAGATCTCAGCGGGTATAAAAGACCGCCCAATGACCAATCGGATGTCTTGGAAAATGGCTTGCCCACTTTTGCCGGATCCCGGGGACATCATTGCACGGATAGTGAGAGGAGCAGTTCGCCGAGAGCGTTATATTCATGATCGTTCAAATCCGTTTGATTTACCTGATGATGTTCTATATGAACGTTACAGGTTTTCCTCGGACGGCCTCAATATTCAGGTAGCATGAAGTCTAAGCAATGCACTAATATTTGCCAAGCTCCAGGTTCCAATTTCATGCGGCATATCAGTCATCATTCAGAATTTATCGAAGCAGATGAGAAAACTCTTAAACTCAAATGTGTCTGCAGATGACGTGACCATCAGATGATGGAGAAAAAAGAAAAAAAGGCAGTGTGAGGAAATCACTGTTTACGCGTTGAAATATACAAATAAAATCTTCCAATAAACTTACAAACTACTTTAAAGGATGTTTTTTAGATTTATTTTTATTTGCTCCCACGTACTCTTTTCCCCACTGCTGTTGTATCTGAAATAATGAGGTCAATGATGGAGGTGATCACACACGCTGCATGACAACATATTAGGGGGCCATAAATTTATGAACGCACAAATGTAATTTACACAATCAATGATTTTTTTTGCCAGCAGTCCCTCCGGCTTTTAGCGGCTGCAGCTGTCCTGCTCCTCACTGATATAATGTTGCGGTACTCCTCGTATTTGCGTAAAATAATGCTCTGTTCTTCGGCTGTGAAAAATTACGTGCAGCCTTCTCCATTGTGGAGATTGGTCCGGTGGCACTGACCCCACCCCCTTTATGTTTGCGCGCACAGATCTGAAGTGGCCACACCTGGATTCAGTTATCGAGTCGATAACCGGCTTCGTAGTACAGCTGATCGGGATTGCGGAGATCCGGTGAAGTTGAGCGAGTTGTCGCAGAGTTATCCTGGATGTGTTAATCCAGCTTCGTAGTACAGGCCTCTGGTCTGTGTGGCTGCTGTGTCAGTAATGTTACTATCCCTTAATATACTAAGACATTGAACCATCCTAAATAACACCATATGAGATCTAACACACAGTTACTGATAAGTGGGATGAGAGTTTCATGTATATTTTGTCAGATCTGCATATTCTTCATTTTTTTCCTCGAAGAAAATCTGTCAGAAAGATTTCAGAGTGAGACCCCCCTCCAACACCCTCCAGAAAACAAAACAAACCCTAGCTACAGCAAACTCTGTTGGGTTTATTCTTTTGTAATGTAACATATCCTGTCCAGAACTTTGCAATTCTTTAGTTTTAGATTTTAAGACACACATCTGAAATGTTGTTTCTCTGTAAAATGTTTGTTCTCATGTGTTTTATTGTTGTCTTATTTTGAAAACTACTGATTAGATAGCCCTAGCCTTGGCACAATGTTGTTGTTGTTGTGAATCAGAGTTAAAGCTCAAATGTGGATTAATAAATTACCAGTGAAATATTTTTAATGTGATTGCTAAGATGTCTTAAACAAGTTGGGTTGTTGATCTCTTTCAGATGAAAATGGGCAAAAATTGCAGTTGGACTTCAAATTGATTCCAGCGTTCACGTTTATTGCCGCTTCCACCTGACGCCTATTTCCCCCACCGCTCTTATTGGCTGCTACCTGTAATTTTCAAGATGGCAGCTATGTCTCCTCTCTGGAAGTGCCACTGACCTCCACCCTGGACTTCACCATGGAGAGAAAACGCAGAAAGAAATTAATCTAGCTGCTCAGGCCATTTGCAATATGGACTCATTTTTGGAGCTCTGGACCTGAAACGCTTCTTTCCAACACTGACCCTGAACCAGATTTTAGCTACTCATCCTGTATTTGAAACAGCGCCCCTGCTGTTGGAGTTTGGAAGGATCAGGTCAAAGTGGTGCTTTGTACCACTTCATAACTCAGAATGATCCTGCTTCCTGTGTGGGCTTCCATGCTGTTGGGACTGCTGGTGGGCTTCCTGCCTTTGGTGGGGATGGAGCCGACTGGGGGAGCCAAATCTGGTTCCGACTCCACCCTCAATTTGGATCCCCTCCCTTCATCATCTGGCTCCAACTGTTCCTCTCAGTTAACCCTCAAACTGGAGTTCTCCTCCAAGGTGGTCGAGCACGGTAAGAAGAAATTTTTCAGAAATGTTCCTGTAGTCTTGACAAGGTGTAATAACACTTCATTTCATAATGTCCTCTAATGAATGAATGAACCAAACCAATTTATGGTTGCATTTGCTCCAAGTGAAATTAGTCTTGATGTTTCCTCCACAATGGAACCAGGGCCAGTTATGCAATACAGCTGGAGTGTTCAGTTTTTGTATGAAAACAAATACCCAGTTCAATTGCTGGATGTCAATACAGATGTCAAGTTCAGAGTATGAGTGGGTGTAATCGCAGGACAGGGCTTTTGGTTGCTCTGAGTAATATGTTAGATTATGGATAACATGACCTGCTCAGTTTTTGCCACTATGGTGTTTTTTTTTTACAGAGAGTGTAAAAAGAACAACAATTAGCTTCTATAGTCATCCCCCTACCTAACTTTTCAGGTCAGATTCAGACCCTGTCATGAACTTTTTTTTTTATGTCAACTTCTTATCATGGCAAGGTTAGAGGAGGCTACTCTGAGAGTTAAGGAAGTGGGCTTGTGGAGTGGAGGGTGGAGATGGAAGAGACAGTTGCAAACATTAAGGATTTCAGAAAGATGCGGAAACAGGCAGCGTCCAGATTAGATTGATGAGTTGTTTGAAGAGTGAATCAAGAGGATGTTTTTAATATTTCTAACTTTGTCATCTGTCTCAGACTGTATGATTGTGATTTTCCCTTGTGTTATTGTCTTTTCTCTTTTGGGTTATTGACTCTTGTTGCTGCTGGAGTAATGCTGTGCTGTTTGTCAAAATGTCTCCCCCCCCCCCCCTTTCCACAGAGTACATTGTTGGATTTACAGGGTATTTCTCAGCCAAAGCTCGCAACCTGTACATCAGCAGTGCTCTGCGGAGTGGGGCTGAAACAGTGGAGTGGCACATCGTTCCCAGAGAAAACCCAGCATCTGACTTCCCCAGTGACTTTGAACTGGTCCACATACGTCAACCTTCACCCACCAGCTTGAAGACTCTAGAAGACCATCCTTACATCAAGAGGGTGACACCTCAACGCAAAGTGTTCCGTGTGCTCAAATATGTTCCCTGTAAGTGTTGACAAGATGTTGTAACAGTGTGGGAATAAGGATAGCCGTGCCTTCGAAATACAAAACTCTGCAGAGATACAATGAGCTTTTTGTCCTCTACTGTCCCTTTGTTTGTTGAATCAGAGGATGCATTACTGTGTTTGAGAAGTGAGACAGGCTTGTGTGTCTTAATGTAAGATTCTGGCCAACTTAGGGGTGTTGATGCCGGAGAGGGTGTGTTTGGTGTTGGGGGATGGGAGGAAGGACAGAGAACGTCAGTGTTTGCTCCCCCCCAGGAGGGGCTGGGTGAGTCAGTCACTGTGCGGTTGGGCTTGCCTGCCCATGTGGGGGGGAATGGGACTGTGCTTGGCACTGGAATAAAGCCTTCAGTGTACCCTCAGCCTACGTACACATGCAATAACAAAATGAGGGCCATGTGTCGCACTTAAGCCCTTCATGTCCAGAGCTTTCTTGACCTAGAACAAGAAAGATTGAACATTAAAATCACTGTCAAACTTTTCTACATCTGAAATTACATTCTCTTTAGGCAAAAAAAAAAGTTCTTTGATGTATGTGGCTTGCTTTGTTCTCTTGCCACAACTTATAAGGGCCTTAATCATTTCCTATTGATGGAAACTCTTGAGAGAAAGTGCTGATAGTGTAACTCACTAAAAGGGAGTTCACTGAAGTGACTGAACTTTCTGTGCGGAATGCATGCGTGGAGGAACATCGGTTACTGTTATACGTAATTTACAGTACATGCTCTGAATTCGGTAGAAGCAAACGGACTTTCATCAATCAGTTTCCAGGGGGATGGAGATTGCTCTTGATTAGAAATGTGTTGCACTGGTCTTTTTGTGGCCTCATGAAACACACAGAAAAACAGACAAACATCACAGAAAGAGGTAGACTATCAGGAGGTAGGGATGGGCCAGTGTTTTCCCTACATTCATTCGCCACTGCTGAATTACGTGTGCCGCTACTGAGATTTCAACATGATCATTAATATCAATGCGCCACTAATGATTTCTACTCCCACTGTGTGAGCACAACACCCAATGTTATTTTCAACTTGTTTTGAGTCTTTAACAAGCGCATCAAATCCTGTCTGACCCTCTTTCATTAATGTGAAGAGTAATGTTTGAGCTTATGCATGGTCTATGTAGCAAGTAACCTGGGTAATGTAGCGCAACCTGAACGTAACAGTGTAGCTCCTTGAGCGGCAAGAGAGTGGGGGAAAACACGAAATTTTTTTATTCAGTGACAACTTTACCAAACTTCACTTTAATAATAAGGTTTTCTATCATCTCTCAAAAGAAAACCACTGAAATGATGTAGTGCATATGCCAAGCCAGTAAGGAAATGCACAAAAGACAGAAGAAGAGTACAGAGCACGTGTATAAAGTTTGTTTTGGCCGAACATGCGCATGCACCATAAAAGAGTTACACTGCGTGTCACATAATCGTTATAGGGATGCAGATAGGCATCCTCACAGAGATGAAATGGTCGTTGTTTACAGATTTATGCACTCTGACCCATTTTCAAAATGTACCGTTTACAGCCACCCGAAATGCTGTTTCCGTGTGGATGAAATGCTGATACGACAAAAAACGTTTGCGTTTACTTATGAATTTGTTTTTGTGTGGACGGGTTGATACCGCCTTCAGACAGACTTCGCAGCGGGGAGTGGTTTGCTCTTCATCAGAAACTGTGAAGCCGTACCAATTCTATGTGACTGATTTGCTCTTGCCCTATTTGGCCACAGAATTATCACCTTCTTTTTCAAATGCCATGTTTGTTTACACTGGTGTGTGTGGGAACTGAGGAGGGGGAGCCTACGGTGGCCTGGAGGTGCAAGACATGATAGAGAGGATATTTGTTTGATGATTTAAATTTTTTTAACATTGTCATGATCAAGTAATCCCATTACGATTTTAAGTAGATTAATCGTGCAGCCCTGATTTAAATCCTAAACTCTTTTACTCTTACACTAAATTCACAAGCCCAATTCCTAAAATTTTGGGTGCTGTATAAAATGTTAATTCAAACCAAAACTGAACTCAGCATATATTATTCAAGTCATACAAGTCAATTAGTCAGTTTTAGCATTTGATACTTTTTCTTTTCTTTTTTCTCAACATTGCCTTCATGATTTGTAAGCAAAATTAAATTCAAATTTATCATCAAATTTAGTTTTTATTGACATTTACACAAGCTTCCCCACTGTGTTGGAATTGGAGCTGTACTAAAGCCCCACTATCTTATTTTATTCATAGTGATTTAAAATGTGTTAAGATTGTTAGCATGACATTGTTGGACCAGTGTCATGTCTCAGATGCAAAGAATAATGAAGATTGGAAGGTGGGATAGAAAGAAGAGGAAGAGAAAGATGGCTCAACACGGAGATGATTAACAGAGAGACGGTGTTGTCTGGGAAAAAAAGCTCAATTGGTAGACAGCGATAACTATGTATTGATGTGCTGCAGTACTTCATGAAGTGTGGATTTAGCAGCCTTGTGATTGATACTGCCTCTCTAAGTCCCAGATATAGTTCAAGCTATAAAAGCGAGGTAGTTTTAATTTCACTATCTGACTCTGTAGTTGTCTGAATTAAGGATGTAGCAAACCTAACTTTGCTGGTGTTTTTTCTGTCTACAGCACCTGAGCCCACTGCACCTTGTAACACCACCCGTGGGACACAAAAATGGCAATCTTGGCAATCATCTCGCCCTTTTCGACGAACTAGCCTGTCACTGGGCTCAGGGTTTTGGCATGCCACTGGTCGCCACTCCAGCCGGCGTCTTTTACGGGCAATCCCTCGACATGTTGCTCAGATCCTGCAGGCAGATGTACTCTGGCAGATGGGGCACACAGGTTTGACCTTTGACCTTGCTCTAATAGAGTGCTAGGACAGTATGAATTTAAACAAAGACCAGAAACACAAATTTCAAGATGACTTTGCTTGACTTCTATTTTATGTCCTTTGGCATGTTGTTACAGGAGTTATTAGTGCCCATGAAGTTTGCTTATATGAGCTAATTGAATTTCCTGTTTCTGTGTGTTCAGGATCTGGTGTGAAGGTGGCAGTTTTTGATACAGGCCTGAGTGAGAAGCACCCACATTTTAAGAACGTTAAAGAGAGGACCAACTGGACAAATGAGAAGACTCTGGATGATGGTTAAGATGACAATTATTCTAACGACATGAATATCATTATCATGATAATAGTATTATAATATAATAATAACCAACTGCATCTTCTCCATGGTCACTGTATCACTCTTATCTCCTCCTTCAGGTCTGGGCCATGGTACATTTGTGGCTGGAGTGATAGCCAGTATGAGAGAGTGCCAGGGCTTTGCACCAGACTCAGAGCTGCATATCTTCAGAGTGTTCACCAATAACCAGGTACACACATATGCTCTCACCATCCCTATCAAATGTACCTCATCAAATCTAGTTTAGGTTCTGGAAAAATGATCAAACATTTGTAAAAACTGTTCATCCAAGTATTAAAAGAAACTCAGAGAGACATTTGTTACAGCAGTTAGAGGGAAAGTGAGTTTATGGCAGTTGTATGAGGTACAAGGTTTTCAACCTGCTGCAGGGTCAGTGTTACCATTGAATTCAAATAACTTTATGAAAGTACTCTGAACCTTGTAATATGGTCATTAGAGTTCATATCCTATTAAGAATATTTTCTGCACCTTTCTTTGCCAACACAAAGCTGCTTTGTTCTTGCACAATGTGATTTAAGAGAACAGTTTGTAATTTTTGAGTAATATGCCAAGAAAAACAACACGTGATGCAAATTTGTTGCCTCTGGAGTGGTGCCAGTCCTCTCATCCAACTTCATCAAGTGTGTAAAGAATAGTTTGGCATTTCCTTTTAACCTTCACTCTTTGTTATTCATTTTGCTAAAATTTAAACAGTACAAGTGCTCATCCAAGAGAAGAGAAACAAAAACAAAAACAAAAAAACATGTAAAGTCAGCAAAATATTATTTTTGTTAATACTGTCCACTCTTTCATAGAGTGATTCAATTAAGCTCCACCACTTCAACCTCAACCTTGTATTTTCAAACCATACCAAATCATGCTGTAATAACGTTGCTCCAGAGTGTGTACTTGCACAGTCTTCTGTCCTGCCAGCTGTTCCTTACTCTTGCCATTTCACCTCTGTCGAGACTGCCTAAAATGCAAGCTTAAAGGGATATTCCTTTGTGAAATTAAGTTAGGGTCAAACTCACCGTAACACTGAGTTAGACACCCCCTCGAGAGATGATTGTTGCTAACTGCTTACTTCTCTAGTTATACCAATTTTAGTAACGACCGCACTATAGCAATACACAGAGGTCTAGGTTTCCACGAGCAAACCTCAACCAAAAAGCCACTCTATAGTCACAAATGATGCTCGGAACAGCACCTAACTTCATCAACAGAACATATAGGGTCCCAGCCATAGTACTAGCCACCAAACATCTTTTTAGCTTTGCCTAATTTCTTTAGCAAAGAGACCAAACACAACTCACCCACTCTCCTCCAGTAGCTGCTTATTTTTGGGGGGAGCCCTGACGAGTCGATCACAGAGTACAGCAGAGTTTCACAGCTCAAGGAAGAACATTCATGATCATTACTTCACGGAAATGCAATCAGACCAAGACACTAAGGCAGAAGAGCTACTGTGTCTGCAATGCACATACAAAATACACAACAACTCATATCCAGAATGTCCCTTTTAAAAGCTGAGACTCCCCACCTTTTGTTTTTAAACCATCGTACCTCTTATGTCACATTGTATATGGAGCTATATTCAGCCTTCAGATTTGAACAATTCCCTCTGTCCTTGGAGCACAGCAAATTCAAACATGTCTGTGAGGTATAAGTTGGCGTATCTGGTGCAGCTAATTGTGAAGAAGTCATCAGTTTTGAGCGGACATCATCATAACCAGAATTGAACACTTCCTCGTGACAGTAATTGTTTAAAATCCGTCCTTTAGTCTAACTGCATCGTACCATTTAAATATATGTGTATCTATATTTAAATTTCCTCCCACCTCAGGTATCGTACACTTCATGGTTCCTTGATGCTTTCAACTACGCTATCCTGAAAAAGATTGATGTTCTCAACCTGAGCATCGGGGGGCCTGACTTTATGGACCACCCCTTTGTTGATAAGGTAAAATACAAATTTTCAGTGCATGCTGTTTCAAAGAGAGATACATGGTCACATGGCATCGTTGATGAGATATTTTATGGGGGCGTGGTGTTACATCTCAGCAACACTAATGGAACTTCCCTAATAGAGTACAAACATGTCAACTTCAGAGAATAGCAAGTTGCAACAGCTGAATACTGCTTTTTCCTAACGTGAAACTGCACAGTTGTCACTAGTACATGATATGATAATAAATGTGTTTTTACATTGAACATACTGCATAACTTGATGGGAAATAAGGATGTATTTGTATCTGATGTATAAATGTAAACCTTTTCTTAAAGTTGATTCAGTCAGCCTTAGTCTAGTGCTGAGCTGCCAGCTGACTAACACGTTACAGAGAAGAATGGCTGTGAGGTTGCTTTTAGGAGAGTTCGACAAAACAGCTGTTTCCTTGATTAAATGTGGCCAACACAATGAATGGCACTTTTCACCACCTTCTTATTTGTTCCCCAGCTTATATTCTTACACCCTCTGATTCCAGCTGTAATTGAGCATCCCATTAGAAACATGCACTTCACTGTGCTTCACTGTGGGACAGCCTTTACCTGTTCTTGTATCACACACACACACACACACACACACACACACACACACACCAACCCCCCACTCTAGGCGATGTTAATGAGAGACCTGAGCCTGTTTTGCCTTGCAAAGATCCTCAATTCTTGGTGCAATGTTTGATAAAACAAATCAAATGGAACCCTCTGAGACCAACATCTCTGTTCATTTCCATGTTTGATTGACAGGTTTGGGAGCTCACTGCCAACAGGGTGATCATGGTGTCTGCTATTGGCAATGATGGACCTCTTTATGGGTATGCAAATCACTCTTTCTTCCTAATGTAGGAATTTGCCGCCATGAAAATAATGTATCGTAACACATGCTAAAATATTCCCACTCCTGTTTTAATGAGTTTTTTTAAAATCCTCTTCCAAAGTCTTAAGAGAGACTTTTATCTAGAAAAGACTCTTTAAAACTGTTAGTTTTCATGAAAAGAGGTAAGTTTAAATGACACTGACTTCAAAAGTGTCAACAACATATACATGTGACAGGAGCTGTTACTTAAGCGTAGGGCTGCAACTAACGGTTATTTTAATAATTGATTAATCGGTCGATTATTTTTTTCAATTAATCGTTGAATCAGATACAAAAACATTTGAAATTTCAACCTCTTTATTTCAAAAAGGAACATTTAAACTGACAGAGCAAATGAGTGCCCAAAAACAGGTTGCTACTTGAATGTACTGTTACAATAGTATTAATTACAATAATAATAATAATAAATAATAAAAATTATATATATACATATATATATATATACACATATATTATTATTTTTTTTTTCACAACATCCACAGAGTTTACTTTAATTCTGTTAATACCGCCTCTGCCTCGCCTTATGTTCAACTCCCTCTGCAGGTTGAGATGTCTAAGTTAATGGCTGGCTCTGTGTAATGGCAAGTGACGCATAAGTCGCGCAACACAACAAATCGATAATTAAATTTGTTGCCGACACTTTTAATAATGAATTTTTTATCGATTTTATCGATTCGTTGTTGCAGCTCTACTTAAGTGAGAACGTTTTTTGCTTTCCAATCACCTCTTTGACCACTTCTACCATCCAAATCACTTCCTGCCCAATAAGGCTCTGTTACCGTGTTCAGTGACTGAAAAAACACTGAAAGGATAAAAAAGAGAGATTGATGTGTTTTGTTATGCTGTGGCATTGAAGTGCTGAAACACTCGTTACTGAAAGTGTTGCTCCTCCTCTCTCTCTCAGCACTCTAAACAACCCAGCAGACCAGATGGATGTAATTGGGGTTGGGGGAATCGACTTTGAGGACAACATTGCAAGGTTTTCCTCTAGAGGCATGACCACCTGGGTGAGTAACTCCAGGGACACACACCACGCACCACACAGACACACACTGTACCCTTAATCAGTTTGAGAGCAGACATCTACTCCAGAGACCTACCTTATGCCACAGAGCTAGTCAACCATAATGTAAGCTCCTGAGCCGTCATCCACATCCAATCAAGCTTTCTTCACGCAGACACATACGCACACTGCTCTTTTTATCAGTCACAGCCCAAAGCAGACATCTGATAAAGGCTCCTCTCTCAAATCCAGTCAGTCTCTCTCCCTGTGCACCCATAGCCGCCCTCAGCCAGCCTCTGAAAGGCAGGAGTAGCAGGACTCTCTCACTAACCTACCTTTGGCCCAGACCAGAATCCATCAAGCGTATATTTTAACGTCATTTACTACAACTCTCTTTTTCCCTTTTCAAGTTAAGTCCTCTTGGCTGTCCACTTTGTGCGTCGTCTTGTTTTTAGCACATAAGCCGGGGTTACCTACATATTCAACAGTTGCTGATTTGTAAGAGGAGCTGCAAACTGACTCTTTGACAGGATGTGACTTCATCTTAAAGATTTTGAATTGCATCATATTTGCTTTTATATAAAATTGATCTTTTATTTTAAGAGATGGTACAATATGAATGTTTAGCATGGGCCCGTTTGTGCTTTGCAAAGGAGTTGTTCAGTTTCCGTCTCAATCTTCGTCTTACCCATCATGTATCCCTCTATGTGCAGGAGCTTCCAGGTGGCTATGGCAGAGTGAAGCCTGACATTGTCACCTATGGTTCTGGTGTCCGAGGATCAGGGATGAAGGAGGGATGTCGCTCTCTCTCCGGCACTAGTGTGGCCTCCCCTGTAGTAGCTGGAGCTGTTACTCTCCTTGCAAGGTCAGTTTTCATGAGGTGTAAAGGATTTCCTCATTTGTCTTGTGATTTCCCAGCCACAAAATCATGGCTCAAGAGCTGTACCAGAAAGCCTGCATCTGGATGCCCTAGACTTGTGCTTGGTAAACAGAAGTGTCTCAACTCAAAAAGGCAAACCTAATCAAATTACAAAACTGAATGTAAACAGGTAGACGAATGACCTGACAGCATAAATGTTCAATTCATTGGTGCCCCTAAAAGAAACAAGCTCTTGCATTATTTTGGGTTTCACAATAAATTTTGAACATCAAATTTTAGTTTTGAAAGTGTCTCACATCCTTTTAGGGGGCTGCTACAGCAAGCTCACCCACAGCCTCTGCTTCTTATTGGGTTTTCCTTTTTTATGTTATCAATAATTTGGCAATTTTTATATGTAATCATCAATAAAGGTATGTTGCAACAGCCACAATTGTTGGCCTTAGTCGTATACTGAAATAATAAGCATTTCTTTTCAACTTTGAAGTTTGCATGTTCAATGATGGAAACCTGAGGTGATTTAGACAGAGTGCTGTGTTCTCTGAACTCCCTCTATCCCTGCTGCAGTTAAAACACTCGAAGTAAAAGCATCTAAGGAAGGGTGTTGTTACAGCTGGCTTTAGGAGGAAATTGACATCAGAGGTCTTTTTGTCTCTTGTGCTGTAATCGTATATGAACAGGCAGAGTTATGTGTCCCCCTAGGAAGGAGGTGTGTTGCAGATTAATGTAAGGTGTTATTCTCAGTCTGTCAATATCTGCCATACAGGCAGAATGTGTTCTTGTTATATGGCTGTAAGTGAGGCCATTTGGTGAGCTCATATCACTGAGTTGAACGGCATACCATTTTTGTTGACATCAGGGACCTCTCTCACCTCTCATCTGGGGTTGTACTGTACTATGAACCCAGGTCAACCCATACCCTGACTTTCGTTCAGTAATCTGGCATGACAAAGCCTTAAACTCCGGTTAGATCCAGCAGACATTACACAGGGTCATGAACCAACTCTGTGAACTCAAGCTTTCTGCTTCAGACTTTGTGTGCACTACAGACTTACCTTAGCTGATGATGGACTGTGCACTGACCCTCTGAGAGCACTGCCAGGTGGAAATCAAGAAAAAGAGGATACTGTACCGCCAACACTTTCAACATAACCTTGATCATGAATGCAGCATAGGCTATTACAGGGAAATCAAGCAATAGACAGAAACAAACTAACCCAGCCTCCTGCTCTGTTTTCCAGTACTGTTCTGAACAGGGAGTTGGTGAACCCGGCGTCTATGAAGCAGGCTCTGATTGCCTCAGCCCGTAGGCTGCCAGGAGTCAACATGTTCGAACAGGGCCATGGAAAGCTGGACCTGATCAGAGCCTACCAGATCCTCAACAGTTACAGACCCCAGGCCAGGTAAAAACTTTTTAAGGTGTGAGCTCTTAGATGAGGTCTGAGTTCAGTCTTTCACTAATACATTGACTTTATGTGGACTTTACAAGACTCAGCCCTCTCATGAAAAATGAGTGCAAATATCGGCACTCATTGACAAAAATTACACTATGGCAAAGAGACCAATCCAGTACTGCAAAAGCCCACTCTCTGGATGAGTACATAGAGCTGAAAAGGGCAAAATCAGTTACGGTGTACAATAGGGCCTCACTGAAATGTCTTGAAGTATTATTCACTCGCCATCTGCAGTCCTACATGTGTCTCTGAAAAGTAAATAAACATGAAAAAGGCAAGGAGGTTATTCTGAGTAAGTGGCGTGAAAAATTAGCTTTCAGAATTTATTTTAAAGAATAGACTACTGATTGTAGCAAAACAGTTTTATAACTAGAAAAATTGCATTTCCTTGCAGAAAATGCGTGGAAATGCTGAGTGCTGAAAGCTGAAAAAGCTATGCTAAACTGCTAATAAAACATGGAGAAAGGTATAAATGTTAAAGCTGTTGAAGGGGTGAAAAAAGAAATATAAGTTGGAGAATCGTTTAATTGGTTGAAGGACAAATAGTTTGAATATGCTCTATAAAAGGAAAATTTATTCATGCTAAAAGAGGCTAGAAAAATGTCTAAAATTGCACAAAGTTTGAATGAAGAAGGAAACTGCCTTAAAAGGCAGGAAGGTGAGAAGTGGCATAAGTTTAAGTTGTGGTACTAGAAGTAGTATGATAAGAAGTCAAGTCGTGATACTAGTAGTCATGTAAGCAGTAGAAGTAGTTTTAGAATAAAAGAAGTATAAGTCAAAGTAGTAGAGAAAGTAGAAATAGTAGCAATAGCAGTTGAAGTAGAGGGGAAAGTACTCGTTTAATTGACATTAACAGTAGTTGTAGCTCTAGTAGTGGGATTTTGTTTGAAGGATGGAATAATGCATAAATATTAAAACTAATTTAAAACAGGGAAAATTTAAATAATTAAAAATCCTCAAGTATCAGAAAGTTTTTAAGTATTAGAAAGGTTTGAATCAGTTTGAATGAGTTTAAATTAGAGTGACTTTAAAATGAGAAAAATTTAAATGAATATAAATCCTGAATACACCCCATAATGTCCTCAATGAGCTTAAATTTTAAAGCCCTGAATGGTTTCTGTAGGTCAAAGGTCATGTGAGGAGATAGGGGCTTAGGTTTGTCAAGCGCTCTAGGAAAAGGTTTTGAGTGTCATCCCCAGTGCTATGTGTGCTGAGCCTGGCTTCATGTGTCTCATATGGCCATTAGAAGCAGCTTTCCAGTCAGCTGTGTGTCTCCAGGTGCACAAATTGGTTGCCATGGGGACCTTGGATGCATAACTATAGCAGGAGAAAGAAGGCTTGAAGCTAAGGAAACAGGACTCCAAGTAGGCCCTGACGCTCATCCTCTGTATATATAACACAAGACTCTGCTGAACACATTAATACAATTTATTATCACAATCCTCAAAACACCCCATAATATCTTCAATGAGCTGAATTTTTGAAGCCCAGAATGGTTTCTGTAGCTCAAAGTTTGTAGGTGGAGATAGGTGGTGAAGCAGACACATATTAACTGTGTGTACAAGCAGCTGAACTGCAAGGTAGACCTCACAAAGCAACAAGTACAGGAATGTGTGTGTGTGTGTGTGTGTGTGTCTCGTTAATGATTGCATCCTAAACAGCTGTGAGATCAAAGCCATTAACTGACCTATTGTTTGACTGAGAGGTGCTGAACTGCAGTGAATTTAGGGCCTGTGAACTTCTTCACATAGCGTGATTTCCTTAAGTCTCAGAATGAAATAAGAACATCGTACGAATCCTCTTTTCTTCATGAACACAATGATGTGTTTTTCATGTCTGTACTCTGACAAATGTGGCCACAACAGCGAGTTAAAAAAGTCTGAGCCTGAGTGGCGATAAGGATACATTAGGGCTAATGGGGAGAGATTTCCGCCTATTTGGACGGTTGGTCACCTGCTGGCCAAGGGGTAGGATTTAATGATTTGAAACCTCTTTTGTGAGAAGCAGGACACATATACCTCCATTTTGATGTATTTTTTATGTCTGTGGAGTGAGATTTGTGGGCGTGGGAGCGATATATTCGAGCGAGGTTCTGTCGATCAGAGACGAAGTCTGCACTCTAGCTTTTCAAATCATCACTCTAGCCTCTCCAATACACACCCATTATAAAGCCTGATAATTTGCTGAAAACCACAAGTTGCTTAAAGCTAAATTGTGGAAGAAATGTAAAAGATATCAAACTGAGTACAACTGTAATAGTCGACAAGACAATGAATAGGCTTCTAGGTGAAAGTATGCAGAAGTTATAAGGCTCAGAAGGTGGAAGAATAACAGGAAGAATTGGAAGATTTCCCCATTGACTTCAATGTTAGAATTTTTGCATAAAAAGTTAAAAAAATCAAAAAGTATAAAGGGTAGAAAAGTGAAAAGTAATAGCCATCATGTCCTGAAGGAGAGGAATAGTTTAAAGTTTGAACGGTTGAAATCGCACAAAGTGGAGAAGAGTTATAAAGTGGCAAAAAACGGCGGAAGAAAAATAATAATATTAAAGAAACAGGAGAATAACAATAAGTGGAAATGCTTAATCAGCATTTCCACTTAATGAGTACTTTACATTCACAGTGTGATGTATTCTTCTAATAAAGTAGCACACCTATTTATATGTTAGTTTTAAACTTTAAAGAGAGGAATCTGTGCTCTCTGTTTTGTTTTTGTTTTGTTTTTTTCAGAGACACGGGTAATCAAAGCATTATTAAAAAACCATTTCATACTTTATCAAAGCTACTCAAACCATAGCATACTTTCTCAGTGATTCTTAAAACCTTTATTCAAAACCATTTTTTACTTCATCAAAGTGTTTCTCAAAACTAGGGCTGCACCTTACAATTTTTTTTTAATGGATTTATCTAGTTTATCTAATGGATTTTTTTATTAACTGATTAATATAACAATGAATTTAACCAAAACAACAATTTAAAACCTGAATCTCTTGAAATCCAGCAAAACAAAACATTTTGGTTATAAAATCAGAGAGATTTTAGCACATCCCAGGTGAAAGCGAGAAGTCTGACACAACAGCAGACTGACTGTTTTTCAGTTTTAATTAGACACTAGTGTATAGATGGCTTTCTTTCATGATAGCATGTACTGAGTTGGGGCCAGTACCAGATAAGCACATTAAACTATAATCCATAAATGCGCATTTCCACTCTTTAAGCCGGGAGCACAGATGCTTCATTTTGTAACATTCTGTAGTTTTTAAATCATGTCTAGAGTCGTGGCGAATCAGGCCATCATAGTTGTCTGCCTCTGATGGGCTAAAAAAGCGCTCGGATTCATGCTCGGATCTTGCTACGTGCTTCGTGAGGAAAGTAAACAATGACGGATTCAGAGAGCAGCTTCAGAGGAGAAACATCCAACAGTGTGAACAAGCTCTTCATATTGAGTACTTTGGCTCACACTTTTGGCATTTTCTGTCTGTGTTGCATGACTTTGGGTGAGATCAGACATGAACACACTGTCAGACACATATTTATTTATTTATTTGTTTTAGTTTAGAGCTGCTTTTGTACTGGCACTATACTGGGGCAGCTGTATACCCTTTCAACACTTTATTTTTTATATTTACGTTTGTATTGAATGGACACTTTATCATGACTGCCTCTTGTTTTACAGAAAGCAAATAGTTTGTTATTCTCCAGTGCAGAGTCTTTACTTTTATATATACAGCTGCTTTATTTCGTTTGAGTTTGTTTGTTCAAGGTTTTCAAAAATGTGATGAAGGTTCGGAAAAATAAAAGATAATTATCTTGAAGGCCATATATATATAAGCTCTCAAATACTTTTAGAATTTTGTTTTATCTGCTACAGAGGCTGAGATATCAGCTTTTTTGTAAACCTCAATACTACAGAAAGCCTCAGGATCTGGGGGCCCTTCTCAAAGTTGCCCTCAGGATTTCAGAGGCGTGGCTCAGACAGGGTTCAGGTCTTAATGCGTTATATGAGGGTGCCAACCGGAGTTCTTTTTTTTTGGATGAAATTTCTAAACTTCTCCATTAATTTTTAAATTCTATTAACTTTTTAAGAACTTTACTATGAATTTCTCACAGGGCTTTTTTCAACCAGTATATAAATATAAATTTTTATTGTTAGGTCATTTGTCTATGAAAAAGTACAAGGACTAATGTTTGTTGGATATTTAAGTTGACCCATTGTACACAGCACAATTTCTTGGCCACTTCAAAGTTAGCAAAAGACAGAAGTCATTTATTGTTTCACTCATCTGATTCTGGCTGGTTAGTGGAAGACCGGTGTTGTGCCGTAGAATGCACCCCTGCCGTTGAATGCATCCCCTCCACCCATTAGCTTCTTAAAATGGAAGACAATGATCTCATATTTAAAAAAAAACACGAGTATTAGATCATGACAACATGTCAAATGGAGCAGCAGTTTTGTTTCTATATGTCTCAAAAATGCACATACAGAGGTGTACTTGGGTGTATAAACTGTACAGTAAGCTGTTAAGGTAGAGAACATTATATTTTCGGGACAGCAAATATTCCAAATCTGGGGGCTATTGTTTTTGGCTTGTCTGAACAGCCTTAATGAAATCATAAAAGGAACATGCTTTCAAATCTGTCCAACGGTGAAGAAAACTTGGATCATTTCACCTAAAGTACTTTCAACCTCGCTCCGGTCAGGGCAGGGGTGCTTTCTACAACACAACACCGGCGAAGCACGTCAAAGACAGGCACCCAGATATTTCTCCTTCATGAATCCTGAGGTGTTTAATCATGTTGGCCGTGCACCCTCCTTTGCATGATATAACTGTGTTGCTCATGTTGCACTGAGATAAGAGTTCATTCTTCCTGCTAGAGTTAGCCAAACTTTTGACCGCATTCGTTGTGGGTTGCACTTTCTCTCTCTGCCTCTCTTCTCTCTCTGTGTGGCTTCGTCTCATACGCTTCATCCTCATTGGTGTTCGGCAGCTTCTTCCTCATTGGTGTTTGGCGGGTTTTTCTTCCGGTTGGCAGATTACGGCATCAAAACTTGGGGTGGGAGTTTTAAAATTTGAACAATTCCAGGAGAATCGGAATGTTATTCCCGGTCCCCATCGATGCTCGAGACTCGATATCCAACCCTACTAGCATGGCAAATGAACGCCAACAGCTGACATGGTCTAAAGCTGAGTTTATAATAACAGATTAGCATTAATTCTTGTGAATAAAAGTATGGCTCCAGATATCAGCCCATATATTAGGAGTTTGTCATTTTTCATGAGTTTACAGCTTACTATTCTCGTCTTTGCTCATGTGTTTCTTGTACTGGTATCTTGATTAGCGTGAGTCATCTCTTAAAGGCTGAAAAATCCAGAAATCCAGAAGGAATCGTGTCTCTGAGAAACACTTAGTTTGTAAGGCTGAAAAAAATCAGCAGAACTCTCAGTCAATCTTTGGCCATTTTTTCAGGCTTTTGAAAAAATGGATAAAAGCTTAAACTCATCCCTAGATTATTTGATACTGGGAAGTAGTTGGAATTTAAGAGTATACATAATTCACAGTTTAGTTTTGTTATCTTAGAGCCAATATGACAGGATTATGTAACAGAAGTGATTTCTACAATGTTTCTTAGAGCTAATTTGAGAACTTCATTCTGATGAGTTGTCACAAAAACATAATTAGAGCTCAAACATTCAGTAACAGAATTATGCACTATCCTTTTGTTTCTTTGTCAGTCTCTCTCCCAGCTACATAGACCTCACAGAGTGTCCGTACATGTGGCCTTATTGCTCTCAGCCCATCTACTACGGAGGAATGCCCACCATTGTCAATGTGACCATTCTCAATGGCATGGGTGTCACTGGCCGGATTGTTGACAAGGTGCGCGCACACACACGCACACACACGCACACACACACACACAAAGATACATAGATCAAGAAAAATTAAGGTTTTTTGTTTTTGCTTGTTTTGTTAAATGAAATGCTCCTTTGCTAAAATGTTTTCCTGAGATCTGTTTTACTTTTTGACAATTGCTCTTTCTTGTTTAGCCTATCTGGCAGCCCTACCTGCCCCAGAATGGGGACCACATTGATGTGGCTGTCTCATACTCACCTGTGCTGTGGCCGTGGGCCGGCTACCTGGCTGTTTCTATCTCTGTGGCCAAGAAGGCTGCATCATGGGAGGGGATTGCTCAAGGTCACGTGATGGTCACAGTGGCATCACCTGCAGAAAATGATGTGAGTACCTGCACAAACACCTCAGTTTATAAGTTTATACAGTTGATAATGGATAATTTCCAGATCCTGATAAGGAACTTGTTACATTTATCAGAGGAGGCCCGGTCTACACTAAAGGAAGTTTGGATATTTGTTTTTACTCCTCAAATACTAAATGAACCTTTTTTCTTCTGTTGCGCAGCTCTTGAACATTTTCTTCCTTTATCCTGTTAATTATAAGCTTCCCATGTGAAAGACACTGAGCTGCACCCTCTAGCATTGACTTCTTTTCTCCCCCGCAGTCTGAAGTGGGCGGTGAGCTGACCTCCACAGTCAAACTGCCAATCAAGGTGAAGATTGTGCCGACACCCCCACGCAGTAAGAGGGTGCTGTGGGATCAGTATCACAACTTACGCTACCCACCTGGCTATTTTCCCAGAGACAACCTCCGCATGAAAAATGATCCACTTGACTGGTGTGTGTCTGTCGATGTTTACCTGGTATTTTTAATTTTTTTTCACCACACTTTAGTTTTTGTATTCACATGGAAAATCTTCAAATATTTCCAGGAATGGAGATCATATCCACACCAACTTCAGAGACATGTACCAGCACCTGAGGAGTATGGGCTACTTTGTCGAAGTGCTTGGAGCCCCTATCACCTGCTTTGATGCCAGCCAGTATGGTGAGAACACAGCAACAGATGTTCTCTCATGACTGGGATGTTCTCTCATGACTGGGTAAGAGCTTACAGATTAACGGGTTGTTCTGTCTTTGCAGGCACACTGCTGATGGTGGACAGTGAGGAGGAGTATTTTCCAGAAGAGATCACTAAACTGAGGCGGGACATTGACAACGGCCTGTCACTCATAGTTTTCAGTGACTGGTACAACACCTCAGTTATGAGAAAAGTCAAGTTCTATGACGAAAACACCAGGTATGAAGCTTTTACTGAGCCTTACCCACTATTGGTTACTGATATGAAAGCAAAATTAACACATTTAATGACCAAGATTATGTGGCTCACAATGATATGTATACAGTATGTATATGAATACAAGTGGACAACTCTAAGCATAGATGTACACACCTGGCCGGATTGTGGGCCTCCAGGTAAGTTTCTAGTGATAGCCCTCACTCATCCTGGTTAGTCTTTTGATATGACAACAATTGGTAAAGCACAAAAGGTGGGAGGACTGTGATCATGTGACCAAGTGGTACAAATGAGCAGCAGGCCATCCCAGACTGCAGTGATATCAGGGAAAACTTCATTTCATTAAGAGTCCGGATGTTCCCTTACAGTTAGCAGCTCATCACTGACTGAAAATGACAACACTGCAGACCAGAGCTCTCTCTCGGTGCTCCTGCTCCCTCCCACTAGGGCTGGGTGATATGGCCTCAAATCAATGTCACGCTATATTGAGCAGTTCACCTCGATAACTACTCCACAAGCTGCTCACACCCTCCCACATTAACTTTGTCTACTTCAGCTGCTACAACTTTTGAACCGTCCTCCATCTCCTCACCTGTCTTTCCCTCTTTGTTACGGACTGGATGAGGTGGCGTCCCGTCTCTGACGTAGGACAGTGTCTTAAAGGGGCATGAGACCATAGCCTACCTACACATATCCAAAACCAACTTTTTTTTTTTTTTGACACCCAATATATTGACACGAGCAAAATGGCGTCGGTTATTGTCTTAAATTTCAGTATCTGTAAATTTTCAGTTTATCACTCAGTCCTACCTCCCTCTGACCAAAGACATGCTAGTCTGGTGAATGTGCCACTCTTAAAAGTCTCTGTAGGTGCAAGTGTGGAGTTCAAGTTTGTCTTTCTATGTCACAGACTGCTCCAGTCACTTGTGATTCTATACTTCTTGTTCTGTTTGAGGAAGTTGTTAAACTGCAAGTGAAGCCTTGCTCTGATGTACCCAGGCCTTTATGTATTATTCCTGTAAAAATACATTTGCATAGCCTAATAGCCTAGGTCACTGATCATGAACCCTTGAAGCCCCAGCAACAACAATGATAATAAAAACCTTCAACCCCCCCACAGTGTCTGATATGGACATGATGATGTCTGTTTTGCTGAAGTGGAGCAGAAATGAGTTGATAGACCAACAGATCAAACCACTTCGTTAGATTTATTTAACAAAAAAAAAACTACCCCCCTGTCAAAAAAATATAACATTTTTTCATTCAATAATGTCATTTTATTTTTTGTACAACCCTGTAGTTCCCGGGAAAAGGTTGGTGGCCTCAGGGTTGAGAAACAATGGCCCTGGATGAAAGGTAGTCAGAGATGATTGTCTCCTTGTTCTGCAGGCAGTGGTGGATGCCAGATACAGGGGGCGCTAACATACCAGCTCTGAATGATTTGATCTCAGTGTGGGGAATGGCTTTCAGTGATGGGCTTTATGAAGGAGACTTCACTCTGGCTGATCATGACAGTAAGACCCACACTCATATAAACACTGGCATTACTCCTCTCTTTTTACTGAGTCATGTTTGATGAAATTTAAGATGCTCTCTCTCTCTCTCTCTCTCTCTCTCTCTCTCTCTCTCTCTCTCTCTCTCTCTCTCTCTCTCTCTCTCTCTCTCTCTCTCTCTCTCTCTCTCTCTCTCTCTCTCTCTCTCTCTCTCTCTCTCTCTCTCTCTCTCTCTCTCTCTCTCTCTCTCTCTCCCTCCCTCCCTCCCTCCCTCCCTCCCTCCCTCCCTCCCTATCTATCTGTCAACTGTAGTGTACTACGCCTCAGGCTGCAGTATCGCCCGTTTCCCGGATGATGGGATCGTGATTGCCAAGAATCTAAAGGACCAGGGTAACAGCATCTGACTTAGATTATTGACCAAGCACAATGCAGCAGACTGCTGGCCAAGAGAGAACTTTCCAGTCAGTTTTGCTGTAAAAGTAAAACCTAAGTGTGTGTGTGGTTTTTTTGTTTTGTTTTGTTTTGCAGGTCTGGAAGTGTTAAAGCAGGAAACAGCCGTGGTGGAAGGAGTCCCTGTCCTGGGTCTGTACCAAACACCGTCAGATGGGGGAGGTCGAATCGCTCTGTACGGGGATTCGAACTGTATAGACGACAGCCACAGACAGAAAGGTAGCCTCTCTGAGCATCTCTTGATGATGTTTGAGTATTTCACTTGTTCCAACCAAACTGCATAACTGGGACACCTTTTGTGTGTGATCCCTCAGACTGTTTCTGGCTGCTAGACGCTCTCCTTCAGTACACTTCATACAGTATGACCCCTCCCAGTCTGAGCCACTCCCACAGCAGAGTAACACCACCCACTGGTACAGACCGCTCACTGCCACAGAGACTAGAAGGTAAGGAGGGATATTAGAGGGATATTGGGATATTATTGGGGTTGGGATGTGTTATGGGATAAAAAGGTAAAGGAGAATGCTTAGAACAGATTAAGTGCAGATTTTAGATCAACCAGTGTTTACTTCACTTAATCAACGTTTGGTACTTTCTGTATGAATTTAACTTTTTATTTGGATTCTTAGTGATATTACTCACAAGGTTATCCACTGATGTTACTAGTGAGGAACCAACCCCAATTACAGTGGTCAAGCTGATTGACTTTATTGTCTTTTTTGTTTTTGCACATATTTACTAATTTTGAATTGATTCCTGCAACAAGTTCCAAAACAGCTGAAACAGGGTCATGTTAACGGCTGTGTTACATTATCTTATCATTTAACAACACTCAGTAAGTGTTTGGGAACTGAGGAAACTTTAAAACTTTAGAGATGAAACTCTTTCCCATTCTTACTTGATTTGCAACTGCAGTTACTCAACAGTCCAGGGTCTACACTGTCATATTTTGGCTTCATAATGCTCCACACATTTTCAGTTAGAGGCAGTTCTGGACTGCAGGTTGGTCAGTCTAGTACCTACCCCCTTTTAAATTGAAGTCACGCTGTTGTAACACATACAGAATTTGTCTTGCCATTGTCTCACTGAAATAAACAGTGATGTCCCTGAAAAAGACGTTGCTTGAATGGCAGCAGATGTTGCTCCTAAACTTGTATGTACCTTTCAGCATTAATGGAGGCTTTGCAGATTTGACAGTTAGCCATGGACACTAACACACCTCCAGACCATCACAGATGCTGGCTTTGAACTTTGACCTGAGAACAGTCCGGATGGTCCTGAAGGACAAAAAAATATCACTGTGGACTCATCAGACCACAGCACACTTTTCTATTTTACATCAGTCCATCTCAGATGAGCTTATGTCCAGTGAAGCTGGTGGCTTATCGGGCTGTTGTTGATATCTGGCTCTGGGTTTGCATGGTAGAGTTTGAACTTGCAGACAGAATCTGATGCAGAAGTTTAGTCACCTCTCTCTAACATCAACAAAGGCACAGAGCTCCTGCACCCGGCACTGGTTTGGCTCCTGACCGAAGCCCTTTGCTGTGATTCTATTCCCCGTATTTCTAGTCTCTCTTCAGCTACGCTGTCAATAAAGATCAAAGTATATATATTTTTACTTTTTCCACAAAGACTCTTTGTATTTACCACCTTTAAGTACACTGCATGTACGTTATATGAGACAAAGTGCACTCCTCTGTTGATGAGCAGCTACACCTCTCATCACAAAGTAATGAAAACTGATAGGTAAAGGTTTTGAAAGTATTTTCATATCCATCCATGCAGTTTGATAATGCAGTAGATGCACTCAATATGGAAACTTGCCATTTGTGTAGTCTCTGCATGAAAGTGCACGGTCTGAGTTTCTTAAAAAAGAATGTAATCATACATCATGTTGATGTTGATGACAACAGGACGCACCAATACAACAGTCTCTCTAGGTTAGTAGATCGTGGCCCTTTTTTTTTTTTAACAATTTATGATATAGTATAATCATATCACCAAGCCCTATATTTCTGTTCAAACAAAACAAAGTGGAATCATGGTGCAGTTGTTTGGTTTGAACATTGAGGGTCTCTCTCTGTTGGTTGGTTATAAGATTTGAATATGTTGTTCATGGTTTTATTTGAGTTGATCTTTGTGGAGTTGTGTGCTGTCATGATTTGTGCAACAATGTGTTATTTACTTCATGAACCTGGCAAAAGGCCAGATGTTTCAGTGGTGATTTAGTTTCAGAGTCACTGAACTTGAACCATGTGAGCTGCAGCCATACTTTGTGTTCGGATGTGATGTGTTCCTGATGGACTTTGGAGTGTAGCATTTAAAAAAGCTGACAGTTTTTTTATTGAAGAAAGTGATGAACTGTTTCAAAAAGCAATTTAACCGGCTGTGCTCTGAGTATTTTCTTACCTTTAGACTAATTGACTAGCCTGAAATTAAATTTCCATTTCATCAGGGAAATTAGTCAGCAGGAACATTTCACAGTCTTAGTTCTGCAGCAAAGAGTGATAGTGAGTGAAATATTTGACTGTTAAAAAAGCAGGACTGGATTCTGATTTGAAAAATAAAAATAAAAAAACACAAAAACTGAGCAAGACAAAATCAGTAAGAAGATGAGAGAGACTGCTTTGTCCACAGGAGCCGGAAAATTCAACACAGTTCCTCATTGGTGCTTCAAAAGCTCCTTTTTTCTGTTTTCTGTCAGACAGAGACTTGAGTGTTTTAATGACACGTGCAAGAGCTTAACAGATAATCTTGTGTATGTGGCAGTTGTGTTACATCTCTTTTATTTCATTTGTCTGCACGATAAATAGTTTTTAAAACCTAATCAGATTGTTTGACTATGATGATGTTAAAAAAAATATTAAATTGTCAAAATTGATTTTCCTCTCTATCGTGTCTCGCGCCTCCAGGCCACCATAGGTTCCCTCTTTCTGCGGGAGCGCTCCTCTGTTCCCACACACACCAGTGTATACAAACATGGTGTTTGCAAAAGAAGGCGATAATTTCATGGCTAAATAGGGCAAGAGCAAGTCAGTCGTGTGGAATTGGTACGGCTTCACAGTTTATGATGAAGAGCAAACCACTCCCCGCTGCAAAGTCTGTCTGAAGGCGGTATCAAACCGTCCACACGGAAACAAATTCAGGAGTAAAAGCAAAAGTTTTTTGTCATATTGGCATTTCATCCACACAGAAACTGCGTTTCAGGGGCCTGTTCTACGAAGCAAGTTCAATCATGCAGCCCTATTGTTTCACCAACCATTTCTCCCAATATCTTAATGTAAAAATGAGGACCATGACAAGCCCTGCAACAGCATTTTTTTTAGATGAAATCTCACTGTTAGGTGCCATGTGCGATTCACACGGCTCTTCACTTTATGTGCCCTGCAGTTGAGGCATAAAAAAACAAGTCACATAAGAAGAGAAACTGTCAAGTTTTGTGTTGCATGAAAGAAGTGGCACAGTGTAACAGGTCTTGTAATGTGACTTCTGCATATGTGCACATCACAATTGCAAATATTGAAGAACTTCTTGTGCAGCCAAAGAATCAAAGTCTTAAAGTCACACTGATTATTGGTCAGTTGCACATAGCACATAGTTAGCCAGCCTACTCCATGTGTAGAGCATGACAGTGTCACATCAAGGCAGACAAAAACCAAAAGAGTGGGGCCATGTGCTGAAAGAGATGAACATTATACAGCAGGTGAGTGTGTGTGAGAGAGAAACAGGACTGAGGGAATGATGCAGGAGGACTTTTTTTATACAGTAGCTGTAGGTGTCCGCATGCATCATCCATGTGTGGGAAACACTGAGTTATTTTTGCTTTTTTTTTCAGGCAATCATCTTTACCGCTACTCCAAGGTTCTGGAGGCTCACCTTGGAGACCCTAAGCCCCGCCCACTACCAGCCTGCCCCCATCTGTCTTGGGCAAAACCACAGCCCGTCAATGAGACAGCACCAAGGTAGATCTTCTTTTTTATCTATCCTATCTGTTTTAATGTCGTGACAGACACCAGCTCTAAATTCAACAGGAGAAGGGGTTTCTGTGGGTGATATCTGGTTTCTTTGTGCCAGTGCTCCTTGCTAACTTATAGGGCATTGTATTTGTCATTACATTTGAAAGAGACTACTGGGAGTTACTGTCTGGTGCACACTGCCATAGTTTCAGTTTGAGTTACTTCCCCTCAGTCGCAGCACTGTGGAGATGAAGAGGCATGTCACCCTATGATGGGCAACTAATCTAATCTCTTTCTCTTGCTCTCTTTACTCTGTCTCTTTTCAGTAACCTGTGGAAGCACCAGAAGCTTCTTTCAGTGGATCTGGACAAAGTGGCTCTACCTAATATGAGGGCCTACCGCCCCCAAGTCAGACCTCTGTCCCCTGGGGAGAGTGGGGCCTGGGACATCCCTGGAGGTAATCCAGTGTTTCCAGCGAGTTATTCATCTCGAGCATTAGTCACAGAAATCAGGATTTCATTTGTGGTTTTTCACGGTGTGCAAAATGTTGCATCTCTTAGTGTTGAACTGTAACACTTCATGACAAGGTGTTATAAATCTACAGTAAGAGTATAGTAAGATATATTTGTCCCAGACCAGTTTTCGACTTACTTTACACCGTTGATTCTCTGAGTGTTCACTGTTCACATACATTTTGTAACACATAAAAGAGCTTGCTTGTTGTCAATACAGCACAAAGGTCCTGAAGTTTTATGTTCAGGAGGATCTGATCCTGTGCCCGATGAGCTAGCACAAAGTATGAAGTCTAAACTAACATGGCAGGGAAACAAAAAAGAGGATATTGGATTGTGTAGGAATAATATTTGGCATCGACCAAGTGTTACCCTCTCCCTCTCTCCTCAGGGATAATGCCGGGCCGCTATAACCAAGAAGTGGGTCAGACCATCCCTGTGTTTGCCTTCCTTGGAGCTATGGTAGTCCTGTCATTTTTTGTGGTCCAGTTGACAAAGACCAAGAGCAAACCCAAGCGCAGGAAACCCCGCATCAAGCGGCCAACATACCTCCAGCAGCAACAGCAAACAATGGGGAAAAATCCCACGGTTTGACATGGACTGCATTTCTAAGCAGCGACTGGAGAGCTGGATTTACCTCTGATACTGAGACGTTGATGAGTTGAGCAGTGTCATTGGAGGTGTAGAATCCTATGGACTCTCATGGACTGTCATGGCAGACGTCTGACTGTTTGGATCCCATGCTTGTTGGACACAATCGTATTTGGCCTCCTGGAGGCTTCAACAGTTTTTGTGCCTCTTGTCTTCTCAAGGCTGTCAGTGGGTGTTTGTGGGTGTTTGTCCTAATAAGCAGTATTACAAAGTGTTCAACACATGTTGTATTACACACACAACACAGACCTCGCCCTACAAAAGCCTTTTTGAGACATACTTGTCATTAGCATTTTCTCCTCTCTTCTTCGACCAAACTTTTTCTCTATGAATGAAATGTGTTTGACTTTTATATTTATTGAATTTGTTTGTACCTAAACACAAACACACATCCCCAGTGGTTTCATACTCCCACACAGACACACTAAAATACTATAAATACCATAAACACTTCAAGAATAAAGTAAATGGCATAAACATGGAAAAACACATCTCACGCACATGCAGACATTTCTTACTTGAGGACCATTGAATATTCAAGTTGTCTCATCCCATGCCGCCATCCACATTTAAGTGGTCCAGCCCATATCTGTGTCAAATGACTGTCTGTGATTCTTTTACATTTTATATCATGAATGGACTTGGGCATGAGTTCCAGACATTCTGTTGATATCCTGTTTCATGATCTCATGGTCAACAAAGTAGCATTGCAAGACTTGTTTGAATATATCTCATCAATTAAAACGCATAATCAAAGTCATCTGCTCAGTTGTTGTATTAATGAAAATATGAATGCACCTTACTTTGCCTGATGTGTGATACTCATGGAAATCAGGACTGGAAACTTATGTATACAGCACCTGCTCTAGTTTTTAGATTCAATGTCACATTAGGGCAGGTCATGATTTTTATGAAATATGAGTATATTATTTTTTGATAGGATATCTCTAAGCTAGGTACATATGCAGTTGAAATTTGTAGAAGTTATTTTTTTGCTACTTTTAAAGGAGACCTTAATTATGAAATAAGGGCTTTTATTTTGGTAACTTCCTGTTGGTGCAGCAGTTGTGACTATCCTAGTCGCTAAGGTGACCTTTCATTCAAACAGGCCGTGCGTTGGAAAGTTAGCAATCTTTATTCATCCATTTTCTTTTCTCTTATGGAAATAATGTATTGCTCTGAAGTACATTCTTAAATGAATATTCCGGCGTAAAATTAAGTTAGGGTCAAACACACTGTAACACCGAGTTAAACACTCTCGAGAGAGAGAGAGAGAGAGAGATGAATGTTGCTGACTGCTTGCTTCTCTAGTTCCACCAACTTAAGATCGCACGATAGCAATAAACAGCGGTCTACATCTCCACACACAAACCTCAACCAAAACACCACTCTATAGCCACAAATAATGCTCAGAACAACACCTAACTTCATCAACAGTACATAAAGGGTCTCAGCCATAGTACTAGCCACCAAACATCTTTTTCGCTTTGTCTGATTTCTTTAGCAAAGAGACTAAACACAACTCACCCAATCTTCAGCCAAAGCCGCAACCGTACTCAGTGATCGTCTTATCAGGGCTCCCCCATAAACAAGCAGCTACAAGAGGAGAGTGGGTGAGTTGAGGAGGACTAGAGGATGCTGGCCAGTAAAAAGTCCAAAAACAGAAATGTACCTGTAAGGGACAGTGTGTGGAAATGTTAATATTTAGTTTTGTCTCACAGTCAGATTGTGGATTTGGAAGTTTACTTGCTTACTTCTCCTAACAGAAAAGTTCTGGTGGCTTTTTAGGCCAAGAAGCTCCTGTAATGCATCAGTGAAATACCCTCCATATGTCCAGATTTTACCACCATAAACATCAATTAATAAAAAAATCTTTATTGTACAAGATAACAATTCACAAAATTCAAAAATGTTTTAAGATGGCTGTCTCTTTAGAAGGAAATACTTTTGTGCAAATATAAAAGGCTGATTCTCGGGTGATAAAAAGAAGCTTATCTCTTATTCAGGAGATAAAACACAAGCAGAAATTTACTCTGACTATACTTCTTTTATATTCATTTAACCAAATATGTTCTGCTAAATGCAACTAAATACCATACACTGCACCTTTAAGAAGCAGCACAAAGGATCCATTTCAACAACAGGGCCCTGTTTGATATTTTGGGTTCAAGTTAAGATATATATAAATTCAGCATCAGTAATCAGATTTACTTCTCTTTCATGCAGGGCTTTTGTCACTGCTCAACACAGAAACGAAACTTGCCAGTTGCAGTTTTAATTTTGCTGTAACTATGAATAATTTAGAGCCAAAGGATGAACCTTTAAACTGAGACTAAACTTTTCTGTAGGTTCCTGAGAGGTATTTTGTCTGTTTCCAGCTTTGTGAAAGAGGACTGGCTTTTCTTCCTGTGGATCATTATAGATTGAATGGACTAATTCCACTGACCTCGTGGTTTGGAGTATTGGTTATGGGTTGAAATCAGTGAAGCAGGATGATTTCATCAGAGGTGATGTGCGCCGGTGTGCTTGGGGGTCTGAGCTTTGGCTCCTTATCTGAGCCTAATAGGCCAGATCAGCCTGTGAATCTGTCACCTGTCCTTTTGGATGACGGCCCCAGCGGACAGCTAATCTCCCTTGGAACCTTGGGAAACTGGGAAACAACCCCTGAGCCAGCTAGCTGTGCTAACGAGATTTGGGAAAGCTGGTGGTGAGTGGAGGTCACATGCCCTCTTTCCCTTCACAGTTCCCAGATGCCAAGACTTCCTGTCGGGCCACTCGGGTCACCTGCTTCCATCCCTGACAGGCAGTTGAAAGAGACACTCTGGCGGCTAAAAGCTGAACCCTCAACCCTCCCTCAGATTCATCAGTTCCTCCCTCATCATAAATACTACCAGCCTGTACCTCTCCCCATTCACTTCAGCCAATAATTTTTGAGTGAGCATGAAAGGCTGGCTAACATCTACACTCTTACTTCCCCTGCTGACATATTTGTTCACGTCTTTAAATTCCTTTCATTCACCCTCAGTCCTTTATAGCTGCTATTTGTCTCAGGGCCAACACTTTCATATTTAAAGAAAGTGAGGCCTCAACAAAGGAATCATCTTTTTATAGACAAGCTATGATTAAAGCTTAAATGTTGAGTCACAGACCTGATTCATGAAAACCAAAAAGTACTCATGGTAGATTCAGATACAAATACATTGGGACTTTAGGGCCCCAACCCAAAGACTGATAAAAATTGTATTTGGTCCATCACCTGATAGTCCCTGAATTTTCCGACAGACTCCCTTGGAACCAAATAGAAAGCAACAACAAATCATGTTACAGGATCAACAGTTGTACAGACCAACACAGCCTTGCTGCATAGCCTTTATGGTAAAGATACAGTTGTGATGTTTGTATAACAGGAATAACAGGTCATACAGATTCAAAAGTCATGTTTTTTTAAGAGCTAAATGACAATATCAAAGCAACATTATCAAGAAAAGTTTGATTTCATTATTTGTTTAATTGTCCAGTGATCTGTTGTAGGGAAACACATGCTTCTTGAATTCCCTGTCTGCACCCTGGACATGTGAATTTTTGTTAACTTCTGCCTAAAATAATCTTGTATATATAAGTTAATGTTTAATATAACCTGACAGATATTTGTGTAATATTTCACATTTAATGTTTGTACATGCAGAGCAAAGTCTACTGGAGCCAGTTTCCTAATATGTGCACACTATAGACTATACACTATGGACAACTTGGCTCCACTTTTCATCATCATAAGAATTTGAAGCCGAACTGCTCTCCATATTTCCAGGATTTTCTCCACTTCCTGGAACCACCATTTGCGCAGTAGCATTGTACGCGTTCGGCGGGAGAGTCGCTGTGATGACGCTCTGCTCAAACAGCGTATCCCCTGAGTGAGCTACGCAATCTTCATACGCCCATAGGCTGTCTCAAGTGTCAATCATAGAAAACATGAAACTACTAATAGCTTTTAAAAATTGAGCTGCACAGAAAAAAGAACCAGTCTTACAGTGACTACATGTCAACATCACAAGCAGTGGGGAGAAAAATGTTTGTTCTGTGTAAGTAATTTGTAAAGTTTGTCCACAGCCCCATAGGGATTGCTGGAGGGATTTATGACCTATACTGCAGCCCGTCACCACAGGATGCTGTTCTCGTGGAACCTTCACCCAGCGAGGAGGCAGACGGCGTTCATTCTATATACAGTCTATGGTGCACACATACTTGGCTAATAAAGCTAATTCTGATCCTAAACTTTGGTCTAGCAGGAAAGGTATGGCATGGCTTTTTTGGCAAAGACCTCAAAAGGCAATAGCCTCCCGTTGGCATTGCAGCATAATCAAAACGTGTTTGAGGTGGGACAGCACTGAGAGAAAGGGGAAAGAGAAAAGATAACCAAGTAAGAAGGCGAAAAAAAAGGGAATCTCTAACCACAGTTTATACAAATATACAACACTATGCACACACGTATACAACATAAAGTATTTGGTGTTTGTTAAAGCATTCACAGTTTTTGGAGAGGTGTGGATTGCATTTCAACTGGCAAACAAAGTTTTTCAGTACCTGCTAATCAGAAATAATGATTCCTCAGGGGGAAAAAGGAAAGAAAAGAGGAGAAAAACTGAATATAAAGCACAGCACTTCAAACAAACAAACAAAAAGAGTTGTCTCTAAAGCAGAGAAGGAATAACATCACATAGTTGAAATTCTAATAGGGAAATAATTGAACACACCAAGCAGGATGATTGGCATTCAGTGTGAAGCGTGCTGCTTTCACTCATAGAATAATAACAGTGAGGAGAATAGCTGAGTATAATGTTACTCTGTTTCATTTTCACCCCACAATTACAGCCAACAACTTTGCTGAAAATATACTGGAAGTTTGACACAGGCACCAATCACTGTGGCATTTTATAGACAGGTTGGAAAATTAAGACACTAGAAGAAGCAATGTTTATCCCTTAGATAGATCTGGATAGATTTCTGAGTTATGATGGATATAAACTGTAGTGGACATCATGTGTCTCATTTATACAGACACACACACGCACACACGCACGCATGCACGCACGCACGCACGCACGCACGCACGCACACACGCACGCACGCACACACACACACTCTTTTACGGTCCTGACGCCTGTCAGTTTTGACCCCAGGCCAGGAAGCGCACAAAACCTCCATTTTTTTTTACTGTGACTTTTTGAATTCAAAGCAGTGGTGAGGCAGTTTAGGCGTGTATGATTTGTTTGTGTGTCCTCTGAATCACTGTCTGCTTTTTCATCATCTTTCAAAGTCAGTCTCACTGCTATAGCCTCAGTCACTAATGGCAGCTTCAGATACCTACAGTATATAATAATCTCATGGCCTGCAAACTCTTCTTTTGATCTCTGATTGGATCACAGTTAGTTGGTTAGTCAGGTGCAGGTCCGACAACTGTGTTAAGACCCCCTCTGACAATGACCTCTCTTCCTTGCATGCACCATACCTGCATACTCCCATGTCATTTCTCTGTTTGACGGTTTCAGGATTCCCCCACCATCTCTTCTACAGGTGTTTGTCTCTGCAGGAACATTGCACATGTGGCATGAGCACGGTTGAATTATGATATAATACATATATCATAATTCTGGAGATTTACGGGAGAATACTAATAAGAGAAGACGACAGGAAAGAGGGGTAAAATACAGCAGTTTACCGGCCAAAACAGGATACATGACAGCGATGACATGATGTAATTTTACCGCTAGGCTGCTCATTCAAGGCAGAACAGCCATTGTAGAACAGGAAGTTAAGGACAGAATCCATCTTTCTTTGTGTCAGTGAAGACATATTCTACTCCTCTCACAAACTGAATGATGATAAAAGTCTGTTTAAGTTTAAAGAGGATGAAAACTTTCTTGGAGACCTTGGTTGTTGCATTTTTTTATCAAGGTTGAATAACAAAAACAGAAAGCTTCTGTGCTTTTCAAACTATCTAGATCTGTTGCTTTCACAGTCTTTCCTTGGCAAATCTTGCTTAAAATAGGCAATCCAAGTAAAGCTCCTGTCTCAATGAATACTGCTGATATTACAGGCCTTTTGTGGCTTTGACTTTTCCACAGAGCCTGAAATGTAATCAGGTTTGTTTATCCCATCCAAGGAAAGCTCAGTGATTGATCTGATTCTTCACGTTTTTGAGAATGTAATGTCGTCAGTGTGGGACTCTCACAGCCCTATAATCTCTTTTTGTTTGACTTTGACTGACTTTAAGCCTGGCCAGCAGGGATGCAAGATATTCTGTTCTGGCTCATACAGATGTCATCTTTCGTCTTGCAGTTCAGCTAAAAGAAATATATATATATATATATATATGTATATATATATATATATATATATATATATATATATACACTCACCGGCCACTTTATTAGGTACACCATGCTAGTAACAGGTTGGACCCCCTTTTGCCTTCAGAACTGCCTCAATTCTTTGTGGCATAGATTCAACAAGGTGCTGGAAGCATTCCTCAGAGAGCTTGGTCCATATTGACATGATAGCATCACACAGTTGCCGCAGATTTGTCGGCTGCACATCCATGATGCGAATCTCCCGTTCCACCACATCCCAAAGATGCTCTATTGGATTGAGATCTGGTGACTGTGGAGGCCATTTGAGTACAGTGAACTCATTGTCATGTTCAAGAAACCAGTCTGAGATGATTCCAGCTTTATGACATGGCGCATTATCCTGCTGAAAGTAGCCATCAGAAGTTGGGTACATTGTGGTCATAAAGGGATGGACATGGTCAGCAACAATACTCAGGTAGGCTGTGGCGTTGCAACGATGCTCAATTGGTACCAAGGGGCCCAAAGAGTGCCAAGAAAATATTCCCCACACCATGACACCACCACCACCAGCCTGAACCGTTGATACAAGGCAGGATGGATCCATGCTTTCATGTTGTTGACGCCAAATTCTGACCCTACCATCCGAATGTCGCAGCAGAAATCGAGACTCATCAGACCAGGCAACGTTTTTCCAATCTTCTATTGTCCAATTTCGATGAGCTTGTGCAAATTGTAGCCTCAGTTTCCTGTTCTTAGCTGAAAGGAGTGGCACCCGGCGTGGTCTTCTGCTGCTGTAGCCCATCTGCCTCAAAGTTTGACGTACTGTGCGTTCAGAGATGCTCTTCTGCCTACCTTCGTTGTAACGGGTGGTTATTTGAGTCACTGTTGCCTTTCTATCAGCTCGAACCAGTCTGGCCATTCTCCTCTGACCTCTGGCATCAACAAGGCATTTCCGCCCACAGAACTGCCGCTCACTGGATATTTTTTCTTTTTCGGACCATTCTCTGTAATCCCTAGAGATGGTTGTGCGTGAAAATCCCAGTAGATCAGCAGTTTCAGACCAGCCCTTCTGGCACCAACAACCATGCCACGTTCAAAGTCACTCAAATCACCTTTCTTCCCCATACTGATGCTCGGTTTGAACTGCAGGAGATTGTCTTGACCATGTCTACATACCTAAATGCACTAAGTTGCCGCCATGTGATTGGCTGATTAGAAATTAAGTGTTAACGAGCAGTTGGACAGGTGTATATGTATTCCAATGTGAATTTCATGTAAGAAACCATCCCATAAATGATGCATTTCAATTGAAAATTGTTTATCTTTTACACATATTCCCATCTCAATCTGCTGAATAAAATTGTACTAAAATGCAGGTATAACTAGATGCAAGATACTCAAAATTTCCCAGCTCCTAACCCCAGTTCCCCACCTCAGTGTGTGTAAATAAATATATCTAGTTTCAGGGGTGTGAAAACTGTTCTAGTTCTGTGAACTCCTGGATACCTACCATTCAGGTGCCTGCCTAACAAATGTGAAAATCCACCATAACTTTTGACAAGCTACAAAAGGGCCTTATTTTGCTACCTTGGGGTTAAAGAATGCAAAGGAGAGAAAGAAATTTGAGGACATTAAGAAATGGTCTTCGAAATGCTGCTGGGGGCAGAATCTCATTCATCAGTACTGTGGATTGATGAATGAGGCATACAGCAGGTGTCCTTGTATTTCTTGGCCCAGCCCCCTCAAACAGCCTGAGTATGCCACCACTTCTAGACCTGTGTATTTGTATTTCTATGACTGCAAAGCAAAGGTACTTGAGGTTTGAAGTTGGCCTCACTGATCCAACAGCCTTGCTGAATGCCAGTAGGGAAGCGTGGGGTAAGATGAGCCATTTTTCATATCTCAGATCTCTTCATTAAGGCAATCAGAGTTTGTCTCTCGCTTGTGTATCTGCATATATTACAGGATGTTGTGCATCCCTGCAAACCAACCGAATGAGTGTAGACAGAACTGTCTTGATGATATAATATGCCAAAAAATTCGTTTCCTATGGTCAACTTACCCTGTGTATGGGGTAAGTTGACCAGACTAAATTCACTTTCAAGAGTGAAAAAAAGTTTTTTTGGAAATAAATATCTAATCCCTTCACTCGTCCGTCTAATCTTCACAGACCCCTTGAATTGATGCTCATCTCCTTAATATTTGGTCACATGATCAATTTCTTTTACCATTTCCAAGCAACAGGGGGTGGCTCAACTTACCCTTTGGCTCAACTTACCCCACTCTCCTCTACTCAAACATCACGAAGCAGTTCTGTTGTAACACAGAGAGCTTTTACTGTCAAGTGAAATTTTATTTTGATGCAAAACTTTAAAAACCCTCCTACTACTGTGGCTTTCCCCAAGTTTTTATTATTATTATTATTATTGTTATTTTGAATTTTCTTTCCCTCCGTTTTAGTGAACTTCTCATTTACGGATCCACGTGGTTTTCTGAAAATGTCCACAAGAGCACCTGAAGGCAGCAGCAGCCGCCCTCCACGCGGCCCCCCCCCCCCCCGGTCCAGTTTACCTTGCCCAGCCCCGTGGCTTCACTGTCCTCAGAGTGCAGCACCGTATCCGGGGAGTGGTTGCAAGCGGACCGTCTGTCGGTGTGCATAGGTTTCTGTATGCAGCCTGTTTGCACGCGTGGGCGTCATTGTGTAAAGCTGTGAGTTTTCCGCTGGTTGAAGCATGGAGGAGTTAGCCAGAGAGAGCATCAGCCTGCTGGCTTCAGCCTCAACCAAGCCCTCGCTGGATGTTGCCGCCGGGCCTCGACTCGGTTCAATGGGGGCTATTTTCATCATGCTGAAATCTGCTCTGGGCGCCGGACTCCTCAACTTCCCTTGGGCCTTTGAGAGGGCCGGGGGCATCCGCAGCGCGATCACAGTGGAAATGGTGGGCATTTTCTTTTTCTTTAAATATGTGCGCATAAAGCTTTCATAGTCAGAGGTGATAGTTGAGATCAGCTGGGTTCTGGCAGAGATCTCTAAAGTTGATGCAACAAACTACTTTGAGGTTATCAGATGTTGGGGAAACTCTGTGCCTTTGCTGAAATGAGAGTTTGTATTGAGGGTGCATTTTATCTAACGTGACTGACAGCTGAAGTTCCTGCAGATCAATTACTTAGATTGTGATCTGTTTCACCTGACAGGAGAGGCCATGATAGGGTTGACCCCAGATCTTATCTCAGCCTGACTATTTTTCTCTTGTTAACTACTTTCACCAGTCTGTTACTCTTATTACCAAAGCAGTATTAAAATTCTTTTGGAGAATTAATTTGGCAATAATCTATTTTCCCCCCTCTTACACTAAAACCAAGCTTATGTATTTCACCACAGCTGTGTTTAATGTTAACACTTTAAGTTGTGTGGGTGTCAGTTCAAGTTATTTTTTAGGGTTGTAAAAGTTAGCTCATATCTCAGCCTACATATTTTTGTTAGTCTGTGGATTAAGCTCCCAAGAGGTCAAGCCAGTTTTAACGCCAATTTACCATAGTGATCAAACTATAACACTACCACCTCTCAGTAATGGGATGAAAACCAGCCCAAGAACATAACCCCGCCTATTTCAGTGTTTCAGGGGAAGTTTGAGACCTCTTTGTTGATTGACAGAGGGAAATATACATTTGAAAAGTATAAGTTTCTCTGCCTCATGGGTTCTTAACACTCACCCTCATGGTGAGAAAATTCTGAGGCCATATCTTACTTGTGCTCTAACTGATGTCAAACTGACCCGGAGCCATGATGAATTTGGAGCCTTGAGTATGGTTATTGGACTGTGAGCTATGTCATACAGATTTGCTAAAGAAATCAGGTCGTTTGGTGGAATCTCTTGCTGCTTAACAGCTGCATGGGCCAACTTCTGACTCTACATCCAGTTCTACCTATTAATCTTAATTGATTATAAATTATGACTTGAACCTTTGTTTCATATACAGCACAGTCCATTTTAAAAATATAGTTTATCCTTTTTGAAATATGATCGGTAATTTCACTTTTTAAAATTTGTTCACACAATTGAAATTGCAAATGTTTGGTTATAAAAGTGAGAAGTCATGAAAAAGTTGAGTCTGCAACATCACTGACTCCTCCCTGAAGCTTTGACTGTTGCTATGGTAACTAACAGACTTTTTTTTTTAAAAGGATGGTTCAGCTTGCAATCATCATAAAGTGCATGATTTTTACTTCTGTCTCATTAAACTTCTCAAACTTTTGCAGACTGAGTCTACAATGCAATTGTTTTGACTTGATCTAATTTCTAGTTCTATAAAAGTCGAAGTTGAAGTTTCCTACCCCAAATTGATTGAGAATAATGCAGGTACAACATATTAAATGTTGAAATTATAAAGTTGTATGTTATATTTAAAAAAAAGAATAAAAATTGGAAGAGGTTCACAACTCCACTCAATCAGCAAGTCAAGAGCAATCTCAGAATAATGTCCTGAAAATAAAATAAAATTGTCGAGAATTTTGGTGTTTCATCAACCACCATACCAGACTGAAAAAAAAAACAAGCTGCTAAAAAGAAATGTTGGATTGCAGTGATTTTTGGGCCCTCAGGCAGGACTGCATTGAAAACAGGCATGACCCTGCAGTGGAAACCATGGCACAGGCTCAAAATCATAAGCAAAAAAACACTGTCTTTAAACAAAGTCTGTTGCTGTATTAGGGCTGGGTGATATGGCCTCAAATCGATATCACAATATATTTAGCACTTCACCCTGATAACGATAAATAGACGATAACTACTCCACTGCGCCCCCTACGCAAAAAAGTTTAGCCAATGGAAGGGGCTGTGGCAGTAGTTTTGACAGTATGACTCCCCTGGACCCATTTATTGCAATTACTTTTAAGGACTGTTGTTATGGACTCGATGAGGCGGAATCACGTCTCTGATGTAGGGCAGCATCTTAAAGGGACATGAGACCATAGCCTACCTACACACATCCAAAACCAACTATTATTTAATTATTTTTTTTAACACCGAATATACTGATATGGACAAAATGACATTGGATATTGTCGTAAATCTCGGTATCGGTAAGTTCCTGTGGCTTGTCTAGCTCACACATCTGTGGAGACAGCATCACGGCTGAATACGTTTTTGAGTAATATGTGCCATCATTTCGAAGACCTCACATATTGTATTTCATCAATGTGGCTCAGTAGTAGCGGAGTCGGCATGCCTGCCTGCAAACCTGACTTGAAGCCCATTGAAAGTACTTGGCACATTATGACCTTTAAACTAAGACTCTGAACAGCTGAAATCCCCCAAAAGACAAGAATAGGACAGCTTTTAGCTTTCAAACTCCAGGAACATTTCAAGAGTTGTTAAATTGTATGGTAACCTTTCCCCAGTTCTAACTTTTAGCTGCTGTTATTTAAAAAATGAAAACTTACTACTTCAAAAATCACTCTATGCAATAAGAGTTTTCAACAAATGTTGACACAGCTGTAGCCCACACAGAGAAGATTAATAAACAAACATGGCTGAAGGTAATGAAGAAGACATTTCTGAGCAGCTTGTTAGTGAACGAGGCTCCACATTAGGAATTTCCTTCAAGATTGGGGTTTAGATGAACGCAATCAGGTTGCCTGACATCGGACAGTTGATCTGCTGCTGTTCACTGTATGCAATAAGAGTTTTCGAGAAATGTTGACAACATTTGTTGTACTTTTCACTCCGCACTGGTTTTACAGATTTTTTTTTACTGTTTAATGCTTTATTGTCCCTTTTTTAATGCACTGACTGTAAAGGCACTTCTTAATTTAATTTCGTTGTGCTTGTCACAGTGACAATAAAATTCTATCTATCCGTCTTGCCCCCCCCAAAAAAAAAAAAAAACACACCCATCCCTTCTCATGTTTTCACTGTTTCCATCACAACAATTTAACTAAAACTTAAATTAAACTTCAGCCATGTTTGTTACAGCTGTGAGTCCGTCACTCGTGCTAACGTCATCAACTTGTATTTATCGTGTTTATTGTCAGATGGCAAATATTTATCGTGGAGGAATTTTCTGATGATAAATTGTGAACAATAATTTATTGCCCATCCCTATTGGCAAATATACTTAGTTGGTCATAAATACTGGGTGGTCTGGCCAGTGTTTGAAGCACTGAGCAACATAAAGTATCAATAAAGTAACAATAAAGTATCAGCAAAATCTAACAACAAAGTCATTGAAACCATTATTCTGTGTGTAAGAAGATCGATGTATTCTTCAACTTTGTGACTGTTGGTCCTTTTAATGTTGCATTGGCAAGATTAAATCCAACATTACTAAAAACATTTCCTTTTTTCACCCAAACCGAAAGATGTTTGAGTTCCCATCTGTTGCCTGTGTATCAACCCAGTTATTTCTGACATGCTGCAGTCTGATGACTTTAAGATACAAGTTATTAATCTTGCTTTCACTGATGTTCAAGTAGGGCTGGGCAATATGGAAAAAAGTTTATCACAATATGTTTTATTTTTTCATATCAGTTGACATCGATATATATCACGATATAAAAAATGAAATTTAAGTGCTTATTGGTTGCATGCCTTTTGCAATACATAAGCTACTGCATCTGTGAGGTCCTTGTGTCTTTTGGACGTTGTAAGGCGTTGCGCTAAAGAAGGCGGACTGAAAGGTCGGCTGTTTCAGCTGCACAGGCACCATGGGCTCCTTGCTCCACTTGGGGTTTGTAACCTTTTGCATTGCTCGTGCTCTGCTGCATGGCACTGCTTCAGGTGGAAAAAAAGATTTAAGTTATTCTGAAATCTATAGTTTAACTATTTTTGAGTTATTGACTCTGCGTGAACATGTACTCTACATAATTTGGAGTGCACATTACTCTGCTTCATGTCTGACCCCAAAAAACCAAAATACCTCCACATCACCAACAGTTTCGTGCCAGTGTTGTCGACGAGGTTATCATCTGTTGAGCCTTTATCTGCATTTTTGTCAGGGGTAGCACTCATTTTCTTTTTTTCTCATTAACAGTGCTGTCAGCTTCACATGTTAAAGTGCTATGGTTGTGTGTAGCTGCAGCCTGCTACTACGCAGTTGTTTGCTACTTGGTTCTAATTCAGCACATGATTGGTTCAGCGTGACCCGGAGCAACTCCCCTTTTCATTGGCTATCCGTGTAGCCTACTGAAACATGGCAGAATGCCAACTATTGAAAAGCATATTGACCATGTTTTATTTTGATATCAAGGGAAACTCATTTTCAATATATATCATTATCGTTTTATTGCCCAGCCCTATGTTCAAGTGACATTTTCAAATTAGGTCTAAGCTGAAAGGTGATTATAAAGATGTAAATGCGTCATCCTTAACTCCTTTTGATTTTCCTCATCCCCTCAGATCTCTCTTGTGTTCCTGATCAGTGGTTTGATTATCCTGGGCTATTCTTCCTCTATCAGCGGCCAGTGTACATACCAGGCGGTGGTGAAAGAGGTGTGCGGGCCAGCCATCGGTCAGCTGTGTGAGATCTGTTTCGTCTTCAACCTCTTTATGATCTCTGTGGCCTTTTTGGTCATCGTGGATGATCAACTAGAAAAATGTGAGTCTGCTGTATACCTTGGATTTAGCATAATGTGCTATTTTCTGTTTTTTCGATGAACGCCTGAGAGTAATTTCTGCTCCATCCGATGTGTTGTCTTTTTAAACATGCAGAGATCCTGACATAGTTGAGGTTCAGATTGATTATGAGCTTTATCAAATATAATGATATGCACAATCACTACCATACTTACCACAGACCTTTCATTTCCTGTCAGCATGCAGTTGTAAAAATAGCCAGAGGCAGTAAAAATGATCTTTGAATGTTTTTAATCATATTATTCCCATGACATACCTCTGCACAAATATGAAACCTGCACACAGTGTGCTTTACTTTGCCTCCTAGTTGTGTGCTATTTGAATGACCATATCATTTGACTTAGACCATGTGCTTCCTTCAGTGTAGGACAGATACAGTTGAATGAAAATGTGGTCTTCTTGTTTTGTTGTTCATCTCTCAGTGTGTGGCTCCCTGTACGAGCTGGTGACAGGCCTGCCAGAGACAGAGATGCAGCATCATTTTTACACGGATCAGCGCTTCGCCCTAACGCTGCTCTGTGTCTTTCTCATCCTTCCGCTGTCCATCCCCAAAGAGATCAGCATCCAGAAATACATAAGGTCAGAAGTCTTGTGTCACATGTGAGAGTCTGTAAGTGTGTAAGAGCAAGTCACATGTACCCAAGGGTTTTTAAGAGCACACATCTTATCAAGATGAGACATATGTAGGTTTTATTTTCAGTATTTTTTAAGATTGGGTTGTCTAAAAAGTTTTCTTTGTTTGAAAAATGAGGATAGGGACATTGACCATTGTGTTGCAACAACTCCTCTGTCTTGCTGATGTATGTGAAAGCAGCATATGTTGCTCTAAAACCAGAACATGCGTATTGTTCAGCATTTAAACTGTGAATTCCCAAATGTATAAGTCCATGGTGGACTTGGGTGCAGAGAAGCTCCCAGTGTCTCTGAATCATATAAAAGTGGGATTTTGTCTTTTCTTGGTACAGTTTTAACTTGCATTTGTGGAAGCAGGACCATCTATGTTGGACTTTTATTTCTGGAGGTGACTTTCAACTCATTCCATGATTTCCCCTACAGAATTATGTCTGATTGCAGTGCAAGGACAAAAAGATCATGGCCATCCAGTGTTGGTTTTTCAGCCTTGTCTCTTTTGTTTAGAGATTTCTTCGTCTTATCTGAATCTATTTCTGATATGAACTTTAGATAATAAAATTCCCAAATTTCTACCTGGATTATGCTGAGGATCAGTATTTTAAAAAAGTTGAATTGTTCACTGACACAGTCACTCAACGAATGCTGGTCCTGTTCCCATCTTTACTTCAGGGCTATGTCTCTCTGGATGCCCTCTTCATACCTCATTGTGTTACTAACTGATGCAAACTAGCCTTATTAATTCAGAGATATTCCTCTAGCTGTTCTTTTTTCAAGCATTACACAACTTCTCTCTTTTTTTAATGTGTCACTGGCATAAAATGAAAACTCAGCATATATTTTTCATGAAACAAACGTTTTTTCAGTCGTTACATCTGATATGCTGTCTTTGTGCTATTTTCAATTACATTTGCATCTAATTTCATTTCATATTTTATGTGCCTGTACAAAGATTTAACTGAGGTTTGGTACTTAAGTGCATTCAAACTTTCAGACATGAAGCACAAATCTCAGCAAACCCTCAAACAGGTCAGCACATCCTTGTATGGGGTTTTAATAATGCTGATCTGGTCTCTGCAGGTCCAGTGTTTGACAAATGGATTTGACCTTGACTCAAATGATTCAGTGTTGAAGTGATATCTGTCTGAACCAGGTCTACTGTTCTTATATTTTTGCAGTGTTCTTGGCACTCTAGCCGCAACCTACTTAACCATTGCTATCATCATTAAGTACCACACCATGCCTTCTGTTCTGGTTCATGTGGCCCCGCTCTACACCAGTGGGTACGTATGGTTTTTTTGTCTGTGTGTGTGTATTAAAGAGGATAAATGATAGGAACTAGTAGCCTGGCATTAAGGCGAACTAGGCTGGAACGGCTCAGTTTATTCAGTTTTTGGGAGGGTATTAGTTCATGGTCCGATCAAAATGACAGTACAGACCAACAATCAATCCAATTAATTCAGCTTGTGACAAATAGTGACAGACATGTGAACAGAAAGGGGTATGCAGAGGTAAGAAGCAAACCTTTCATACCAATGAATGTTGTCTGTGCAGTTTTGCAGTCTTGTCTGAATTCACCTGACTTTCTAGCAGTAGAAGTGTCTATCTTAGGTGTTCATGCTGGGGCAGCTCTGCTGGGACGTCATCCCAAATAGAGGGCTGTGATTTGTTTTGGTACAGCAATTACCTCAGTGTTTATATTGTGATGAAGACAGAAAGGGGTTACATGTTACCTTTCCTAATTATTAACATACTGGGGTTGGATGATCATAGAGGTGGGTTTTTTTCAAAAACCGTTGTTTGAATACAGAATACCAAAAACCTCCACTGTGTAGTACGTTCAACATACCCTGGCTGTCTGTTTTTTCTAGTTTTGGCTTGACTGAACCTGACAGCAAAAATCACCTGAAATGGTCACATGGTCATCAAGTAAACCCAGAGTTATTGTGAGGAACATCTGACCAATCACAAACATGACCAATTTGCTGTCAGGAAATAGTCATACACTCACAATTAAAAATAGGATTTTAGAGAAGTATGAAGCTAATACAAAAAAATCTGAATAAAATCAACACTACACTGGTGTGTTTGTCAAATGAAAGAATTGGCTGACAAGAAAAACAAAACAAAACAATGAATAAACAAATAATGACTCACAATAGGCCTCTCACTTCCCATCATTCATGTGCAGTTGAATAAATCAAGTCTTCTTTTTTTCCTGAAATGAATTTGTTTCCCAGCTTTTTACCAGTGATTAAAAATTGATGACATACACATATACGTTGGGCCATGGGCTAAAGGTTTGAGAGCGTGGCTGATATTTCTGTTGAAGCCATATTAAACAGTGTTATTCTAGACATCCTACCAGAATTCATGTTACATACAAGCCAATAACTGATGTTGATTCTAGTGCATTCTGGTAGGATGGGGAAAAAAAAGTTTTTATTTAGAAAAAATGCTAGGGATGATACTAATATGATGCCGATTATTAAAGAAAAAAAATAAAGCTATTAAACAGATGACTGTTTAATCAGTCAACATTTAGTTTTCTCTTTTGCCATGTACAAGTCATGATATTTCAGCTGCAGCCCTGATGTTATCAAACAAAGCAGTATGTAGATGTTTAACGTAATATCATGAGATTCAAAGCGGTACAGTACATACTCCTACATCTAAATAAATACTGGTAAAGTATAAGTATCTTTACTCTTAAAGGGGTATTCCGGCGTAAATTTCAGTTATGGTCAAACACACCGTAACACCGAGTTAGACACCCCCTCGAGAGATGAATGTTGCAGACTGCTTTCTTCTCTAGTTTTACAAACTTAAGTAACGACCAAATGATAGCAATACATAGTGGTCTATGTCTCCACACACAAACCTCTACTAGTGCAGAATGTTTAATATGATTATTATTACTTCATGGATATGATCCGCTAACCTTAACTTAACCCTAACTTAATTTTACACTGGAATATCCCTTTGACTTGTTTTGGTAGTCTGTTGAATTATATATCATGAAGCACATCAGTATCTTTCATAAATATTTTTCATATGTAGAATTACACAGGCCCGCTTGGTAGAATATTCTACTGACTGGTATCCCAAATATAATGTCAAGAGTTAGTGTAAGTTACCGTGACAATCTACCAAGTTTTAAAGTCAACTTTGTTTGTAGTACTGAAAACCCAAAGTTCACAATAAAGTCTAATTGATCAGCTTAGACAAAGCAGACTAGCAGACTACTCCACTCCTCCCTATCCATGAACTTATGTGCTGTTGAGAGGACACTTTGTCATTCTCGTTGGCTTACCCTTGCTGCTCTTGTCAGATGAGCGGCTGTGACTGACAGATGATCTCTTCAGTGGAGCTTCTTTAAATGCCATGGCATTATAAACGCTGCCCTTGTAAAAGCTTGTTGTTTCTTGTTCTTGTGGCGTTTGTGAACCCCAGAAATGACTCTCATGCCTCCCCCCATCTGTTTGCAGGATCAGCTCCTGGGCTTCTGTGTTCAGCGTCATCCCCACCATCTGCTTTGGTTTCCAAGTGAGTGCAATATGAAATAATTTTATGCAAGAGTCTTCATGAGATGGTGTACTTATGTTGGAGCATCATGTTGTGGAAAGGCCGGAGGCCGGCGGTCGTGCAGCTGTTTTTAGGAAGGTTACTACGATACACATACTTCAGGGGGAAAAATCTATTTAGTTATGGCTGCAAAACTGGAAATGAATAACTGAGACTACATTGAAAAGTGAATGTCCAGTAGTTAATATTCATATTCTTGGTCATAGAATAAAACTGCGCAAAAAGGGTCGTTATAGAAATAGTAACATCCTCTTAGACTATCCACATCCTACCAACAGACATTTATTTGACTATGTAGTAAATTACATGGTTATTACATTTACAGATAGAACTGAAGTTTTATGTGCATATGCATTTACTTTGCGGTGAAAGACCATTTTACTTTACACTGAATTGTTTTATATTTAAAAGTCAAGTAATAATGTCCCACCTACGAGCAGACAGACAGGTTTTAAGTTGTCAGGTTTCATGACTGAGTAAAATGGCATCATAAAGACTGTGAATGTTGTCAGGCATATTCTCCAAAATGAAGACATCAGGTAAGAACCACAACTTCCTGGGGAAAATTTATATCCAAACCAGCTGGAGGTCACATTGGGATCCCTGAAATGAATAAGGAAGTATTTCAAACAGAGAGGGATATCTGGAAAAACTCGCTGCAGCCTCTTACCTAGTCAGATCTGAAACATATAAACTTGAATAGATTAATTTTCTTTTTTCAAAGCAGAGCACTGGTCATGATTGAAGAACAGATGAATGAATCCAATTGTAGGACAAGTTTGAGTGAAAACCATTCAATGAGGTTTGCTGATCATTAGGGCAGTCGCCCTCAACAAGTGTTGTGGAAAATCCAACATAAACTCAGTAAAACAATGTACAGGAGACAGGATGAGATCTGAAGAACAACCTGGGCGTCTTTTATTGTACAGATGTAGAAATCAGTACAGATGACAAACAGAGTCTCGACCAAGACCGAGGGAAGCCTCCCTAGCTTTTCTTCTACTCACTTTTATGTTGTTAGGTGTGTGCGTGCGTGCGTGTGTGTGTGTTTTCTGTCATCATGGGTATGTCATATCAATTCTCCAGAGGGCTACCCATGATGACATGTCTTACTGTTCTGACCCTCAACACTTTGTTTAAACTCATCTTGACTCTCGCAGAGATTAAATGTTCCAACAGAGAGATAGTTTTGGTCTCTGTGAAACAGCCTTGCTCCTTCTTACAACCTCAGGGTCATGAGGCTGCAAATTAAGTTTTGGTCAAACACACCGTGACACCTAGTTAGACACCCCATCAAGAGATGAATTTTGCAGAGCGCTTGCTCCTCTGGTTGTAACAACTTCAGCAACGACCGCATGATAGCAAAACACAGCGGTCTACATCTCCACGTGCAAACCTCAACTAAAAAGCCACTTTATAGTCACAAATGCAATCAGGCAGAGATGCTTAGGCAGAAGAACTACCATGTCTGCAGTTCACATAGAAGATATACAACAACTCTGATTGCATTTCCATGAAGTAATAATCATGAATGTTGCTTCCTTGAGCTGCTAAACTCTGCTGCACTCAGTGATCGACTCATCAGGGCTCCCCAACAAACAAGCAGCTGCAGGAGGAGAGTGGGTGAGTTGTGTTAAGTCTCTTTGCTAAAGAAATCAGACAAAGCTAAAAAGATGTTTGGTGGCTAGTACTATGGCTGGGACCCTACATGTACTGTTGAAGTTAGGTGCTGTTCTGAGCATTATTTGTGGCTATAGAGTGTTTTTTTGGTTGAGGTTAGCACGTGGAGACATAGGCTGCTGTATATTGCTATGGTGCGGTTGTTACCAAAGTTGGTATGACTAGAGAAGCAAGCAGTCGGCAACATTCATCTCTCGAGGGGGTGTCTAACTTGGTGTTATGGTGTGTTTGACCATAACTTAATTTTACGCCGCAATTTCCCTTTAAATGTGCCACTGTAGCTAGGATTTCAGGGACCTTGTCTCTGCCTCATAGCAAAAACCCTGAAAGAGTCTATCTGACAGACATCTAAACAGTGCTAAGCCAGAGTATAGATTCCTCACATCACAAGAATACGGTGGCTGAACTTATTCTTAAAATGTCTCAGGTTGCCTAGAAATGTTACCATAATGACAAAAGTCCTGCTGGTGAGTGCCTGTGGAAAAGAAATAATCAAATGCAAAAAGTAAATGTGTACCATTTGAAAGAAGATGCCTTTGTTTTATTAATCTTAAGGACCTAAACACAGTCAGAAGATGCTGCTTCAGTGGAGTGGAGGGCCAGCAGTCTGTGGTCCCAGTGGTTTACAGAAGCCTTTCATATCTAAGCTCATAGTTGTGTACAATAAGAAAAAGACAATTCTGTCAGTCCAAAGAGAGACACATGCAATTTATGACTTCCCAAGTTTCCAAGGCAACACAGAGGGATGCTGGGGAGATCTAATAAAAGGGACAGCGCAAAAGGACTGATGCATGCCCTCTCACAAACACGCACACACTCCCTCAGGGTGAATGATTGCACTGCAAAGGGTTGAAAGGAGAGCTGATGAGATACTGAGAGAGGTGGAGGAGGGGACCGCAGGAAGGAGGAACTGAGATTTAAAACTGGCTGATGGCAGCTGGGATTAAGTGGGGACAAGAGTCTGTATGAGTCTGACCTCAAGGATGGTTTTACTCACCCTATTGTGACACTTGGAGCCCACAATCTTCATTTAATTCCCAATCTCATAGAGAGCAGAAATAATCAAGCTTCCAGATCCTCACCTGACACTCTGAGCTCATAATAAATGAGAAGAAACCCAGGCCATAGATGAGCGAGGCAAACAGTCTGTCAGAACAACATCTAGTTCTCTCTGTCAGTGGAACAGGATTTTATTTCCCCACCAGGCAAACACTGTGAACTGTGATATCAACTTTTCAACCTGGAATGAAAATGTTCATCCTCTGCTCTCTCCATTACCCCTGTATCCAAGTGCCACGAGGCGTCCATCGCCATCTACAGCAGCATGGAGAACCAGCGGCTTTCTCATTGGGTCGTCATCTCTGTGGTGTCTATGGTCTTCTGTCTGGTCATTTACTCCCTCACAGGTCAGATAAACTTCTACTCCTGTTTTCATTTGAACATTTTCCTATAAATACAAAGTATGTACACCTGAACTCTGTTCACGTATTTCGTACTATCTCAGCACCAGAGAGGGCATCTGAAAGGAATAACAAGTGTGTTTTAAAGGTGGTTTTAAAACATGGAAGCCTTTTGGGGAGGTTTGATTGGACCACATATTTTCCCACTTTTACAGCAGACTCAATATAACAGCTGTGTGACACCACCCTGTTGAAAATGGCAGTATTTTTTTTTTTTTTTTTTTTGAAGAGCAGATGTGGACCAAAACTGTAGTTTTATTTATTTATTTACATTCCCTTAATTCACTCACTGCTGCCAATCAATAGGGGAGCTCTAAATCTTTTAGCTTTCCTATCAGTGTCAATTATAATATACAGTCTATGCAAAAAAATACAACCAAATTAGATACTTAAAGGGATATTCTGGCATAAAATTAATTTAGGGTCAAACACACTGTAACACCGAGTGAGACACCCTGTTGAGAGATGAATGTTGCCAATTGCAGTCCATCGACTGCAGCGAGGTGACACAGGTCAAGGAAGAACATGTATGATAATTACTTCATGGAAATGTGATCAGACCAAGACGCTAAGGCAGAAGAACTACCGTGGGCAGTGCAAAATGATTATTATGTTGATTAATACTTCAAGGAAATGATAAAGTAATAATCATAAATGTTCTTCCTTGAGCTGCGTTGCCACACTGCAGTCACCCGGAGTTCTCCGTACAAACAGGTAGCTGCTGGCAGAAAGACAGTAAGTTGTGTTTGGTCTCTTTGTTAAAGAAACCAGGCAAAGCTAAAAAGATGTTTGGTGGCTAGAGCACATTTGTGGCTATAGAGTGGCTTTTTGGTTGAGCGTCTATTGCTATCTGTGGTCGTTTCTAAAGTTGCTAAAACTAGAGAAGCAAGCGTACATCAACATTCATCCCTTGAGGGGGTGTCTAACTCGGTGTTATGGTGTGTTTGACCCTAAATTAATTTTACACTGGAATATGCTTTTAAAGGGGCAATCCAGTTCTGAAAGTATTAAACCTGCATATGGACATGGAAAAAGTCAAGACTTCATCGGGTCAGGTTAAATTTCAGTGTCTATTGGTTGTACTGAAGTGAAGTTTATGTCTATGATACCGTGACAAATGTTTGAATATATTAATATATTTGTTCAGGACCACAGTGACATTTTAAATTAAAATGTCTTAACAGCTGTTCAGAATGTCATAATAGCATTAGGTCAAAACTGAAATATATATTCTTATTTATCCTCGTTTTAAATAAATTGATGATTTTAATGTCTTAACCATAGACTGTATTCTTTGGACAACTTAGAATAGAATAGAATATTCCTTTATTGATCCCCCATGGGGGAATTTTTTTTGCCACAGAAGCAACACAGACAAAGATTGTAAATATTAAGAACTTAAATGTTGTAATTAAGAAAAAATTTAGAAAATGAAAAAGGGAGAAGAAAATAAAATAAAACTATATACAATATAGACAATTTAAGTACCAGAAAAAAGTGGTGGTCTGAGTCCAGTTTTATTACAGTGCGTTGTAAAGTCTTATTAAAGAAGGGAGGCACGACCTGCAGTAGCGCTCCGTCTTGCAAGGTGGGAGTCTCAGTCTGCTGCTGAAGGAGCTGCTTAAGGCCCCCACAGTCTGGTGCAGTGGGTGAGAGGGATTGTCTCTCGCCCACCTCCTCCGGGGGGTCCAAAGAGCAGGCAGGACAGAACCGGCCCTCCTGACCAGTCCATTCAGTCTCTTCCTGTCCCTCTCGGTGCTCCCTGCCCCCCAGCAGACCACTGCATAGAAAAGTGCAGATGCTACCACAGAGTCATAGAAAGTCCTGAGCAGAGTCCTGCACACTCCAAAGGACCTCAGTCTCATCAGCCGGTGGAGACGACTTTGGCCCTTCTTATACAAGATGTCTGTGTTTGTTGACCAGTCCAGTTTATTGTTTATTGTGTCCTCCTCCTGCGTAAATCCACGACCATCTCCTTTGTCTTACTGGCGTTGAGCTGGAGGTGGTTTGTGCCACACCAGTTGACAAAGTCACTGATGACAGTCCTGTATTCCCGCTCATCCCCTGATGATACACATCCGACGATGGCTGTGTCATCAGAGAACTTCTGGAGGTGACAGCTCCCAGAGTTGTAGCTGAAGTCCGAGGTGTACAGGGTGAAGAGGAAGGGGGAGAGCACTATCCCCTGTGGAGCCCCCATGCTGCAGACCACCATGTCCGATACACAGTTCTGAAGCCTCACAAACTGTGGTCTGTCGGTGAGGTAGTCCACGGTCCATGCGGTTAGGTGACAGTCCACTCCCGCCCGCTGAAGCTTCCCCTGAGCAGTGAAGGCTGGATGGTATTGAAAGCACTGGAGGAGTCAAAAAACAATGACCCTCACAGTGCTGCCGGTGTTCTCCAAGTGAGCCATGGACCTCTGCGGCAGGTAGATGACTGCGTCGTCCACACCGATGTTCGGCTGGTATGCAAACTTCAGAGGATCCAGATGAGAGCTCACCAGGAGGCGGAGGTTCCTCAGCACGATCCTCTCCAGAGTCTTCATCAGGTGAGAAGTGAGGGCCACAGGTCTGAAGTGGTTGGGCTCCCTGGGGTGTGCTGTCTTGGGGACAGGAATCACGCAGGAAGTCTTCCACAGTGTTGGGACCCTCTCCAGACTCAGGCTCAAGCTGAAGATGTGCAGTAGCACCTCACAGAGCTGGTCTGCACAGTCCTTCAGGAGTCTGGAGCTGATGCCATCAGGACCCGTGGCCTTCCTTGGCTTCATCTTCATCAGCTCACTTCCCTACCTGGTCAGCAAATTTATATTCTGTGTAATTTATTTCTAAAGTTTGTCCACAGCTCCATATGGATTGCTGGAGGAGGCGGGATTTATGACCTATACTGCCGCCCGTCACCAGAGGGTGCTGTTCTCACAGAGGCTTAACCCAGCAAGGAGGCAGACGGCGTCCATTCTATATACAGTCTATGGTCTTAACTCAGAGAATAGGACAAAGGACGGAGCAGTAAACTGGGAAGGCAGCACGGTCAATAACATGCAGCAAAGAGCTGCAGATAGCTGTTGAATGTGAGATGTCTGCTTCATGAACTACATGAAGTGTGTCTCATAGCACCATTGTATTCTACATTATGTCAGAAGTATTTATACAATAAAAACAAAAGCCATTGGGAGCCGATTTGTTTGAAAAGACTTTATAATGTTAGTTAAACAGGGGACCAGCAGAAGAGTAGCTGAGCTGTTTATCACCAGGATCTCAGAGCAAAACTGTGGCGCAGATTGAACATGGCACAGACTTGGGCTATGCATTTAGAGTTGGTCTTGGTTTGGTTGCCTTTGCAAGTGAAAAACATGTCATTGTTTCTCATTGGGATGTCTTCTAAACCAAATATCCAAACAGCTAACGAAGATAACTAAAAAGTGTTTTTGTTTCTGTGGTTGGTGTGAAATATCAGCAAAGGTTGAGAACGGTCTTAATCCTCCTTTTATGAAGATAAGTACCTCGAGTCTACTCACCTCGTTATCATTTGTGATTGAAGTCTCTGTACTAAGATAAGTTTTACATATTTTGTGTTTCTTGCTGATAGATGAGTTAACACCATCCTTTGTTTTCTGTTGCAGGGGTTTATGGGTACCTGACATTTGGAAAAAATGTGAAGGCTGATATTCTGATGTCGTACACTGGGGATGACATACTGATGCTCATTGCAAGGCTGCTGTTTGGAGTCTCTATTATCACCATCTATCCCATTATACTGCTGCTGGGCAGGTCAGGCCTTTGTCAGATAATGGCACATGTTCATGAAAAATGATCAAAATAATAGACTTTTCTCACTAATTCACTAAATCTGTAATCTCTCAAAGTCATGAGTAATGTTTATGAACTTTGGTCTGACTTATTCGACTGGATGTTGATGTGCATATGACCTGACTCAGATCACTTAGGCTTTTTAAAGGCTGTGGCTCTACTGACAGTCAAAAGAGCTCCCATCCTTGCTCACCAGATCAGTGATCCAGGACCCTCTCCTGAATTGGCGGCGGCGGCGTTATGGTGTGGTGACGCCAGAGTTTGAGAGCCGCAGCCGCTATGTGCTGACAGTCCTTTGGATTGCAGTAACCCTGCTCATCGCCACATGTGTACCAGACATCAGCAAGGTCATCAGTGTCATTGGAGGGATCAGCGCCTTCTTCATCTTCATCTTTCCAGGTAGTAACCCTCCTGATCAAGCTTCATATTCTCTTTTAAAGTTGTGCAGAACCCCTTTAAAACCTTCTGATGTGTTTGAACAGGACTCTGCTTGATGTTTGCTATGCAGTCTGAGCCAGTGTCCTGGAAGACCAGGTGAGAATAAACTTCATTTAAATGATAATGTAATGTCAATATACATTTAGATGATAATCCAAGGATATACAGCAGAGACCAAGTACTGAACTGCCTGAGTGGGTGTTAATCACAGTGTTCACTCCAAGAGAATTTTAAATTGTGTCTATGGTCCCAGACTCAGAGAAATAGTTTTCTTCACTCGTGCTTACCTGAGTGTGACCCCTGCATATTGGACACTTATCAGGCTTTCAGCAGCACATACAAAACACCATAATTGAAAAAAACTGATGGCATATAGATTTACTCTGCCAACTTCTATATGATCTCATGTCTTCCTCTACAAGAATGATAAATAATTCAGGTTTGTCTGAATACGTATTTGTCCCAAAGCTTGATTGGCATATTTTTAATCAGAGTATCTTAAGATTCAGAGTTAGGATCACATTCTTGGACCTGTTTCGATTATATAGCAGTACAGTGCACAAAAATACATAAAAGAAATCCATTTTGTTTACTTGGCACTTGGAGAGCTCTGCAAAATATGAAGAAAATGATTATTTTTGTTAAACTTCCCCCCAAGGATTTTAATCACAAACTTAAGAGTCTGTGTGGCTCTTATTATCAAGACTTCTTCTCACATGTCCATTGCTTTTGTCCAGCTCCCTTGAATGGATTTTCTTAGCTGAGGATGTTAATCTTTCTTAGCTAATTAAGTTATAAAAATAAATAAAGTACTTGTGCTGCCTTCATCTTGTCACTTGCATTGTGTTGCCTTTGCATCAACTGTGGTTGTCAACACAATGAAGATGCTCACCCACTCAGATCTAAAATAAAATGTACTGCAAAAGATCCTGATTCTACTCGGTTCAGACTTTCTGACACTGTGTTCTCATTCTATTTTAGACATTATCATATTTGTCTTTCCAATAAGTTTGAGTGTTAAGTTTTTTGCAATCCCAGTTCCAGAGTATATTGGCAGGTATGTAAAATAGTGATATGACCAGGATCAGGTGGTTCGCAAAATTGTCAAACTGAATGTTTTATCATAAATAAGATGACAAATACAACAGAAAAAAAAGTGCTCCTTTTTAAATTTGATCCTAGAAGCAGGTTAAAAAAGTTGAGTTGTAAAAAAGGCTGAGGAGCTTTACAATTGTGCAAGTGACTAAGCAAATTAAATCATTTCAGAATATTTTTCATTCCATGAAATTGCAAAGAAATTAGAGATTAACCAGTAGGGGTATAACAATTTATTTTAACAACGATTTGATTCATGGTTGCTGATTCAGTTCAAGGACAAACATTTTTTCGTTTAGAACAATGCAATCCAAAACGATTCAGTAACTTTATAGCCAAAAATTCAAGCAGTGTGACTGTGAAATAAATACCTAGATACTGGACAGTCCAGGTAAAATTTCCTAGATTCTTGTTGTTTCTTGTAAGGTAATCATTTTCAAGGACTTTTCCTCTGCAGAGCTCTAGTAGCTCATTAGCAATTAACCTCTGAGTTGTGGGCGGAGACTGCGCCGCCCTGCACCCTCTTCTTCACTCTAGCTTGTAGCCTAACTTTGCCAGTGTAGTAGAAGTGTGTGTGTGTGTGTGTGTGTGTGTGTGTGTGTGGGTGGGTGGGGGGTGCTTGTGTCTGGGAGCTGCTTGTGTCTGGGGCAAGCTTGGTCTCTGAGCCTAATGGGTCTGCCAGAGATTCACAGCAATTTAAATGCAGAAATGCAATTTCACGCTTATTTTCCTCATGATATGTCCTATAGCATCAGAAAAATACCATATGAACGTGTAGACAATAAGAAAACACAGTTTTCATTAGAGTGGATCTTTAAATATTTAATAAATTTTGAATGAAAGTACAGATAGTGCATCGAACATTTCTGCAACTTCTGCTTTCTTTTTTCAGCATAGAAATAATACTAATACAAAAACATTGGACTGTAATGGTGGCTTGATAATTTCTCAGTTGCCGACTTCTCCGCCATCTACAATGCCATGTTTTGGTGTCTGCTGGTGCGCGTCACAGACAGACAAAATCGAGTAACACTTAACGTTATTATTGAGAGTGAAAAAACTCACATCCATGTACAGTCTGCCGTTCTCAAATCTGTTAGGTTATGTCCTAGTATCGATACAATTGATTTATTTCATTTTCAAATGATGTTAGGTCAATTTATGTCAACCAGAAGGCTAAATTGTTGAGCACAGCTCGATCAATGTAGTTGGATCATAGGAATACAAATAGATACATCGATGTTGTAGTGAATCGTTACACCCCTATTAACTGGACATTATATCCTTAAAATATTTTAAGCAGCTGTACAATAGAAACACGACTGTGATATGACTCTGCAGCGATGTCTCTGTGGACATCGCTGCGTGGACTGAAAATCAGTTTCAAAAACCATTGTCTGTGGATTCACTTTATCCCTGTGCACACAAACCGTATATTGCAAAGAGGAAACCAACATTTTTCCCAGCATGTTGACTTCTGAGGGATACAGGTTGTATTTCTCTGCTACAGCTCATTTTGTCATTGGAGTCAACTCAAGAGTTTTTAATCCCCAAAGAGTGATTTCAACAATTTGTATCACATCTTGTCCCTCTTCTTTAAGTCCCCCTTCATAGGTACTATGTACTGGCAGCCAAACTGAAGGGACCCCTTCACAGTGAGCTGTCAGAAACTTCTAAAGTAGACTAAAGAGAGATTTCCTTTTTCTGACAAATCAAAGAGACACACATAACTTTCTTTTTTCATCTTTCATTCTTCTCCAGAGTCATCTTCACATTTTGGGGAGTGGTGACCTTGATCTGTGGAGCTTTCATCTTTGGCCAGAGCACCACCATTGCTGTCATGCAGATCCTTGGAAGAATCTAACCAGTGCTTACTTGATGACCCATCCATGGTGGCTGTGTGTACTGGATCATAACATGCACTTATACGCCCATATCCTTGAAGAACCTGTGCTGGGACTCTAAAAAAAAAAAATGGACCTGACCCCCAAACAAACAGCCCTCAAAGTTCAAGCTTTACGGCTTGCATCTTACTGCTGTTACTACTGTGAGCTAACCCAAGGTTCAGGCATCTTTTCAGTGGCCTTCATAGTTCCTAGATTTACATAGATGATGAGCTGTGCCATGTTGAGATAGTCTGTCCAGAAACCTCAGATATTTTCTTCAGGTTTGTTGTTTCAGGAGTCCATCTGTATTTATCACATTTCCTGTACGTATTTGTTCAAGTTCACGCTAGACCCACCTGTAATCAGCACACAGTGGACACTAACTCTGCAGTGTCATGTGCCAAGCAGCATAACATGGTGCAGTAAAGCAGACGGCTCCTGTCATCACTCAAGTATTCATGGTAGAGCGTCAGTAGTCTGAGTAGCAAAGGGTGCCACAAGGGATAGGATGATTCTGTACATGGGTGCCTATGTAAATAAGTCTTGTTGTTGTGTGATCTTTTTTTGTATGTATAAAAGGCTTCATACTGATAATTGAGAAATATGAAATGATGGAATAAAATAATCAAATAATCCTCTGTTTTGTGTTTATCAATTTGGAGGCTAAATTTAGAAAATTGTAACTAGGGCTGCAGCTAACAACTATTTTAATAGTCAACTCATCACAGAGTATTGAAATGATTAGTCGACTAGTCGGGTAATTATGATTTTTTTCTTAAATTTAACATGAGGTTGCTTTATTTAATTTAAAATATGCTTATGAAATCTACATTCAAACCAATATGCAAGTTATTATTTTTTTCACCTTATCTAGGCTAAAGTGCTAAAGTTTATGTGTGCACTTGTAGCTGCTGTATGGGACACTGGCACCGCCATGTTTGAATACCCTACCGCTCGGCGGAGACGCGATGCCTTACTCCACTGGAAAAAATACATCTGGCGACAATAGTCGACAATGGAAATCATTGTCCACTTTTTTCATTATCGATTTTTGTTGACACTGTTGACTAATCGTTGCAGCCGTAATTGTAAACCATGAAGTTGTTCAGCAAACAACAGTCCAGTTATAAAGTTTGGTTACAAAGAGAGACCATTGACTGCATACAGAATGGACAATAGCACTATATTTATTGTGTGAAAGACAATGTCTGTATAAGAGCTGAACAATTGCACCAGTGTAGCCTTGCCTTTTTTGAAGACTCCAAAATCTTTTGGAGTCTTCAAAAAAACCACGACCGGGATGAATGAGAATCTACATGGACATGTAGACTTGGCTAAATATCAAGAAGGGACCTGGCTGGTAGAATCGCTGAACTGACAACTTCCTGCTCAACAAAGCTTTCCAAATAATAAAAAACTTGGCCACACACCAATAGAGTCGACTCAAGAATCAAACAAACACAAGTTTCAGTTTTGTAGTTTTATTGAATTTTTTTCATTCTACATCATCTAGAATTTCAACATTATATCCTTTAAAGACCAAATATAATACTTGCATCCCTGCAATAAGTCTCTACATTTAACAAAGAGAAAGCTGTTTTACTGAAACATACATTAAGAATTAATATTTCATTAAACATTACCATAAAAGTGAATGTTCATTCTTCAATGAGGATTTTCTAGTCATATATTTTCATATAATAGATTTCAGTCTCTTTAAGGAATACTAGAAAAGAAAAGAGGTAAGAAATGCACAAACCCATTGAAGAGTAGCATGGCCTAATACTACAGCAAAGAAGTTACTGGACATTCAGTTGACATGCACTCAGTTGAAGGATAGAAAAGAACACAGCCATAGAAGGGAAGAGTTATGGCCTTGGTCAGCTGTTTAGTGTCCTGATAGGCCTGTTTTCATGCCACAATACCTGTTGAGGTAAACCTGATGACATGCCCCTTGTCCACCAGCCTTTAGCAGATACAGCAATTAATGCTGCCCAGTTGAACATGTCTTTTCATGTTGCTGGGAGACAACCAATCAAGGCCTCTTTCACCATATTTCCACAGCATAACTCTTTCATTGTATGACAAAGCACAGGTTGCACTGAGGAGTAGGAGGATAGAAAAGAACAGGCTGCACAGTCTGTGGGACATTCAGGAATGTATTAATAGGAAACAGTATTGGCATTTCTGACACTTCTGACACTCACTATCTACCTCATTTACACAACCCAACCAGGCTGGGCACAATGTACAGGAAAGAAACCCCTCCATTAGAGCATGTGTGCTGCATTCAGCTGGGCACTGTAGTACTGTATAACTATGGCTATCAGGATAGGAAGTCACTGACATGTAAACATCAACCCATGCAATATGGCTTTATATTTCTATTCAGAATACAGCAGCTCCTTTTTAAATGCACACACGCTTGTATTGGCACAGGAGAGCTTTTTAAGAAGGGAAAGGTTAAAGGTGCTCTGTGGAGCTCTTTATTTTTTATTTTTTTTAAGTTATCTCTACTTTCCTCACTGTTACTCTTTTATTTGCCAATATGCAGTTTATAATGCAAGTTTTCCAGCCATCCATTTCTGTGCTCGACTTCAGACTTTTAAATTAACTTAAGAAGACATGGTCTCATACAATTTAATGCTGAGTCTGTCTAACATTAACTTCATGTTTGAAAAAATCCAGTAGTAGGAGTCAAGTGAAATATCTTCAACATGTCTAACCTGAAAATACAGAGGTACAGAGCAGTCAATTATTTTGCCCACCCAACCCAAAAATGATTATATCCAACTACATTAGTCACCTACAGATGTCATGCTTTCGCAAACCTTTAGAGCTGCAATTTATATGCATCCCATAGCCAGGACAAGGTTTTTTTTTCTACATTTCAAATACTTTTTCAAAATGGTATATGGGCATAAAACCCTGTGGATAGGGCTTTTTTAAACCCTGAGGTTTCCCATTGCAGTCCCCAAACTGAACTCAGAAGGGAACCTGGGTAATCTTGCAAAGATATGAAGCTGCACACTCTCTGTGTTTAATGTTTGTTGAACCTTGCGGCTGCTCTCTGTACTGACTGCAGGTCGGGGGCTAATAAGTTATGAACTGCAGTTATCGAGACAAGACTAGCTAAAGGCAAGGACAACAGCCCCTAATTAAATGTAATGTCGGACTATTGATTTCTGCCACTGGGACTGGACCAGGGGACTAGATTTCGAAATTAGAAAACGTCATTTGAAATCTCCTTGTACATGCCATGATCATCTGGGTTAACAGCTATGTAATTTCTGCATTGATTCGATCAAATCATGTGTGTTCTCTTTTCACAGTTTGTCTGGAATCCAATATTCAATATAGTCTTATGTATTGAGTGTAAACTCTTCACAAAAACAATACTGCTGTGCCCACCTGAAACACCTGCACCAGGCTAGCTTAGTCTTTCACCTAAGCTGCACAGCTGCATTTTGATTAAAAATCTCTCCCTCTGATTTAATCAGGCCTGTTTTAAACCACTGCTAATTTAGACAGATGTTGATAGACCAACAGGAGCTTCCTCATGAACACCTCACTCCATTGCACTTCTCCACAGGGCATCTTCAACACAGACTCTGAGAAATGACTAAAGACATTTCACAGATAGAGTAGCAAAACGCCTTAGCATGCCTATTCTATACGCCTACAGTAATACATATTCCATACATAATCTTAATATATTTGATAGTAATCAACATGTCCACATTCCACACAGTCCTGCCCAGCTCAATGCTGCTCAATGCTCCAAAAGGAGGGAACGGTGCTGGATCAAGATTGGTATCAGTGTAGCTGGATACCTACTCATTGCTAGCACAGTAGTGCTAGCAGATGACAGACTGACTGTCATTTACAGAGGAAAAGAGAGAAAATAGTCCCTAACAGTGTAGTAATGACAAGATGGCAGTTTAAAATAAAAGAAGCTGGAAAGAAGGAACAAACCAGATAAACAGTATCACTACATATCCCGAAATACTCTCAATATATTCATTATCAAGCTCCTATTTACCTCATCTTTAAGTCACAATATTCACTCATTTTTACATTGTGCTTTCTGAGTGAGAGTCTGATTGTTTGGCAATGGTATGTTTGTGACAGTGCAGGTGATGAGAGATGTTTAGGTGAGGATTTTACGGGGGAGATTTTAGCCTCTATTTGTAACACTGCTCTGGATGGAAAAGAACAAATGCAGGGGTGGGTCTGATCAATTTCCAGCAAACACAGAAATATGCCAAAAAGAAGTCTCCCCTACTGCTCTAGTTTGTTGTCTGATCATGACTTTCCTGAGTGTATCCCCACATTAACACAATGAGGGCTGAGGCAAAGGTCGCCAATATGGACATTTTTTTATATACCACATAATCGTGTCAGTATGTAACATACTGATGAAGCTGAACCTTTCTTGACTTTATTTGGAGTGGGAGCTGAAACCAAGGCCAAAATTAAAACTAGAAATGATATTCAGATTTTAAAAATCTGAATTGATTTTTCTTCTGAATTTGAAGAAAGCCCCGCACAAAGAAATGGCCTATTTGAGATGATGCTGAGCAGATAAATATTTTTAACCAAAGGTAATGAGAAAAACTTGTTTTGTCATATTTCCCACACTAATATTGAACATGTGATTGTTAGCAACATAAGAATAGTTGAAAGAAAATAATATGCTCTCAGGTCTGAGGTTTATTGAATCAGACCGACCCAGTGTTTAATTTTTCTCTGTAACATTCTCCAGGTGAGTTACAGGTACAGTCACCCTGATAGCACATTTTTGCCTGTGGGACACACTGCAAGCCTGAACAACACATCATGTCTGCATCACTGAGCTGCAACATACTGCACTAACCCTGTGCACAAAGAAACAGCACAGCTCCAATCTCACTTGTCACTTTACACAGTGGTTTCTTTTTCTTTTTGAAGCAATGTTTGGCTTTTTTCATCCATGACA